AAAATAGTATGATATTAATTTTAGGAAATAGTATTTATTTTTAAAAAATTATTATCAACTAAATAATCTATTAATATAAAATGTTGATAATAATATAAAGTGTTTTTACACTGTTTCAGACAATTTAATCAAAATTTTAATAATTAATATTATAAGTGTCATATGATGAAGAGTCTATTACTATATTATTATTATTATTTATAAAATAACTTGAAATTTGTATTAAATTCACGCAACTTGTATTCATATTATATATATATATAGCATTTCCCCAATGCATTAATTAAATTTATAGATTACACTTTGGTAGTATTATATAATATACTGTAATAACTATACATTAAACTGTTTATAAACATATTAAATATATCGCCCACTTTTAGCACTTGAATATATTATTTATTATTACAATATTTTATATACTGTATTAAATACTGTACAATACATGTATGGTATATTGTATAAAATATAGTCGATGTAATAGAAAAATAAAGGTTAAATTGATTCAAAATTTATTTTCCACTTACGATATATCCTTTTTCTTTATAAATTATATATAAAAATATGGTTTACCTGAAAATTAATTAATTTTTCAAATGTTACTAAATTTTAAATATTTTTAAAAATGTTTTCTAAATACTGTAGTTTAATGATAACAAATTACTTTTAGAGATAGTTTACTAGATTATAGCTGGTAATAATATATACCATAATATAATGATATTTTACTAAACAATTGATGACATAATATGTCTGAGAAAAAAAATTATTATTACTTATATGTTATTACTGTATAAACCACATAACCGGGTGGCAAGTGATCAAACCATCCGGTGCTAAATCGACACACATTTCGCACCAATTAATTTAAATAGAAAATAATAATAATACTAATACTAACAACAATAAAACAAACAATGAAACAGTTAGTTGGAAAACCACAACAAACAAAAATAATGACAAATAAAATGACAATATAAATGACAATATCATCACAAAATATATAATAATAATAATAATAATAATAATAATAATAATATCAAAAAACACACAGAAATACTACCGACAAAAAAACTTGCGATAAAATAATGACTAATTTTATCCATGGGTTAAGTGTGTTCAGCACAGGGCTAATGGATTTATATTATATTTATATCATATATAATATTAGAAACAAAGAGATAGAGATATTTCTTATATATTCAATGTTTTTTATTTTGTATGTGTTTTATGTCTATATTGTTGAACTAAGGTTACAAAACATCAATTAATTATCCAAATATATTCACAGTTTATACAGTATATATTAATATTTATATAATGTTGTTTTATGTATACTCAGTTATCAGTAATGTTTTTATATAAAAAGCATTTTATTTGTTTTTTAGAGATTCAATGCATACTTGATTTATAACTTTATTACTGTAACATCAAACTATTAAAAGGAAAATATTATATACAGTATATTCATATATACATATAGTGGGAGTACACACAAGTGTATAATTATTTACTATATATATATAACGTTTTTGATAGATCCTGTATAATAATACCGTTATATAAGTTATTAAAGTATGAATTATTATATTATATAAGTTTAAAAAACAATATATCACATTTTTAAAAATTTAATAAAAACTATCATCAATGTTCAGGTAAAAAATAATAAAATATTATTAGGACACAGATCACTACAATTTAATATATATGTCATTAAAATAATAGTAAGATTTACTGATATTGAAAGATTATTGCAATCATAAATCTTATTTAATAATAAATATAAAAAATAACAATATTTAAGTGCGATGAAAATATGACTTAAAAACTGGCCAAAAGTTTTTTATCATATATTTTTTATTATTGAGTTAATCTTATAAAAGCTATGTTTTTATTTTTAATATTAAATAATTTTCTGGAAAATACTAAAAATACTTTTATTACTAATTTTTTATAAAGTCTACTTTTATAGTTATGTAAGCATAAAAATTTAATTGTTATTCAAGTATGATATTATTGATTTTAATTAAAACACAATTATATATCAATTTAATTTACATTAACTCTATAAGATAAAATTGTTTTAAAAATTAGTTTAGTTATAAATTAAGCATTCAAAATAAATTACATTAGCTTAAAAGCTTTTTAAATGTTAGTCAAAAAAAATTGTTTAATTATTATTATTACTAAATGAATATTCAACAATTTATTAAATTTTAAAGTTTAATATTATTTATTTTAAAAATGATGTAAAGAAATATTTATTAAAAACATTTATTCAATGATTAAATATAATTTATTGGATAAACATAAATATTTTATTATTTTATTCACAATAATAATAAATTTTATCCAGAGTCAGTAATTAATATTTTAAATATTTATTTAAATTTAATCTATTGATATAAGTATAGAATTTTTAAAAATTAAAAAAATATTTCCTAACTTATCCATAATTAAATTTATAAAAGTAAGTTTTTATATTGTTTAATTTATAAATGGCAACTAATTAATTATTTTTTATTATTAACTAGGACCATAAAATATTTAGTTATACTAATAGTTTACACATATTAGTTAGCATAAAATTAAATACAAAAATTTATTTTTATTTGAAAAGTAAATAAAGTCTAGTTTTATAATTGTAATTTGTTTAAAAATAATTATGCATACCATAAAATGATTATCTATTGTTATTAAAACTTTTAATTAAATATGTTTATCGAGAAAAAACAAAAAAAACTAAAATTTAATATATTTTCTGATTTTTCTAAATAATAATGTACTATAATAATAAACATAGCATTTGTTTTTTTAATTAAATATAATTGACATTTATCATTGAGTGTGTTTATCAATATTTGTTTGTTTTAGCAATAAAATAACTTTTAAAAATTAACATTTACTTTTAAACAAGTGTGTAAATGTATAGTAATAGTAGTGATGTTATAATCAGCATAAATACAGTATTTGTATTTAAATGTAAAGTGTATGCAATATAACTTAATTTTTATGATTCTTGATAAAAGTATATAAATTACATAACAAATAGAAATAAATTTATATTATAAAAAATGTACTAAACATTTAAATTATAATCTAATAATAAATCATTTAAATTACCCAAAATTAAAAAATAATTTGAAATGAAATGAACTAAGATTATTTTTGATGATTAAAAATTTATTTTTAAAGTTGATATTTAAACAGTATATAAATTTATATACTGTAATACAAGCTATTTATATAAAAATAAATATATAGATTTTAAAAATTTCTATATATAGTTTATGATATTTTGCACTTTTATATATAAGATACAGTATTTATAGAAAACATACATACATTTACAGTCAATATAAACTTTCATTATTAATATTGGCAGTAAAATACAGTACAGTACTTGTCAGTGTAATAAATGTACAAAACATATATATCTGGCAATACTATTAAATGGTTTTATTTGGTTCAATCATCATTAGTTTAGTATAGTAGTACTCCAGTAGTTTAGACAATATTTTTTATTTAGAATATAATATAATGTAGTGTACGATACACATAACACACACACACACACACACACACACACACACACACACACACACACACACACACACACACACACACACACACACACACACACACACACACACACACACACACACACACACACACACACACACACATCACACACACACACACACACACACACACTCACACACACACTACACACACACACATACACACACATACACACACACACACACACAATACTCGCTAAGTAAATGGCAAAATAAATTGACAACAAATTCTCATACATTTGTTTTTATTACACACATTGAAAATTATTTATATAATTTTTCTATTATATTTTTATGATAACCTTTACAATAGTTATTAGTATTAAATATTGAGTATATAAGTTATCATATATATACATAAATATTAGTTTAATTAGTGCAAAACATTTCAAGTTAATACAATAATTTTTATTAAATTTGTGTTATAATTATATTTTTGTAATTTTCTGCATATAATTATGTAATATAGGTTTTTTGGTGTTTTTTACTAAGACAATACATTTATAGTACTGTTATATTATACATTAAGACTGTAATTTCAAAACTATATAAAATACAATATTTTATATTAATTATTAGACAAACTAAATGGTTATTGTTTGAACATCACTAAACTCAATCCCTAAACACCTTTTTCATAGTAATGCATATTAGTTACTACACATTGAGTTATATGTAAGGGTCAGTTAGTTGTCAGCACATGGAGCTCTCAGTATTCGTAAAGCTTAACGTATTATCTCTCAATTGCTAATAAATTTTTCCGCTAAATTGATTTTTTTCTTGGTTTTCTATTATATGTGAAAAACAATAATATAATTCTGGGTATTAATAAAAAATTTATATTATATTTATAATTAATTCTTTTTATTATATCCAATATTTTTTTTAATAAATAAAAGTATTATATTATTACTGTATATTAGTGTTATTATTTAAATTTTTATTTTTATATTGTAAGTGCTAATTAATGAAATTAATTGTAATTATTAAATATAATATATAAATAATATCAACAACTTTAATGAAGAATAAATAATAAAAATGTATTTTATTATTATTTATTTAAACAAAATTTTAAACCAAAATAATATAAATTCAGAAAATATAGTAAACACAATTAAAATTTGTTGTTTACTATTATTTAAATTTGTAATTATTTTTGTTTGATATTTTTTAATTTGATAGTTTTATCTACTACAAATTTATTTTTTAAATATTAATTTTACATGACTTACTATGTAAGATTAGACAAATATAAAAATATTGTTTTTTAAATTACAGGTAAAAATTTTTTTAAAAAATATATATCTTGATGATTTTATTTATTAAATAAATTTAATTAACTCATTTGTACATTACTATACTGTAGTACAATTTTAATACAAATAAAATAGTAATATTATTTTTAATGGCAGATTAAAACAATTTTTTGTTATATTAAATAATTACCCTCATTTTTTGAATTAATATTTTATTTTGTCGATCAATGATTAGATTAATCAATTAAAGTATTTAATAAAAATAAGATCATTGAAATCAAAGAAAAACCATTGAAAGCCGAGTGCTATTTTGATTATCAGTATTGTCCATATGGGCCATGAGGTCACTATAGATCCCATAATCCAATCTATCAAACCCAACAATAGTCGTACACATAGACTCCGGTTGTGAATCCTATCGATTTCAATGATGTCACCCTTTTTCTCGACATAGTTTCTTATGGTTTCTTTGTTAGGCTTTTTAAGATCATAGGCCAGACCTACCAGTGATGATATGACGATAACAAGTGTCGCCAAATTATAGCTTTCGTACCACTTGTAATAGCTAGTTGTATAGTCCCACTAGAAGGGATGTAAGTGTAGGTTAAAGGTTAAATAAAATTTGTAATAAAAATATGTTGTTTTTATATTATGGTAATCACTTACGGGAAAGGCGTGATGATAGTTATGAGATCCCTCACCCATTGACATATACACTACAAGTTTGTTTTCAGTAGGCCGGAGCCTCTTATCGTAATAGCGATCACCAAATATATGTGCAATGCTGTTGACTGTCCACATGTGGTGCAATACAACCACCGCTCGTATGCCTACACACGACACAAATGCTGTCAACAGATCTTCACTCCAGATTAATGGTATGACTGCCGGCAAAATAAAACAGAAGACAATGACCAACGGTGTGTAGAACCGGTGTTGAAAGCGGACAATCGGGTCAGACCACAAGTCATCGTATCGAAGTTTGCGACCACACTCGATGACCTTCGGGTCTTTCTTGAGTAGCCACCAACCGATGTGTGCAAAAAAGAAGCCCCGATTTGAGTTTTTTGGGTCGGCCACTGAATCCGACCATTTGTGGTGTGTCCGATGGTCGCGTACGTAGGAGTATATACTGCCGTTCACCGATACTGTCTGCATTATCATCAGCGCGAGTCTCAGTGGCCACCGAGCTTTGAACGACTTGTGTGCCCATAGACGGTGAGAGCCGACCAAAATGCCTATTCACGGAAAACAGCGATCAGTTTTTTGTTTATACAAATATAATTAAATTAAATTATTTGTTTAGTTGCAAACCTATTCCCGAAGCGCATGAGATAATGTAGATGAAAGAGACTGTTAATACTTTGATTGGCGAAACTATACAGTGATAGTATCCATAAATGGCCAGTATGTGCATCGCCGATAGGAATAAGACATTTGACCACTTGATCTGAGACCAGCGGTAACCAAATATTCTACACGTATAACCCTTTTTATCAGCATTTGTGTCGGCACCGGGACATTGATTGGCATTATTGTTGTCTTCAAATTTTTCATCACTTTGTGTATACAATTCTTCCTCTCCGTTGGTGTCGTCACCCATATTAACAACTTGTTGTTGTAGTTGTTGTTTGTGATGACTGACGTTATTATCCATTAAATTTTATTATTTCTATTATTTTAACTTTTTTTAGCTGTAAAATTAAATTACATTATATAATTTATATATATTTTTTAGTATAATTTATTAATAACGATATTAATTTTTTTTAAATTGCGAAAACTATAATTAGTTATTATAATTAGCATTAATTAGGCTTTTAAATTAGTAATTAATATTTTGAGGTTAAAATAAAAATAATTTATAATCTATGTTTAAACGTGTTTATAAGTTTAAACAGTTAATTCATGGTAAAGTATCATAGTTTGTAATCTTTTAAGAAATATTTTTTAAAATTAAATATATACAGATATAAATCTTACTTATATATCTAAATAATATTTAATTATTATTTTTATAAATAATATTTCATATTTATGTCATTTATTATTTATTTTTTTTTAAAGTTTTTTAAAAGCTTGGATTTTAAATTTATTAGTTAATTATTCACTAATACTCAATACAATTAAAATGTTATGCACTAAGAAATCCTTAATATACTATATAATTATCATATAAATACTGTAAAGTTATATACAATATATTATTGACGTAACTTTGAATTAAAACAGAAAAATCCTTTACATTACTTATTGTTTTTTTTTCAATAATAAAATTTAATAATAATAATAATAATAATATGTTATAATGTGATACACGATGAAGTCAATTATGTGATAGTATATTGTACTTAATTTTATTATTTATTGCAAAAATATGGAATTTTTAAAAATATTTATATATATGCTAATCAATTATGGATTTTTTTTGTTATTATCAATAATTTCTTTATATTGTATTTTTCTTCTTAATCAATATTAAAAAACAATTTAATTATGTATTTCCACAGTTACAATATGTATCTGGGTACATTATGATAATATTAAAATAACATTTTATAAAAGTTTGTATTTGGGCTATAGATCTCGCGCCCAAATGTAATACTGCTATAGCATATATAGCTATATATTATATTAAATATAATGTTTATTATATAATATTATGTTAATATGTATTTATTTATAATTATTAAATACAATTAAAGTTAATTTATATTCAATTATAGTTTAGGTTTATCTTTAGCTTTAGGTTAGATTTAGTTTAGGATATCTAACGTTAATAGTCGTAATCAGTAATTAAAATTTTATAAACATTATTATAAAAAATTGGGCAAGAGACCAAGTTTATAAATAATTTAATTTTATTAATTGATTGATTATACACTGTATTATATTATACAGTCAGCACAGGTATTCCTCTCTCTCTCTCTCTCTCTCTCTCTCTCTCTCTCTCTCTCTCTCTCTCTCTCTCTCTCTCTTTCTCTCTCTCTCATGATGACCCAACTCATTTAATCTAACTTATATAATCTAAATAAAAATATCCAAAATTATTTAATATAAATGAAAATAATTTATATATTTTTTACTATTTATAACAAGAATTTTAGTAATGTTATAATAATTTTTATTAAGGAATTGTGAATATTTATTTAAAATAAATAATTTTGGATATTTTGAACTCCACTAAACTATATGAAAGATTAGGTAACTTCAATCTCATATTGAATATCCAATGCATTTATTATTTTTTTATTTTTACAATTTTTGTATAAACTAACTATACATTTTAATTTGTAGTATTTAAATGATTTTTGTGTATTGTTTTTAAAAATTTTATATCAAATATACATCTATAAATACATTGGTTTTTTGCACCTGGCTATTGTACATATGTATAAAGTACATGTATGATGTACAGTATATATAGTAATATTTTAAAACTTTTTTTAATACCTGTATCAATCATAAACACACAACTTTTAATATGGTTCAAGGATGTACCAGTTATACACTGTTTACTTATGTTATACTAGTTTAGTAAAAGTATTATATATTATTAATTATAGTTATAAAGAATATTTACTGTAAATATAAATGAATTTTTCCTATGATGTCAAGTTCGTGGTAATTGAATAGTCAGTAAAATACTATAAATAAATCCTAAATGATATGCATTGCAGTGAAATTATTTTTAAGTAGTTTTATAGATAGTATAGTACAGTATTTTTTATTTAGTAATTGAAATCAATAAGATTATCACAATTTTTCATAGAAATTCAATAACAAAAAACTTGTTTAACATTTTTCTCTTTCAACAAAGTATTTATATTTTTTCACATTTAAAAAGTAATGTATTTTCTGTGTATTGCACTATTGTGTTGCAATACTTATTATGATACCCAGTCTGTAAAGTATTTTGAATGTATGATTGAATTTGTCAAAAGTAAAAGCTATTTATATTTATATATCGTAAATAGTTTGTAAGGGGTTATAGTCAATGCGGTCATTGTCTATACATTAGTTATGTATAAAGTTTATGCTAAAGAGTGTATAGACAATGACCGCATATAATACATGACTTTTTTTGTTGCATTTGCTTTATTGGGGAAAAACAAGTTTTCTGGTGAATGGGTTCATGCGGTCATATATCAGTGCTTATGTTAGCTCTAATAATATAAATCATTTATATAGACATACTTATGATAGATACTAAATATATATATATATATATATATATATATATATATACATAACTTTGGGCACCAAATGTCATTAAAAGGTAAATTTTATTCACTTTCATATACTTTATTACATTTCAATTTTTTTTACATATTTTCAATGAAAAAAAATTTAGTAAAATCCTATTTATAGTCAAATAAATTGTGTTGTTGTTTAATCAAAAACATCTTAAATAAATTTATATATTTTTATACAATCTTAAAATTTAAAGTATAAACAAACATATTGAGCTAACCGTATGAAAAGATTTTTTCTGATTATAAAACTGTTTTTTTTCTGTAATTAATAAAAATTCAAATCATGTTTTTACTTATCTTATAAATTTTAAAATAGTATTTATAAAATAAAAAACTTTTTTTCATTTAAAAATACTAATATTATTTGATACTTTTAAGGATATTATTGTAAATCTTTAAAATAATATGTAAGTATTTGTGTGAGTAAGTCAATGAAACAGAGAGAGAGAGAGAGAGAGAGAGAGAGAGAGAGAGAGAGAAAGTTATTTTTATTTACTAGTATAATGGTAAAATTTTTATAGGTTAGTAGATAAATTTTTTAAGTAAAAAAATATTATTTTTGTGATAAATTATATACTATTTCATTTTTTTCTAAAAATAATTTTTAGAATTAACATATCTATAAATTTTATAATTATAATTTTTAATGTGTAGACATTAATATAAAATTTGTTATCAAAATACTATTGATTTTTAACTAATATAAATATATCTTATATAATAAGTTTTGTAGTATTTGAATACATGTAATTCATGATCTATAAGTATTAAATAACTTATAATATTAGTTATTTATTAATATTTATATTAATAATATACAATATTAATTGTATCGTAAATTATCAGTCATTATTTAATGAAATATTAAATTTACTACACTTAATAAAGTATGTATTAAATAAATTAATAAATTTAAAAGTTTTTATAATTATTGACATTTAAAAAATACTTACATAAAATATGTGAATTAGCCACAAATCAATATTATTATATTAGTATTTGTATAATAAAGTATTAACTTTAATACATTCTTAGAATAACAAATAAAACTTTTATTTTGATAAAAATATTATTAATATATAAAAAATTACGAAAATATTTATCTGTAAAAATTGTTTTCAAACTTTTTCTCATAAAAAATTTCTCAAAAGTGTTTTCACATCCCAATTGTTAATCCCTTTTCAACAATTTATATACTAAACCCTGTTTTCTTGTAATAGCATCCCATCTCTGACTTCATGCGCAAACCAGTCTATTGATCATCCAGTTTGTAGGCCTTTCCCTTCATTCAAGTGTTTATCATTAAGGTATAGTCAAAATCCTATCACCGGTTACTACTAATATAATTGTTATTTTAGAAAAAAACAAAATTATTAATTTTGTGTCATTATATCAATGACGTTAAAGCAATATTCACATTTAAATTATTTTTTGAAAATAATTAGACTATTATAATAGTTATTCATGGAAAACATTTCCTGTTATCAATGTTTTTATAATTAATAATTTAGATAATTATTTAAAATATATATTTATATTTATATATAATATTATAATTTATTTATAAATTGTATATTTATTTAAGATGTTATCACTTTGAATATTTTATATCTTTATTGTTAATAATATTATAAAAAAAATTATTTTTATTTTATCATTAGTTATTATTACAAAATATTAGGCAATTTTTGTATTGTTAAATATATTTTTTTATTTATCAATATTACTTTATTAATACATTATTGTTATTTATTAGTATATTAATCCATAACTAATTCGTTAGTATTTTTCATCATTAATAATATTTATAAGTAAATAATATTATTTTTGTTTAATAATGTTATCACGATTTTTATACTATTTCTTAGTTTTGCAAATAATAGTCAATTACTTTCTAAATATTTTTCAGATTTATGATGTAAAATAACAATAAAATCTATAAATTTTGTGTAAATTTATATATAAATCTACTATACTGTATATTACACAGTTTTTTTTATATATACATGTATATTATATTATATTACCGATATATTTACTGTATATTTAATAATCAATAAATATAGTATTTATCTGGATTTTCCTAAACTTCTAAAAAGCAACAATAATATGAAAGAAAAAAGAAAATATACAAAAATAATAATTAAAAATCTGACAAATTTCGACTAATTGTGTGAATAATGTTAGATATTTAGTAACAACAAAATACTGGTTATATTGTTTGCTTTTTAATAAACAGTTTTTCAAAATAATTTTTTTTTGAATACGATTTTTTCAAACAAGGATATCATGTTAATGCGAATATGTTAAATATATAAATATATAATAGTTTATAATTAATTTTTTAAAAATAATTTCTATAATAAGTCATATAAATATTTTTTATTAATTAATAATCCAATAATTTGTTCACACAATTAGTTTGTTATTAATACATTGAAATTATGTACATTTCTAAACAAAATATTATTATAGTTAATTATTACATGATTTTTTTTAGGTACATGATGACATAAAGTGTGATAGATTATTTTTTGATTAAATAATAGAAATTTCTTATTAAATTCATAAAATTAGAACAAGGTAATGTTTAATGTTTACAACAAAATTAATAATATTAATATTTTTAATTTAGAAAATTATTAGCTAAATTTTAATTAAAAAAATATCAACAAGAAAATTTTCTAAAAATAATAATCTAATGTTTCTAGAAATAGACAAAATTATTAAATTATTTTTAGTTTAGTTTGATTTTAATTATATAGCGATATATTATTGCAGTACAAAAAAAAACTATTAGTCTATTAGTATCAGTCAAATAATGTTTTGTTTCGTAAAATAATTTTGACAAATACATTGACGGGTGCCGTAACTGTGGACCAGTTATCTCAACTCCATGGGCTATACTCGAGTTTCTTTTAAAATAACAATTAAATAAATGACAATTTAAATAATACTATCACAACTCAATATATCAATTATACAAATAATATTTTAATAAATATAGTATTATTTATAATGCATACATACTTTTGTTAGACTACATTTAGCGAACCGATAGTTTCTTAACAAATTTATTATTAAAAATTTTATCTCAAGTAACGCCATTCGACTAATTGGATGCCTACCGTTCCCTTCATCAAATAGTTGGTATGCGTTTACTGTGGACTTGTTATGCTGCAAAAATCGGTCCGGTTTGAACTGATTTGGTTCGGCATAATTATCGGCACTTTTATGCATTGCCAATACCGGTATCATTAGGTGACAATCTTTTGGTAAATTCAAACAGTCAAGTGTTAACTCTTTGATGACCCGACGTTTAATTAGTGAAACGGGTGGATACTGTCTTATAGTTTCATTGATACAGGCATCTAAGTAAGGCATAGATTCAATTTTATCAGTAACTCCCTGTCCCTCATCGTTGTCATCACTTATATTGTTATCATTTTTCTTATTATTAGTTTTGACATTATTGGTAATCACATCATTTTTATCATCGTTGTTATTGTTGTCAAAATATTTGTCAATTTCTTTGATGAGTTTTTGCTGAACGCCCTGATTGATGGCCAGGCAATGGATCAAATGTAAAATACTGACCACTGATGTCTGATAGCCAATAATGGCTATCATTATGACACTGTCGATGATCTGCTTATTTGTCAATCCTATTATTATATTAATTTTTAAATATGTTATACAGTATGTATTATAATAAAATTATTTAAATTATAGATAAATTAAATGATAATTTTTTGTTTGTTTCATACGTTGATTTTTATCAATGTCCCGATTGGCGTCCGATAGCATAAACAATAAAGAGTTTTTACAACTATTAGTTTTACGTTTTCTGAGAATCTCATCGACAATAGTACCGATTTCGCCGATCACTCGGATGTCTACGGATTTTCCGGTCATAAAATGATCACATTTTCTATATATCTGTGCTATCAATGATCGATGAGTTTTGTTGGCGACAAACAGTTTGTCAAAAGCGTTTGCCAATCGGTCTTTGAGAGACTGATCAACAAAACTACCGAAACACGCGCTTAGGTATGCTTTCTTTGTGAACATCATTACAAATGGTTTTATATCGAAATACTTTTCAAATGATATCATTTGGTTTAACATTACTGTCAACTCGTAACTGGTTTTTCCAAAATGTTTGCATATAACTGACAAGTTTTTAACTACCAGTCCTCGGCTAATAACTGTCTCATGTATTGGCCAGTTGTTGGTCAAACAACAAGACATACAATTGGGTAATGTTTGATGTCGACGAAGATATTTCTAATAAAATGTTAAATAAGTAAAATAGTAATTTTTTAATGATTTCAAGTTATTAAAGTAAACAATTACTGGTCTTTTAAAATAGTGGTAATATTTGATGAACCAGTTTATTGTCAGCTGTGATCAACACAGGTGTCAATAATTTATAAATACTGTTAAATAAATAGTAATCAATATTAATATTTTATTAATTTTATAAATTTTGTATAATTAACCAAAATATTTTGCCATATTTTTCTATCAATGTAAAATAAATGTTATTTATGTTATAGGGCCATCAATAGGTTGACCACTTTTTGTCGACTCCAAAATGTTAGTTTGTATAACAGATAAAAACATGAGTATGCAATTACACTTAAAAAACTAGCTAGTATATATATTTGATACATAATTAAAAAATATTAACTTAATTACTTGATATTATATATGCATTATTTTTATTTAAAAATATTAATGTTAATGCATAATATATTTATTTTGAAAATAATCTAAAAAAGTATTTTTTAAATGGTCCATTTGAAAAATATATAAAAATTTAATTGTTATTATATTAAATCTTTTATTTTCATATAATATAAAAAAATACTACACTAATATAAAGTTAAAAAAGTTAAATTTTGTTTTATATAAAACTAAATAAATAATAAAATATCTATTAATAAAATAACTAATCATGTTTATTATAATTTTTATATTATTAAATGAATCGACTAAATAATAAATCACTTATTATACATTTATAATTCATATATATATATATATAATTATACAGTATAATTGAATATTAATATTATTAATTAATATTAATCACAATATACTGTAATGTAATACTGTATAATATGTACATTTACAGATTATTTATTGTAAAATTGTGATTTTCATTGATTACCTTAACAATAAACATTTATAAAAATTTAAAAATAATAATAATTTATAGTTTAAAATAGAAATAATATTTTATGATAGAAAACTACTGTATATTGATTTATTGCAAATAATGTCAATTATCGACATTATTAAGATATATTAACATTTTTTGTGATGATTTGTCAATTAACTTTTTAGTATTTTTTAACTGTGCATTTAGTAAATGTGTCACTAAATTATTAGAAAGTTTTATTTTATATATATATATTATGTAATAATTTATGATGTAAATAATTTATATGCAAATTTTAAGCGTAAATATACATATTTATATGTGGATATTGATCATACACTTAGCATAAAAACTATCAAAATATTTTATCATTGATAAATTTTATTAGTATATAAAATATATCAATGATTATATTTACAGATATGAATAAATAATTTATATGTAGATAATATTTTTCTATATATTGATATAACATAAGTAAAACGTGAATAAAGTGAACATAAATAACAAAAAAATAGTTATTAATTTTGTTTTAGTATCAAATAATTTATTATTATTATTATATATATATATATTTCTCAAAACATGTTAAATAATTTTTAACTAAATCAACTGTTACTATGTATGTTATATTTGACAACACTTTTTTGCTTTTAGTTATCCTATCACTTACTTTCTCTCTCTCAGTCATTGAATATCATTAAATTGAAAAAGTATGCTTTAATTTAAGTAACTTTTATCAATCATACAATATTAGTATCATATATTGAGTATTAATATTATAATACTTTTTTTTAAAAAAACATTTTATTATATTAGTGTTGGTGTTTTATCACTGTGCTTGCGTTTATAATAATAAAATAACTTATAATAATTATTTTTGTTACTGCTATACAATTTGTTAGTTAAACATTAGTATCAATATTAAATGTTTTTATCAGCAAAAAAATTATAGTCATTATATATTAAATATTGTTATTAATTGGCAGTTGTCTGTGTATTTCAATATACTGTATGTTTTAATTGTAATAATAATATAATGATTCATCTATCATTTATTTTTTTTAATAATAATAATAATAACAATGATAATAAGTAACATAACTTGATTATTATAATTTTTGTATTTATCGTTACAAAAAAAAATTATTATTTATTTTTATAAAATGTTATATTTAGTTGTCATATTTTATCTGTAATTGTTATTGTTAATAATTTTTTTTTAAAAATATTTAGTTTAATCAATATATTTCTCATATTACCCTGGTTTAATTTTAATACCAGTTTAATATAGATATATGGGTAATTGTTTAGGAGTTGATTGCAATAACTGTGATGACAATGAGAAAAAGGTAATGTTATTAATATGAATAATAATATAAATTTTAGAAAATTTTGAATACATGTGCGATTTACAATAGAATTATAAGTTTTTTTTTTAAAAACCATAACATATATAGTCATATGACCTTGGTTATAATTGTTTTTTTCATTTCAATATTACTAATAATGTAATTGTTATTTAGATAAATGTTAAGAAACAATCACTAAAAGACGATTCGTCCGCTTATTATTTCAAAGTACTGTTTGTCGGCGACCGAAATGTCGGCAAATCATGTTTGTTGCGGTCACTGGTCAACAGTGGCTGCGATGATAACTTAGATAACAAATCATTGGCACCGACTATGGGCGTTGATTTTGCACGAAAAATACTTAATGTCGACCAAAGTCTAGTGAAGTATCACTTCTGGGATCCGTCTGGTGACCAACGGTTTCGTAATCTATTGCCAAACTATTTCTCAGGTATTATATATTAATCCTTTCCTTAATATGACTGATAAATATTGAAATTATAATTCAAAAAATACATTATTTATTATATTATGTTTTAGGCATCGATGCTGTCTTCCTGTTGTACGACATATGCGATGAACAAAGTTTTCAATCGCTAACCGACCACTGGTTGCCCATTATTCGTGCCAATGCCCGACCGCCGCCGACAATGAGACTTATAGTGGCCAACAAATCAGATCTCGCCGATGATCGCCGTATCAGTGTATCGAAGGGCATACAATTTGCAAATAAAACCGGATCGCTATTCATGGAAGTGTCGGCCAAAAGTGGACAAAATGTCGATAATTTACTTTACATTGTTGGCCATCAATTGATTGCAATACATAAACAAAATCATAATAGGGGTTAACCCCCCCCCGCCTAACACTGTGTAAATCATTTAATCATTTTGAGACTATCCATATATGGATTGTAAAAGTACTTAATGTTATTTTATAGTCTTTATTTTATTCATTATTTGACATTTTGTATATATTTTTTAAAAACACATTTCTTATTCATCGATGTGTCACCTGTTGCGAGTGTGGGTGTCATCACTATTAAAATAGTGATGAATACACCATAATATCTATTTAGTAGGACTAGACATCTATGTGTCTTATTTGGATGACATTGCAAATATCATTGACATTAATATTTATTTTAGTGTAATTAAATCAGATACTAATTTATAAATTTGTAAATCAACAAAAAATAATCAATTTGTGAAATATATTTTCATTAAAAAAATTAATTTGTTACCTGACTAATTTTGTAAATTTAAAAAAAGATAATCTTAAATAATACAATTTTTTGTTACTAAGAAACCATTTGTAGCGATATTTTTTGAGTAATTAAATTACAATTATTTGTAACATTTGTTTTGTTTTATTTATTTATTTTTATCTATTCTTTGAATTTAATGACATCTCTAAATGTGTTTGATTGACATAAGAAATGATGACAAAACCCAATGACAAACAAATTAATAAATAACTCAATAATACAAAACTAATATAAATGACAACAAAATGAGTCGGTTATAGTTATATTAGAAATATATTTTTACATATAAATTATTTTGTATATAATAATAATAATATACTATTAATACTAAATAATAATTATTTATTTATTTATTTGTTATTTAAAAGACATGTTACAAAAAGCTTAAAAACATGTTTAATAGACAAAGTAAATATACTGACGAAAAGCATACAATTTATAAATCAGTTATTTATGTAAATTATAAAACACATGTATCTATCAATAGTTTTTAAATCAGCCCCAAATGCCTAACTGTCCAAAATTCAATATAAAATACATAAGTTTAACAAAATTTATATTTAAAAAAATTAAATGAATAATAATATATTTAAACAATATATTTATTATTTCTGAATATTTTAAATTACCGGTATATGTAGTCAATTTTATTAATTTCATTAATATAATATTTACTAATTAAATGCAACTAAATTAAATAATTAAATAAATAAAAACAACATGCATTTAGAGAGCAATTAAATTATCATTTAAATTAATTCAAGCATTATTGTTTTTTAAGATATTTCTTTATTAATATGACATTTAAAAAAAATTATACTCGAGATATGTTATGGCTATCGATATAATAAAACAATTTAAAAATTATGTATCACAACAAACAAACAAAAATTATACAAAGATTTTATCGACAAACAAAATTACTAATAATAATATGATTTATTTTTTTATGAAACAATTTGTTGATATTTAGGATAAGTATCCAGTATGTTTTGTTTTGTATTATCAGGATCATCTTTTTCAATTACTTGTACCATTTTAATATCACTATTAGTATTATTATTATAATTATGATTATTATTGTTGTTTAGAATTTTGTCCTTGGTCGTATAGTTTTCCATATAAAAACGATAAAATAAATAGAAGAATATACCGCCCAATGCTGTCGATATTAATACAAAATATGTTGAACTCATTGGACAGCCTATAAAAGGTGCCCGAACTGAGTGTACAATTATCAGTATAAACTGAACCAACTGTCCAGATGTCAGATGTCGTTTCCATTTGAGGTATGGCTCAAAACGATCGCCAAATGAGGCCAATGTATAATACAAATACATGAGCACATGAATAAAACTGTTGATGAACGGGTACATTGCATTTTCGACACCGGGAGAAAATTTAAAGACACTCCATATGGCAATGGGTACTATCGAGTGATGAAATACATGAAGATTTGATACCTAGATATAAATTAATTTGTAAAGTTATTTCAGATATGTATATATATTAGAGAGAGAGAGAGAGAGAGAGAGAGAGAGAGAGAGAGAGAGAAAAAATCTGATGAGATGTCTGTGGTCTAACCTGTCGGTGCTTTTTGCGTAACACAAAGAAAACTGTGTCCATATACTCGGCCATTCGTGACAGGAAGAAAACATAACCCAAAAATATGAAATGAGAGTCTATTATTTGACACGATTGAGGACAGTTCCACACATTGAGTCCAAAATTGGTACGGGGGATAAACTGGTACAGTCCATAAAAGTTGACCGCCACCATCATCGAGTTGAATATCCTTATTGGCCAACGCAAGTCATATGGCTTACGATTGGCCATCAGCTGTGGGCCCAACCATTTGACAAAATAAAGATAACCTCCTAAATAGACATATGTTTTATATAAATTCTAAATAATTAATTGATTTCTTGTCAACAATATTTACCTGTTATGGCTAACAGTGGCCACGGGGTGGTCATCAACGGGTAGTCCGATATAAATGGACATCTGTTTTGATTCCATATATCGTAATAAATGTAATTAAATGCTGAAAAAATCATTTTTCATTAATTCGATATTCAAGTTTTGAAAACTCTTAAGATGACTATTAGAGAAAAAAAGTGATAATAGGATAACTAAATCATAAATATTTTTTAGATGAACTTTTTAAGTATACTATTTTTTTAAAAAAAATTATAGAGTTTTAGTACAATATATGTACTGATTATCCACAAGACATGAGATCAATGATGTGAGAGAGCTGTCAGTAATTTACTTTAAAGTCATTTGAATTATCTTTTCATAAAATATCATCTTTTTATGATAAGCACAGACCTGTTTTGTTATTCAAAAAAAATAATAATAATAATTACTTATATTTTATTAATGATTACCAGCGCCGGGATTTAGGAATTTTTCATACTGTATACACAATTATTGTTTTGTGTTTTTCTATGTATTTCATAATACATTTAATAACTTTTTCATTTTTTTCAATGTTGTCGTAAATATTAATATTTAATTCTTGGTAATAAATTATTTGATTATATTTTAATATTTGTCAATAATTGTCAATAAGTTTAAATAAGTATTAGATATGCTTAAATATTTTAATATAAAAGATTTTAAAATTATTATTTTATTTTATAAAATATAACAATTATATACATTTATTTTACAATATTTTAAATACTTAGATTTAATATACTATTTAATAATTATACATTAATATCTAAATTAAACTATCCAAATAATATTTGTTAATAAATTACAAATGGTATACATATAATATCGGTAATTTAGAAAAAATAGTTAAATAATATATGAGGAAATAGTCTAATTTTATTTTATTTTATTAAATTGCAAAAAAAAACTCAGAAAAACTATTATCAAAATTCAATGTCATAAACATATGTAAGTTATTGTAACGTTTTTAAGCATATAATGTTGCATAACTAATATACAACTGTTTTGTACAGTTTTATGATTAAAATCGGGAAATATTTAATTTAATTTACTTTTTTAATTATTTATGTTTTTATACCATCACTTATTAATTAGACATATTTGCATATATTTATAAATCATATGATATAATAATAATTATAATATTGCTATATTTATGAAAATTTATACAACAATTCCTTAAAGTAAAGTAATTATATTTTATTATCGTAAATCAAAATATAGTAAAACCCAAAATTGACACCAAATTTAAGATTTTATATGTTTTAATTGACATTGTTTTCTACAATACATTAGACAATACAATAGTATTATCATTGTTTAGTAAATAATTTTGTTTGTGACGTAATTTTCAATGTTATCGTTATTGAAAGTATTTACTGAATATTATATAAACACATGAATATTTTTATAAATTTTAATCAATTTTATTAATATCTAAACGTTTTATTTGATAATTACATTAAAATATTTAATACATAGATAATATATATATAAGTATAGATAGTAAATTACAATAATAGACAATTTTTTAAATAGATATAAATTTTTATAACCGATTAGCTTGAACAAGATTGAAAAAATGGATATATAATTTTTAATAGTTTTTTAAAAATAGATTAGACTAAAAATACAAAAATATCAATAAAACAAAATAATATATTTTTAAAGTGCAGAATAGCTTAGACAACATTTGAACGATTCTTGTTATTAATTAATAGTGATATATATTCCCATCGATGATATACCATAAGGTACACCACTATCCACGGTATAAAACAAAACATTACGTACGGCGAGAATGTTAGCAAAATTGCATAAAATATCTGAAAACTGAGTGATTGGGTGACCAGTGCTACCAAACCGATAATTACCATCAAAATCATCCAATAGTTGATCAGATAAGCAGTTGATTTATTAAAATAACAATCATTATTATAGCAAAACAAATAGCCGTTTTCCATATATCTGGAAAATATGATTAATAATAACCAAATTTCAAATATGATAAAACAGAAAATAAACTGAAAGCACATAAAAACAGTGTAAACTATATGACTTTGGATCTGAATTTTTGATTGATCTTTGGGTTGTTGGGGTTCAGGTATTTTAGCCAACAATTGTGGATCACTTTTGATGGCATTAGTCATCATTGAAGTCATTATTGAATTTGACTTTCAATTCAATTGTTTCAAATGAATAAATACTATTCACTTAAATTCATATTTTAATTTGTTTTCTCAAATGTCATATATTATGTATCATCTCTTTCATAGATTTTAACAGATTATGTAAGTATTAAATATATAGTACAGTATTATTGTATTTCAATAGTAATTGTATATACAGGTATATATATATATAAATCAATCAAACAAATTGAGTTTATACACAATTAAAAAAAACTATAGTCTAGCGAAATATGTATTTTAATGAATTTACATAATTAAATCATATATATTTATTTATTTATTTGCCTCTTTATAAACTATATTTATACCTAAAAAAAACTTATAAATTATTACTATAAATACTAAAAGTTTTATTTAAAGAATATGAGCCGATCTACCCCTTGTATGGCACCGTCAAAAGTATTGTTGCTAACGCGCTATTTATTACATTTTTATACAATTGAAATACCGGTACATTAATAGTTTTTATTCAATACTAACATAATCTGTTAAAATCTATAAAAGAGATGATACATAATACAAGACATTTGAGAAAATAAATGCCAATTACAGTGAATATTATAATAAATGAAATTAATTCAACATTATTTGACACTATTTTCAATGTTAAATATACCGGTAGAACTTACTGAATATAAAAGCATAAATATAAATTTGAATCAATTTACATATATTTAAAGGTATTACCTGTAATTGATAATTACTATAATAAGTTGGTTTCAATTTTCTATGGGTATTGTCTGAAAATAAATTGCAAACAAATTTTTTTATCACATAAAAATATTTATTACATATTGAGAGAGAGAGAGAGAGGTAGTAGAGTACAATAATACAATTTAATTTAATTAAATATTTTTTAATAGATTTACATATCTGATATAATCTATTAGATAAAACAACATAAAAAATTTGCTATAATTTTATTATATTAATTACGCTAATATTTAATTTAGTTTTATATATAGATGACTAAAAATACAAATATAATACCAATTACAAAGTATATACTTTAAAATTTGGTACATATTTGTGGAAAATTTTTTAAAAACCGGTAGAAAATGTAATACAAAAAATAATAATAATAATAATTAAATAGTAATCAATGAAATGAGTCGATTAAATAATAATAATAATAATAAACATCTTTAAGCGATTGTTGTCGCGGTGTCACCGCTGATGATGTCGACGTTTTGAAGACCGTCTGCATCCATGGGTTCCATGTTTTTCTTGTTTTTATCATTTTCCAGTGAATCACCTTTTTTCGCTTCTTTCTGTAAATATAATTTTAAAAATAATTAACAATTTAAATAAGTTTACCGTAATGTCAACTGTAAACAAACTATTCATACCTTGAGATCTTGTTTGGCAAACCTTTCAAACATATTACGATAAGTGGTCTTCTCTTTATCTAACTGTGCTTTAATGGCGGCCACCGAAAGTGTTAATTGATTTTTAGCCGCCTTATTGTTCGGATCTAACTTGAGTACGGCGTTGAAGTCGGTGCGCGACAATTCGTAATCCTTTTGGCCAAAGTATGCCTGTCCTCTACGGAACAATCCTTTAACATTATCTGCATCGATGTCCAAAGCTTTGTCACAGTTTTTGATGGCATCCAAATAGTTTTCCACTTTAATGTAGGCCATCGCTAAATTCAGATACCCGGCCAATAGTAGCTCATTAGTTTGGGTCTTGAGATCGCCCTCGAAGTCATCGGGAGGACCCAACAGTTGAATAATTCGTTTATATTGTTTAATGGCTAACTTGTATTTTGACTCCTGATGAATGTCAACAAATAATTAAAAAAACCAAACCATTGAATCCATTTATAGTGTAACCTAACGGTTGACTTACCTTAAAATATTTGGTTCCTTTGGTTTTCACTAGATTTGCCTGTTCTAGACGTTCACTGTTATCCATCTGATAGGTTTCCTTTGCCTTTTCAAACTTGTTGAGTGTTATCTCATAGACTACTTCTGTATAGTCGGTCGGTATACCAAACTCTGGCCTACCATTAGCACCGAACGAGTACTGCGGTCTGATGTGTACTTCAGCCTTCTCGCCTTTTTTCATCTTACGTACGGCTATCTCAAGACCATCAACCAGACCTTCCTCGGAGGCCTCACCCACAGAGAACGTCACATTTCTTTGTTCAAATACTTTACCGTCGTATTTGCCGACAATACTAATATCACAAGTGGCTCCTGTTTTTTGATAGTCAGTTGAACGACATATTAAGATAAATCGGCAAACTCTGGTCACAACATATTATCAATTATTATTACCCATATTAGGTGTCTCATAGCCTTCACCGTCGATGAGTATACGTTTACAAACGCCTGAATCCTTCTTTTTTGTGATGTCCTCGAGTTTCCAGTCAAACAATTCAATCTCAAAGATCAGTGTCGAGTTGGGCGGTATTTTAGGACCGGCGCCCGTCTCTCCATAGGCCAATTCGGGTGCAATGGTAAACTTGGCCACTTCTCCGCGTTTCATTGTTTTGACGGCAATATCCCAACCTTTGATCACTTGATTGGCTCCAATGGTGAATGAAAACTGATCGTTACGGTCACGACTCGAGTCAAATACAGTTCCGTCGAGCAGTTGTCCGATATAATGGACCATAACTTTGTCGCCATTCTTCGGTGTGTCCCATGCTTTGCCTTCTTTGATAATCTCTTTCATAAGCTTTCCGTCCCTATCGGGCGAAATGTCTTTTACTTTGCCGACTTCGCCGGTATCCACACCGCCCGCATTGTCCGCATCAAAGTTATCAATGGACAGACTGTCTTCAGCGCTCTCCTTATTGTCGTCCAAATTGTTGTCGCAATTCATTGTCTTTTTTGATGATAATATCACTAAAAGTGTTGACAACTATTAACGAATCAATTAATCAATTGTTTGTATTTCTATTATAAATGTTTAGTCACTTATAGAGTGAAAACTTCTCGAAAGTTCTCTTTATTTCATTTACTTTCAATCAATGCAATCGCTATTGTATTCGATTAGAGATTTATTATTCAATACATTATAACATTATTATTGAATTCTAATTACACAACACATTGTGTTTTCAATAATAGACATCAATAACGTCGACAACAATAATACTAATATTAAATAATTATTAATTGAAATAAAAAATTCACTGACAATTTATTGAAAATAATTATTATTATGTTTCATATAGTATTATAAATTTATCGTATAATACAATATAATTATGTAATACAATATTGTAAGTCAATTGATGTGTGTAATAAACAATATAATATTTTATATGTATATATATATGATAAAATTATAGATCAATAAAAATATCTTATACAATAATACCAATAATATAGCTAAAAAAAACTGTAAGATAATTAGGGTAATAAAAATATATGCACCTAAAAAATTAAAAAGTATATATTGCATAATAAAATAAAATTAAAAACATAATTAAAAAAAAAGTGTTACACTTTTGTCATATAAATTTGAAAAATCATTACGAAATAAAAAAAACAATTTTGTTTGTAATAAAAAACTTGTAAAACTAAAATTTTAAAAAACAAACAAAAAATGTTGTGTCATATTATACTGTATAACTCTACCAGTCTTCGTCATGTTTTTTCTGACTATAACCGGCCTCACTATTGCCCATCGATGGCCTCCCGCGGCCAATACCAATTGATCTGCGCGGTTCATTGACTGGCGATTTTTGTCTTTCACTTTTTATGTGTGGCTCTTGAGGTTCATCTTTATCCACCCAATACCTGTCCTGAAGATTATTGGGTGTATTCTTATAGCTATTGACGGGTATAGGTTTCACTTCGTTGAAGTCGCCCTCGTATTCTTCGATAACAATTTCTTCGCGGTCACGGTCGGGCGGCAAGTGCTGATCGGTGGGCTTAATGTTAAACAGTGGACACAATTTGTCGGACAACATGTAGCACAGCCGTCGGGTGACTCCCTGAGCACAATAAATACTTCCCTGTTCCACATGAAATTCACAATCGGTGTTCAACTTATGTTCAAACTTTGCTGTCTTGAAGAAAGCTGCGGAAAATGTCAATCAATTAATTAGAGATTTAACTAAAAAACTAATCGCCATATAAATCAATACCTTCAACAAAGGGAACGGGAGTACGTTTACCCCCAGCGTCGCACAGATTGTATGCCAAATTGATAATATCAATGACATCGAGATTCCAGATAAAGGCTGGTCGGCCTTTTGTGGCCAATTTTTTGCTATATGCGTCGGCTAACCACCGAAATACACCTTTGTTCTGTACAATTGCGTCTTCATTGCAGAACACCATCATCCGTGACCGTTGTCCAGTGGACTCATCGGTAAATCGAGATTCTTCTAGAATTTGTTTAATCTCTTCGACAATTTTAGGAATATTTGTTTCCGCTAAAGCAAAGTTCAGAACAGGTATCCGATGAAACTCATTGGAGTGCTCTTTGGCAATACTCATGTAACCTATGGATCAACAAAATTAAACAATAGATAAATAAATTACTGGTACTGTAAAATCAATTAATAATACCTATTGGTACGCCTCCCGGATCAATAAATTTATGGTATATGAACTCAACACCGTTGGCCAAACTGTATTTACAAATCCCAATCTCAAGTGGTGGCCATTCATTATCTTTTGTTTGACACATGACATTAGTGCTGACAATGAAGAACGAAGCCTTCAGTAGCTGTTCTCGAGTTTTGAATGACTTGACTAATGCCTCGACAGCGTCAGCACTGCCACATTCATCGTCGCTGCCATCACTGTCGACATCATTGTCCATCTGCTGCTGCTCTGCCATCGGTGTGGACGAACTCTGGCCCGACTTTTGTACCGACATATAAGCCAAACCTCTACTTAAACGTTGTTGTTGTCGATGATTCTGATGACTGGATTCTTGTCGCGATTTCGTCGATGTGTTAAATTTGTCGGCCTTTTGTACATAAGGTTCCCGTTCCTCTTTCGACATACCTGTTTGGAAAATACATGAAAATAATTAATATCTTAATGACAGTCATAGTTACGGACAATGACCTACCGCTCCATTTATCGCCGGCAATCCTACTGAGCTCTGGACTGCCGATCGCATAATCCTTTCCCTGTCGTCTCAATTCTGTCTGTGTATACATCATGAACTCCAAGAATGCATTTCGTTTCTTTGGTTTACCCATTGCGGTGATAGTGATGGCGACGACCAAATCGGTAAATGTATGGCCAGTGTATTGTTACCGATAATCACTTTGGGATTCAAATATTGTTTTCAAAATTATTGAAACTATCAGTCAATGAGTTAATACTCTAACTGTTGTATTGATGTTATTAAAAGTTTATGCAATAATATTAGTAGAGTTGACAAATGTTTTGGTGCATTGCATACAATATTTTCTGTTATTTCTATACTAAATAAATATTGTATTTTTTGTGCATAAAATTCAAATTTATTTTTAAAAAAAAATATTTTTATATAGTTTTTTTAATTTTCAAAAATAAATAATTTTAATTTAAATTTATAATTTAAATTTATAATTTTATTTACTTTACTTAATATTTATATGTTTTCTAAATGTATTAATTGAATTTGTCAAGTTTAGTCTAAAGTTAATAATAAAAAATTGTAGTACCTTTTTATGATAACAATTTCCTATAAAAATACATTAGTTTTTATATACATCTAAAAAGTACTGAATATTGTAGAATATTAACTAATACAGGTATTATACAGACTGTACGTACTGTACTGTATATAAACTACTAATAAATAATTATTATTATTACATAATAAAACTTTTATTATTTTAATGTTAACTAAAAAAAATCTAATAAATGTTTACAATTTAATAAAATTGTTATTTTAATTATTTTTTTGCTTAATTTTTTTTTATTAAAAACATTTAAGAATTCTGTGTCGAAAAAAATAAAATACAAAATAAATGAAATTAAATACAATTATTGTTGTGTTGTGTTGTGTACTGTACTGTATGTATGACTGCATTGAATGGCAAAACTAATGGCAAATAATAACTAAATAAAAGCCGCGAAAACAGCGCTCAATGTGTTAACCGATAGCGCCGTCTATTGATTGGTCGACTCAAGTGATTGTTTAATGAGTTATCCTTTTGTTTGGGAAAAACTGAGTCAACGACTGAACTAACTATTAGTAGTAGTGCTGTGTTTGTACCGTAAGATTGATTGACTGTCAGATTGTTTACCAAAACAGTTGGTCAACGAAACTAATTAACAATACAAAGTGACCACTAATTTCTACAGTCGATCAATAGACACACTGTTGTGACCAATCGGTACAATTTGAAAGACAACATAAACTGTCATTTGTTTGTTGAACAACTCAATAGTGACCGCAAACACACCGCCAGTGATGCCACCGAAAGCCAAACGTCAGACCAAAGGAAAAGGTAAAAGTGGTGACAACTCTAAGAAACGACGCAAACGGGACTCGTTTTCCGAATCGGATGACTATGAATCGGACACCAATGGCAAGACAGGTCCCGCCGGCGATAATAATCATACAGAAAATTTGGACAACGATAACGGCGCCGATGTGTCAGCACAGGATGAAGCTCTGTGGCCACCATTGCCAGAAATATCTGGCCGGCTATTGGTGTGCGGCGGAACCAATTGGGATTTAATTGGCCGTAAAGAGTTGCCTAAAGCTGCCAAAAACGCACCGCAAACTTCATCTGGTCTGAGCTCTCTCTCTCTCTCTCTCTTTCTATTTGTTTATTAATTACTTTTAGCTAATTTATAGCTATATATAATCTTAAATATTTTACTAAAATTGATTTACCGATTATTTTTCTTATAGGCAAAAACTTATGGTCACCGCATAGAACTCCATATCGTGTTCGAGCCATAGTGTCGTCGTGTACGGCGTGTCACTCGATGATCATAACAGATGATGGAAAAGTAATGACATGGGGACGTAACGATAAGGGACAGTTAGGTCACGGAGATGTACGTACCCGTAATGATCCCGAAATAGTGTCCGGTTTGTGCGCTCATCAAATAGTTGGAGGTGCTGTCGGTCGCGGACACACATTGTTTTTGACCTCAAAAGGTCAGGTGTTTGCATGCGGCGATAACAAAATGGGACAGTTGGGTATCGGTACTCAGAGCCAATCTGTTATGACTCCTACACGGGTATGATTTTTGTTTGAAAATTTTATTATGTTTTTTATTACATCCTTTACTGATTTTCTTTATAGGTTGTATATCGCGGTAAACCTATCGTAAAGATGGCCTGCGGTGCAGAGTTTAGTATGATATTGGATGCCGTCGGCACATTATACTCATTTGGATCTCCAGAGTATGGACAGTTAGGTTAGTACCGGTACTTTTATTTTAAAGTTTTTATTTGCTATTTATTTTAATAGTTTGATAAAATATACCGATAAATTTGTCGTTAAAATAACCAAAATTTTTATAGTTTTGCTGTTATTTATTTGCTTTGTTATTGATTTGAGTTTTTACGGTAAAATGATTTTAATTTCAATGAACACATTATGTCATAATGTGATTATAATAAGCTATAGTTCAACAATACTACTGTAATATATTGTATATTCAATGCAATTATTCATAAATAATATTCACATGAATAACATTAGATTACAGTATTAACATAATTTTTTGTAGCATTTGTACAATAATAATAATAAATCATTATTTGTCTGCAATGTCTATAAATGTTATTTAAAAACAGCTTTAACATCAAATTGTTTAGTATTTAGTAAAATTGTTTTTTATATATTATGATATATATATTAAATACCCCTATAATTTTAACTATAATTTAAAATAATATTTTGTCATTAAAGGTCACAATAGTGAGGGAAAGTATTTTGCATCTGGCAATAAGCTCGCCTACAGGTGCGAACTGACACCAAGAAAACTGGTATTCTTTATCGAAAAGACACGCGAAGGCCATATATTGCCGTTAGAGGATGTGTTCATATTGGACGTGGCCTGTGGTGTCAACCATTCACTAGCCATCGATCGCAAAAAGCGATGCTTTTCCTGGGGTTTCGGAGGTTACGGCCGATTAGGACACACAGAGGTAAAGCTGTATATTATATTCAATCATTACTACTTAAGATTGGTTTATTGACAGATGTTTTTTTCTTGAATAAATAATTAGACCAAAGATGAACTGATGCCCCGAAACATTAAGACATTTGATTTTATTAATCGCGGCGTTAAAGCCATTTGGTGCGGCGGCACGTTCTCGATGGCCATCGACGAGAACGGTTTGCTCTATTTTTGGGGACAAAACAAATCGTCGGGTGAGGCAACTATGTATCCAAAGAATGTCCAGGACCTGAACGGTTGGAATGTCCGTTCCGTTGGTTGCGCCAATAAATCCATTGTTGTTACTGCCGATGACAGTCTTATATCATGGGGACCGTCGCCAACATATGGTATGAAATTAACGTAAACTTTACTGTAATTATATATTTTGGGTCTATTTTTCAGGAGAGTTAGGTTACGGCGAGAATAAGGCCAAGTCTTCAACCATACCACAGGAGGTGAAGCCAATGGAAGGTATACACACTCATCGGGTGACCTGTGGCTATGCGCACACACTCATCATTGCTCGCGACGACAGCGATCAGGAAAAGGAAACTATTAACAAACTGCCCGAATGGCCATAATTTATCGGTTCATATGTTTTGCCGAAATTAAGAAAGAAAAATCATAATACGATTGATTGATTGATAGTTTAAGAAAAATCCATTTTTTGATATTTAATTTATTTTTGATAAACAGTTAATTTATATATTTTTCAGTGAAAGAAAACAACACAATTACCAACTGTTTGTGTAATGTATTTCTATTTATTTCACACTTTTTAGTAGTGTATTACACTGTTATTTTAAACTATTTCGATCCCCATTTACCTACCTGTCCCTTATTTTATTACCCGTATTTTGTATTAATTTTTGGGCCACTTTTAGTCTCACCTAATATTGTATTTATATACAGTATATTGAGACTACCGGTAATGTTATCTCATTTATAAAGCATTTATAGTGATTATACAATTTTAATAATTATTATTAGTATTTTATTATTATTATTACATATTTTTGATCACTTTTTTGTTTTACATTATTTAATATTAATTATTATAAGTTAATTATAAATTAATATTTCATTTACATAAATTCCTAGTAATTATTTACATTATTCATAATGATTTCGTGTCATTAAAAAATAATATAATCAGTATTTTTTTCTCATTAATTTAATTGATGTGTATATGAGTGTGTGTCTGAAACTCTCACTCAAATGGTTTATAATGTTATTATTTATGAAAAACATTTGCCATTATTTAATTTAAAATTAAAAAAAATTAATTTATATTTTATAAACTATGTCAATTCATTATTTAGAAGGAACATAAAATTATAAATACAGTATATATATATAAATTTAAAGAGTAAAACAAGCAACAAAAAAATATATATGTAATTAACTATCTATTAGTTATGGATGTTTTGTTTGGAAAAACAATAATAATAACTTAATGCCTAATTATCTCCAATTTTACCTAATATTTGCCAAATCTGTTTCAATAATATGTCGATATTGTGTGAACCCACCCTCCAAACATGTTACCGATTTATTATTGCAATACCAGAGCTCTTTACAGACCATTTCAATAAGTTGTTGGTCGTGTGTCACCAAAATGACGCCTCCTTTATATTGATTGAGAGCTTTGGCCAACGCTTCCACGGTTTCGACATCCAAATGATTTGTCGGTTCGTCCAAAATAAGCAAATGTGGACTAAAATCAATAGAATATATAAATTATTGATTATATTATATAAACAATTATCTGAATAAAATTCATTAGTACTTAGAGAGAGTCATATTAGCGAATGCAACCCTAGATTTTTGTCCTCCCGATAGAGAGGCCATCGATTGTAAACTCAAATCACCGGTTATACCGAATCTGCCTAAATATCCTCTATAGTATTCCTCAGTTTTACCTAAAAATTACAGTAAATTTTGTTAAAAAATTTATTACTTAACAAAACTAAGATTGTTTGTGTTTGTATTTACCGGGAAATTTAGTGGCCATAAACTGTAGCGGCGATAAATTCATAGATAACTGGTCGACGTGGTGTTGGCTAAAGTAACCAATGGAAAGGGTTCTGTGTGCCTGACGAATACCGCTCGTCGGCTCTAAATCTCCGATCAATAGTTTCAATAAAGTAGTTTTACCCGAACCGTTGTCACCGACGATACATATTCTCGATTCGAGATTAGTGTTTAAACTGATTTTATTCAATATAATCTGTGACTTATCGTAACCAAACGTCACCTCATCTAACTGTAGGACTGGTGGCGTCAGTGCTTCGGGTTCGGGGAAACGGAGTATCACATCGGCCTCCCGTTCCACTGGAGGTACCTCTTCCAGTCGCTCGAGTGCTTTGATTTTACTTTGAACCTAACCATTCAAAACATTTTTAAAAAATATATATGAAATGTTTAAATCGTTGATTACGATAATAATAATAATAATTGTATTATTAACTTACAAGTGATGCCCGTTTGGCATTATATCTAAACTTATCGATGAACTCTTGTACGTGTTGTCGATATTGTTGTTGTGCCTCATATTCACGGATCTGATTCTTCAGTTTCTCAGTCATGGATTTAACAAATTGTTCGTAATTTCCTTTATAATTATCGATACGATGTGAATGAAAGTGTAGTACATCTGTGGGCACCGATGCCAAAAAGGTTCGGTCGTGCGACACAACCAACAATGTTGACTCCCATTCGTTAATGAGATACTGTTCCAACCAAATTATGGCTTTCATGTCTAACATGTTAGTCGGCTCGTCAAGTAATAGCAGATCTGGTCGCGAAAACAAAGCTCTTGCTAATGCTATTCTCATACGCCAACCACCAGAAAATGTTTTGGTCGCCCGTTGTTGCATCTCATGAGTAAAACCAAGACCTACAACACGACAAACCGATTAGATATGACCTGTGATTTAATTTGACAAAACCTGATAATATAATGGAAGCCTTGGCCGGTGCCTTATCCGCCTCAATGGCAGTCAAGTGTTGATAGACTTCACTAAGTCGTTCAACTTGTTCGGGTGTCGGTTCACTTAATAACGACAATTGCTTTTCCTCTTTAAGCAATTCATGTCTTTGAAAATCACATTCAAGTACGGATTCAATTGCTTTGGTATCGTCACCGATAACTTCTTGTTCGACGTGTAATATAGAAATATGTGACGGAATCATTAGCGATCTGTTGGATATCATGCGAAGCAATGTCGACTTCCCGATACCGTTGCGACCACACAACCCGTAGCGTCGGCCATAACCTAACAAAAGCGATGGTAATTAAAAAAAAATGCTAAAAAATTATACAAATATAATTTTACACAAACCGAGTGTCATTTGAGCGCCGCTAAGCAGTACGTGATCACCGAAAGCCAAATCAAAGTTCTCGACTTTAATGTCTTTAGTCTTATTGCTACCCCTGGCCTCAGATTTGACATCTCTCTTGGATGTCATTTGATTTGCTAATTATACCGGTAATGGATAACACAATATTATAATTATTATTATTATTAGTAAATAAAAACAATGGCAAACCTGTGGCCTCTTTAAGCATTTGAATTGGTTTGACATCTGTTACGATGTTATCACGTTTGTCGGCCTTTTGTTTTAATTTGGTCTCTGCTTTCTCCAGTTTTTTCTGGTCGACAGTAGATATCTTGTCGCGACCTGAAGTCCAAATGGACTTCCAATCGTCGGCCGCGTCATCCAATCTTGATGTCATCGACGACAACTGTACCGGCGCTAAGAGTCGTTGACTGTCGCCATTCTTAGACGTCGCCGATCTGTTAAATAGATTAAAACAACAATAAAGTTAACACTTATTTTCGGTTCTCAATAATAAAATTTGTTGACCACTACTAACACATTGATGGCATCAAATAGTTTGCCACAAATGTCATCGACGAGACAGCTGTCAGAACACGACTCGACCAGTTCGCCGATCGCTTCGTTCACGTCGTCCACCGAATCAAAGTGATTATCTTTGAGTACATCTGTTAGAGTCCAACAAAAAGAAAACAACAAATAAATCGGTAAATTGCAAAAAAACATAGTCTTAATAATTGTCCACTACTCGCGAAAGTAATACTAACCGGCAATATATGTGGTCATCTGTAGGTCGATAGCGGGCAACAGTTTGCCGATAATAGCCGACAACTGTTCAGTCGAAACCATAGCTTAAACGGGGGTTTAGTTGTCGGACGGGTTTTTCAATCACAAGTCCTATATATATATATATATATATATCGACCGAAAAAAAATTTAAGTTACGTTTTACTACTAATTAGTTGTTAACTAAAAATAATTAATTAATTAATATTTAATTATATTATTATTTTTCGTAAATAATTAAAACAATAATTAATATTATTTTATGATTACAATGCATTGCAATCAATGCATATGTATTAATATTAATAGTACTGTATATTTGTATGAATAAATTACGTCAACAAATGGACTGAATTTTATTTGACCCTTTGTTTTATAGAAATATAACTATTGTACAAAAAAATAATAATTAAATAATTATTTTATCTTATTTATCAAATTATTATTTGATAAGTATTTAAATTATTTTTAATTAATAAGCAATAATTGCTAATTTTTTAAATATTAATTAAATTTTATTATTTTATAAATAAATTCTATAATTTAATGTTTTTGATAAGTTATGTATTTTTTAAAATATTAATATTATAACCACTTATTGACGTTATTTATAATCAGACGTATAGACAATGTATTGAAAACTGTATTTTTTTTAAGGCATGTCTTTTCTATTGATTTTCCCAATTGTTTGTGTATTTCATTGGATAATAAAAATAATAAAATTAAAAACAAAACACAAATAAATTGCTATTAATTTAGTAGAAGTTTATTATTATTGTTGTGTTTATCACTTTCATTGGATTTTCGGTATTAATAATTACCGCCGCAATTGGTTGACTACACCGCTGACTACTTTGTCAATTGTTATATTAGTGACCACCGATAGCGAGAGCGCGCATAATGTCTGGTACCGACAAATTGGCTGAACTTTACGACAATTATAACAAATTGGACGCCGCGAAGGACAACATCGGAGAGGTATGTGATGACCGATAAGTTTTGTTGACCACTTGTCATTGAAATATAACTATTTGTCCAATTAGTTTGAATCGTCTTATTTGTCAATACTATCGGCCGTTAAGGGCACTCAACCGGAGAAACAATTGTGCTCTCAGTTTATCTCCAAGTTTTTTGTTCACTTTCCCAACCATTACGACACAGCCATCGATGCTTTGCTTGACCTCTGCGAGGACGACGACACCAATGTTAGTGTCAAATAATAACAAACGATTTACGGTATTTAGATATTTGATAATTGTTTTGATTTTTTTAACTTAGATCCGCCGACACGCCATCAAAGAGTTGCCCAGCATTTGCCGCGAACGCAAAGAGTATGTGCCGAAGATTGCCGATGTGTTGGCCCAACTTTTGCAGACAGAGGACTCGGCCGAACTGAATGTTGTTAATCATTCGTTGACCACTTTAGCTAAATACGACGCCAAAGGTTTTTTCGGTGGACTCTTTATGCAGATCAACAGTGGAGATGATATTGTACGGGAAAAGGCCATAAAGTTTTTTAAGGATCGCTGGCGACTTATACCGACCGATGTCTTGACCAAAGAGGTGGAGGAGTACTTTCTCGATGAGAGCCGTAAAGTTATGGCCGATGTGTCCAAAGAGGAATTCATAACTTTTATGACACTATTGAGTGGTTTAAAGATTTCCAAAGTATTGAGCGGTCATCAGACGCTTTTGGATATTGTCAAAGAACAGGCAGAGTTGAACACACCATTTGATGTGAGGATATGACAACACATCAGATATTATATGTTATTAACTGTTTTTATTTTTTAAAATCTATATATAGGCCTCAGAAATGGATTTTGTGGACAAACTAATTATGTCTGTCAGACACGGGATTCCATTTTTCTCTGTATTTATATTTTTTTTAAATTTAAGCTAAAGATTATAAAATATTTTCTATAAAAATATATATTATTTTCAGCAATTTGTTCCGTCAACTGAATTTGTTGAATACATTTGTGTACAAGTGTTGCCACAATTACCGATTCTCGAGTCAAAACAGCCGGGAATTGAATTAGATTTTCTTCAACTGTTAGCTGAAATGTCGCCCTATGTTTCGCCGACCATTGAGTCAATAGAGGTCGAGAAATGTTTGTCGCGTGTCTTTCCTAAACTACTCGAATATATGCCGACACCACCGCCTATCGACAGTGAGACTACCGTTGCAACCAACGGTTCTTCGACGGCCACGACTCCCGACGAACCGAGTCTACAATTTTCGCATATCGAGTGTCTATTATATACGTTTCAACAGTTGTGTAAACTTTTTCCACAATTTTTAGCCGACGCCCAATCGGAAAGGGTTAAGGACTTTAAGCTTCGACTTCAATATGTAGCCCGAGGTTTGTCTGTTTTTTTTCTATATTATTTTAGTCAAAATTAAATAATTGTTTGAATTTATATATTAATATAGGAGTACAAAGTTATTTAACAAAACTTAAGAAACACTTGTCGACAGTCAAAGGAGAGGCTTTGAAATCTGATGACAATAAACTCCGAGTAATGGCATTGAAGACCACAAACAACATAAATACGTTGATTCGGGAATTATTCAAAATTCCTCCCAATTATAAGTCAACCATTAACTTGTCGTGGAAACCGCCGGCTTCTAAGAACGCACCCGTAAAACCTACACTTTCATCTCCTATTACAAGTGTCACAGCAGCTACAACTGAAGTAACAGCTGAGCCAACTACACCGGTAGCCACAACACCCGGAGCGTCTAAACGGAAACCCATAACAGCACCCGAAGGTTCCAGTGATAGTAAACGAGATCGTAAAATATATGCGCCACCGGGTATGCGTCCTATCAGTTACTATTTGAATTTGTATTGAACTTATTTTTTTATTAATAAATTTTTTAAAATAGGTGGAAAATTTAGCGGTGGTGTCAAAAGGTTCCCTCAAAATAATAACGGAAACTCATATCGCGGTTCATTCCGTGGCGGTAATGGCAGAGGACGGGGCGGTTTTCGGGGCAGACGTGGTGGCAGCGGTGGCTTTAAACGAGGATTTAAACGATTTTAATTAAAGGTCACAGACCTTATTATTTTTTGATTACACATTGACTACCAGACCAGCACTGACTATTTAACCATACTTTTCAAATTTCCGTACATTTCCCGTAAACATTATTTACCCATATTTACGATGTACAGTATATGATGGTTGAATGAATAATTACCGTAATTAATATTTTAAAAATAGACAAATTTGATTTACCATAGTTTCATGAACTTTGTTTTGTTTCATTAATTAAATTAAAAAAATAATAATTGTATTCTAATTCTACTAAATTTTAAGTTTATTTATACATGATTTTTATATTTATCTTTTAAATTTTCAATCATATTTTGTGGTTTCATTTTGACTGATTTTTCACTATTTTGTAATAAAGTTATATATATAGTATGAAAACATACATTTGTAGATGAAATAAACAATTTTAATTATATTAATTTTTGTTTTTATATTAGATTACAATGGGTTGTTTTAAAATAGTGATGAGTATCTTTACAATATACCATAAGTATCAAATATATACAATAAATCTCAATTTGCTTAACAAATCTCTATGTAAAAAAAAAATTATTAAACCGGTATTAGATTTATATAAAATTATATCAATATTACCGGTAAATGTATATTAAAAGCTATGGATAATTGAAATGATAAAAAAAAATTATATAGAAAATAGTCATAATTATATTAAATTAATGCTATAAAAATTATGATAATTATTAAATACATAAATATATTAGCGTCGAGTAGACCTATTGAGAAGTGCAATGTAGGCCAGTGTCCTAAAGACTAGAATAAGAGCTACCAAAGCTAAAATGTCGCGCAAGAAATTATTTTCGGAAAAGTTTAACAATTTGATGACCACTTGACCATTAGGTATACAAGAGGTAATAGTTTTGTTAGTCGTGTCCACAATTTCATCGATTGTACTGTTAAATAATGGACAGGCGATGTGCTGTATGTTTTGCCACTGGTTTATGACCAGCGCTTCGTTGCCGTAATAGAAAAACGATATGTACTTAAACCAAATGAAATATATGGGAACTGAACTGTTGGACAATTGTTTTTGTATGAATGAAAAAAATATCGGTAAATGGATTGCACAACAAAAACAAACAATTGAAGACAACTTACTCATTGTTCAAGAAATAGCCGCCAAATATTAGAAAAGCTACCATAACCGGAGGCGTTATGGCCAGTGCTATGGTCACATCGCTGCTCATACAGGACACCAAATAACCAAAACTACAGGCCGTGTTGGCCACCAGTACACTGACCAATGCACACGTAAGGAACTGAATGATTCCGCTGTTCAGGCCAACCATGTAATAAAATATACAGACAAATAGGAATGGAAGCAACAAATAAAACGGTGCCTAAAATTTGATTAAAAAAACAAAAAATTAAAAAATACTTTAGATCTGTAAATAAACCTTATATATAGATATATTACCTCAGCTAACGTTTTGGCGAAAAAATAGGCGCTCACTCTATACATGCCGTTATTATGTTCCCTTAAGAATAATGGCAATTCTATACAAAATGTCTATATATGAGAGAGAGAGAGATATGGTATTTAAGTTAGTTTTTTTATAAAAAATATATTATTTAAAAATAACATATATAAGCACCTTGATAACAGCGTAAGCATGTTGGAAGCTCAAGTTTGTTATTAATAAAAATAGGGCGCCGTTTATATTGAGAATACCCGACTGGTCTAACTCAAGGCGCCAGTAGATAAAACCAAGTAGGACTGCCACAAACTGAGAAGTAAAAAAATAATGATTATACTCAATACTGTTACTAATCTGAATGAAAAAAATTACATACAATTGTTTGGGATATCTGGGTTCGGGTCACTTTGGGTTCACGCATAACTGTTAGATGTGATCGCCACAGTAGTGCCCAAAACTGTACGATCCAATTGGATTTATAGACCCGTCGGCTGGTCTTATATTCGATGTCCTCTTTAGACGATGAGATAAACTGTTCGCAAATTTGTTCGGGCATTACCTCCTTAGCGTAAGGACTGTCCACAAATCGGTCGCATATAGTCTACAAACACAAACAAACAATAATTTTTAAAAATAAATTAGTGATCTTTTAGTAAATTCTTATACAAACCTCCAGTTTCTCTTTGGATTGACTTTCTTGTCCGGGAATTATTGCTAATTGTTTGATATAAAAATCCGACGGATTATAATTATTGGGACATTGAAGGCCAAGACTCGAAAAAAACTCAATGGCTTTATCTAATCCATAAGATTATAATAATATAATATATGATATACTGTATATAAATATAGTATTACTAAATCTGAAGTGAATTATTACCTGATTTTCCTAAGAAAGCTACCCTTCCATTAGATAATAGTAATAATTGATTGAACACAGAAAACACTTCGGAAGAGGGCTGATGTATAGTACAGATGACTGTCCTGCCAGAAGCTGCCATATCTCGGAGCACTTCCATAACACTGAGCGCCATAAAGGAGTCCAAACCAGAGGTGGGTTCGTCGCAAAACATGATCGATGGGTTTGTTAGTAACTAATGGTTTGGTATAATATACGGTTTATTTCAATATTACTATTTTATTTCTTTATGTTTAACAATTTAGTTACCTCTGAAGCAAATGCCAATCGTTTTCTTTCACCGCCTGATATACCTTTTGTGTCCTCTGGTTTGCCGATTCGAGTTTCGGCACTTTCGGTCAAAGCAAACTAGACATTTAAATATAATAATAATTGTTTGTTATTGTCTTAATTATTATTATTTATTTCTTTGACTCACATCTTGCATCACTTGATTAATTCTGTCATCTCTTAGCTTATCCGATAAAAACTGATCCATACGTACTCGTGACTGAAACATCAGGTGCTCTCTAACAGTTAAGGCGTCAATAAATAAATCGTTTTGTTGGACATAAGCAGACAGTGCCGTAATTCTGTTAGCGTCGGCTATTCTGCCATTCAATCTAACGGTTCCCTCGAAGACAATGTCTGATAAATTTCGTTGAGTCAATACATTCATTAATGTTGTCTTTCCAGCCCCACTATTAACGGTAAATAAAATTTTAAATATAATTAATAAAATTACTTATTTTTCAAATATTTATTTTTAAAAATTTTTAACTATATATTACCTGGCTCCCATTATAGCCAGCAATTGACCAGCCTTGATCTGTCCATTAACTATAGTTTTTATTTTTTTTATAAATAATTTGTTTTCACTATTTGTTTTTAAATAATTTGTTTTTATTAAAAATATTTGATACCATTTCTGAGTATATGTCTGGGATCTCTTTTCTTTCGCTTACGAAGTGACAGTTTGGTGTAGACATTGATGTCGTGCCACGAAAGGGACACCGGTTCCGATATGACACTCATTTTGTTTTTTACTAAAACAGTTACAATTTTTGGCAAAATGACACTTATTGGCTGCGACTGCTATTACCAGTCATTGTTAGTAATACCTGTAATCAACAACAAAAAAAATATAATGTTTACCTAATGTCTTAAAGTTTATTAGGGCTAAGCCTTGAAACTCTTGGTTATCACATGACTGGTAACTAACTAAACCATGGGTTTAACTTATATATAAATTATATAATTATTCAATTTCATAGTTAATTACAAAATTAATAGCAAACATTGTATTCACAAATTTTAAATATCCTATTATATTAGTAAATAAATTGCTATTTAAATAATTTAGAATTCATATGAATTATTTATATATTAATATAACACAAAAATATTGTAAATCTTATTGCAATATTACAAAACTAAATAATTAAAAGTTTACCGGTGATAGATATTATGAATATTTATTTTAATTAATTAATATATATTTAAGTTTTAAAATTGCTTCAATTTCAAAATTTTATTTGGATTTTAAAGTTTCTTAATTAAATAATACAGTATCATATACTGTACAATATTTTCTATTATATTAGTATTGTACTAATCATTACATCTATTTATATCCAATTAAATGCAATTAAATAATATTAAATCTAATCAAATTCTATAATAGATATATCAAACTTCCCTGTTGATTTTATTTAATTTGCACTTTTATTGCAGTAATTATAATATATTTAATTATTTAATAATATTTAAGATTATTTAAATATGATACAAAATTATATTGTATCATAACTTACAAGTTTGTAGTGATAGACAATGAAATGATTTAAACAAAATAAATACAAAATACAGTATTGAACTAAAGTTTATCTCAAATCGTTGATTCAATATTTGAAATATTATTGATTTATTTATGATATTAGCAAATGATAAAACATTTCAGATAATAAATTAAATAATGAAAAAAACATATTTTAGAAAATTGAAATAAAACACTCTTGATATTGATCGATAACACAAAGTAATAATAATAAAAATTTCAAAAACATTTAAAAAATCAAATTTATGTAAAATTTTCCCTTAAAAATTAATTGTTTTTATATTAAATACAGTAAAGTATAATAAATCCATAAAAATTTGTTTTGTTGGGAAATAAATACTTTAATTTATAAATATATAATAATTATATGGTTTGATAGAAACAGACAATAATAACAAATAAAGGAAAATATTATATATTTCATATTATATCAGATATTTAAGTAATTAGTTTATATTAACAGTACAAAATTTTAGTATATCAAACTATGCTAAAATTAAAATATGTGTTATTTTTATATTTCTAAATATATGATACATATACATTACCTATTTTAGTATTAAATTAACATTATAAATATGAAATACTGCTATTTGGCTATTTTGTAATAAAAATCACAATTTATAGTAAAATAAATTATCTAAAAATTAATATTATTTTATTTTAGTCTGTTTATATAGTTTAGATATTAATTGTTGAATTATAAAATTGTATACATATATGGTTTTTACCGATAAATGGTTAAACAAAGTGTAAATTTAGTATTTATAACATACTGTTCTGTAAATATTGTAAAATATGTTTTATTTTTTAAAAATTACATATATTTTTTAATATGCAATTGCAATAAATGGTTATCGTTCAAAACAAATCAAATTTGATTAAATTTATTAGATATATAAAAATGTTTACACTAAACATACTTAAACATTGATATATATTTTTTTATTTTGATAGTAAATATAATTTAATTATAATCTACATTTAGCGCTAAATTTGTAATTTTACTTTATTTTAAATAAATGATAAAATCAATGTTGTTTTTTCAATAATGTAATTACATAATGTATATAATTATTACAATTACTATTGATAATTGACCAGTCATATTTTTTTACCTTAAAACAATACTGTAGTATATACAGTGACTTAATGTATGTACATTTTATTTAGTATTTAACTAACTAATGATATTTGATATTTAATTAATTAAATGTTTAACCATTATGTTTATTAAAATTTAAAAAATACAACACTTACCGGTACTTATTTAAAGTTGCTATTTTAGTTGTTCATCTATTTATTATTCAGTATAAATTAAACTTAATATATTATGTCATTAATAGAAAAAAATTTTGTTGCCGAATGCTTGCATCAAATTTTATAATATTATTAACTATTGTATATAACTTATACACTTAATATATGATAAATTTTAGATATCATTTAGTTTGATTATAAGTCAATCAAAACAATAGATCTGTATAATAAAGACAATACTGTATTATAATTGCCACTCAACATAATCAACAACATAACAACAACAACAACAATTCAACAATTCAACATGGTACTTTCATATTGACATCATTGGGTGCCACAAGTAGGAAGTGCTCAGTGTATGTATGAACTCGTTTAAGAGTCTCTCTGTGTCTGTCTTTCTTTCTCTCTCTATCTCCCTATCCCTCTCCTCATGCGCTCAATGATGCTATGTTTAGCATCAAATGCAATACTACAGTACATTAATAATAATCATTTTTGAAGTCTAATCATAAATATCATAAAATGTTACAATGATATTAAATTTTTATTTGATTAATATCCCAACTATTTTTTTTATTAGCAATTGATTTATTGTATTTATTGAATCCAATAAATATGTTTTTGAACTCTACTATAAAATTACACTACTTTTACAGTACTGCTGTATAATTAAAACAAAATAAAACTTATAAACAATTTAGTTTATTTTTAATAAATAACTCCAGTCCTGGTAAAAGTAACTTTTAAATGGTATATTTTTCAATAATAATAACATTATTAAATTAAATATATATTTTTTAATTATTAATAAAATCAATTTGTGCTTAGTTTGGATAATAAGTTGTTAAACTGTATAACGTTTACTTTATAAATATTATTGTAAATGCAATGTAAAAAAAGATATGGATAATGCAGTAGCAATTATTATGAAATACAGTATTATTAATAACTAAATAACTAATTTGGTTAATTACTTAACTTATTGTTAATAACAATACACTATATTTTACGGTATATTACAAATTGTAATTTACAATAGTGTTAATGTTTCAAATGAGAATTATTGAAAATTCTATGTAATTGATAACATTAGTATCATTGATACTTTAATCACATTAAAATAAGCTTAATGCATGATAAAATATAACTGTACCTGTAGCTATTTATAATTAATGTGTAATACAGCTAATTCACCATGGACAATGTACTCAACTAAACTTATAGCATATCACTAACTCACTATATTTTCAGTAATTATGAATTAATAAATTAAAAAAAGTAATAAAAAATGCATAAATTAATTGAGCAAAAAAATGGTATTTCTTTTTATTTTGTAAATTATTAATTATATAATATTATTATTTTTTACAATTAACCAAAATTAATAGCGTTTGTATTACAATTTTAAACTTAAATTATTACTCAAAAATAACATTCAAATAGCAATTTAAATAATTCTAACTATACATACAAAAATAAAATCATAATAAATTTATCAATATCGTTAATTTTTTTTCATTTAAAAAAAAATAAAATAAACATTATAAAGTTTAATCATTTAAATAGTGTAGTTGTGTTTGTTTATCCAATAAAGTAATAAATTGTATCAAAGAATATACAGTTTATAAAACCCAATAAAATTATTTGTAAAACTTGTGGTGTTTATGATCTGTACGATTTGGATGAGGATGATTTGCCAAATGACAAGGAACTGGTACCATAATTGTTGGTGCCTCGTGGTAGGGCAATCACATTGGATCGGGTGCCGTAAGCGCCCTCATTGTCGCCAGCAGTCAAACCAAATGCTGAACCGCCGTTGTTTCCGTAACCGCCGGCACCAGAGGAGAAACCATTGGTGGCTCCGTTGTTACCATAACCTCCATTAGTGGATCCTGTTTGATAGCCATCGTTTTCCCGACGTCTTGCCTCACCCTTGGCTACAACTGTGTGAATCTCTTCAACAACTGGTCGCACCTCTTGGACGATGCGTCTGTAAGGGGTGATCACTTCGCGTACCTCTTGGATAACTGGTTTAAGCACTTCGTGAACTAAACGGTGAGGTTCGTCCTCCGATTTGGTTGACTGTACTTCTTGTGGAGGAGCAGGTGCGTGACTCTGTTGGACTACCAATCGAGAGGAACGGGAGTTGAAGTTTAAGATGATGGGTAGATCTCCTGAATCTACTTCAATGACTTGTGGTTGTATCGGTGCGTTTTGAGTGGGAACGGGTCTGATCTCCACACTGTGTCGGGAATGGACAGCCGCCTGAATGGGTCCGTTACTCTGTCCTCCATAACCACCAGCGTTGCCGTATCCACCGTTGTCGCCACCATTGCTTCCATAACTGTTGCCAAACGATCCACTGTTGAAACCATTACCATTGCCTGATGAAAGGCCACCGTATCCGCCACCCAATGATCCAAAGCCACCGGCGTTACCGTTCGATGAGCTGAACGCACCGGCAGATCCACCATAACCACCACTGGCTGTACAGTAGGCGATGACTGACGATAACATTAATAACTATTTTCATAATAAAATCCAAACACAAATCACAAACACATTAAGTTATCCAACAAAAAATAATATAAACTTTTACTTACTTTAAACATATTTGAAAGATTTATGTTTATGTCTTTGAATATAAGTATGAATGGTATGAATAAATGATTGGATGATTTGATTTGATTTTTGTTTGAATGTCTGCACCAACTTATATACCGATTGAAAATTGTGTGGATTAGTAGGCAAACAACACACACACACAACTTTCCACCTTTTAATATATGACAACAACAATAACCACTTTAGCTGCTGTCGACACAAGAATTTTCAAATTTTTTTAATACACTATTATTATAGAATATTTTTAAATAATTGCAAATTTTTTTTATTGATTCACCACTTTTTTATGTATCACTCACTTCATATAGTTCTAACACTAATCGCCCCAAAGGGACAGTTAGTTGATGAGTGAGAGTCTAAACTGTATAAATATAAAAATGATAATGAGATGAAAAGTAGTTTTTTAAATACTATAAAACACTCACTACCTGTCCGTTTATTTGGGCTGTTATATAATATTATTTATTGAAACACATAAAAATATATAAAAGTGTTTTATTACGGATATTGAGGCCAAAGTCGGATTTGAATATATGGCTATATATTATGCAAACAATTTTTTTTAATTTGAGAATATTTTTTTCAAAGCAATACATTCAATACAATATTTTTTGTCTGTATAAATGTTAAAAACATTTTAATAGGCATTTGAATTAATTTTAATTAATGTAATAACAATTAGTTACACTAGTTTTTTAATATAGATTTCAATAAAATAAATATTGTATGTCTGATCTAAATGATATTTAATAAAAATGAAATTTTAAATCAATTATTGCAAAATTTTTCTTTTTCAAATGAAACTATTTAATAAATTGAATAAATAATAAAATAAAATAATAAATTAAATTCATAATAATAATACCATAAATTAAAAATTATTATCGTTTCTCATTATAGTAATATTTGAATTAATTTTTAAGCCATTTATGAGTAGTAGTTTTGATTTGATTTTGAAATATATGTTATGATTTTCATTAATAAGTTTTAAACAATGAAAAACATAAAAAGTTTAAAAAATTTGAAACAATTAAAAATAATTATATTCCTCTTTTACATAGATTTGTAATGCAATTTTGTTTGTATGAGATATGAAAAATATAATCTGCAATATATTTATTTTAAATTAATGTAATATAATGTTAATTAATTAAATTCAATAATTTTAATTTTAAAATTTTCTAACAATTGATTAAATTAACTGAATTATTAAATTATTAATTAGATAATTAATAAATAATGATAATAAAATTTCTGAAATATGAGTAACAATAATTTAATAAAATATTAACAATTAAATGTTAAAAATTTCGGTTTTATAAAATATGAAACAAATTTGTAATTAAAAAACTTGATAAATAAATTCAATAGTAATAAAATAAATAGTTACATATATTTATTATAAAAATAGAGTAATCCTATAATTTATTTGTTATTTATATGAAGATTGTACTGTATATTTTCACTTTTTACATTTAATTTAAGTTTCATCAATAAAAAACAATTTCCTTTATTTTTTTATAAAAAAATTAAATTAATTTTTTATTATCTTTTTTAACCTTTATATGGTTTTTTATTATGCTTACATACATAATAATGTTAAATAAACTTAACTATATTTCTGTTAACTTAACTCTTATTATTTTAAAAATAAAAACTAATAAAATTTGTCACAAAAAACTTCCGATACATAATTAAACATTTTATGTGACTATCAATTACCAAATGGTTTCATATATCTTTTTTTATACAATAATTGTAAATTATTATACTATTAGTTTACAAATTTTTCTTAATCCTATTTAACTACACAGTACTGTATTATTATTAATAAATAGGTTTTATTTTACTGTTATTTATTTACCACAAAGTAAAACAAAAATTTAAGCAATAAAAGTGTGAATTTAAGAGCACTTTTGTGAAAGTAAATCGATATTAAAGAAATTTATTTATTGTGAATAATTTAAACATAAAAATAAAATTGTTTTAAATCTTTTTATTTACTTTTAAACTTTTATAAGTTTATCATTGTATTACTTTATGTAGTGTATTTTGTACACTTGATATAGACATCAATATATATTTTTTATTATAAAAAAATCACTTCATGACACTTAAAAACATTTTAACATTATACTTCAAAATTGGCATTTCACTCAATTGGCAAAAATTATTAATAAATTTAAATTTTACAATTTAAAAAATACAATATATGCATAATTTTCAAATATATAAGTTGTACAAAAAAAAAATATTTTATTATATCTGAATAATACTGATTATGAATAAATTACAATGATTTTTAACATTATTACTAAATTATTATTTACCATAAATGATAACTAATGAACAAATTAATTAACTAAATTGAAATCTTTTTTGTGAATAAAACTATTATTACAGTTATTATAATCTATTTTTAATATCTATTATAAGTCTAAGGAGAGCCGATATTAAGTTATCATTTCGCGCATCTCTATTGCAATCATACAAATGGTTAACTTTTTTGATGTCACTTTCACTCATTGCCACTCTCTGTCCGATTTTAACACCTGTGGGTACATCACGAAGAGGACTTAATGTCGAACCGAATCCCTTAGCAAAAGCTACAGGTGTGACAAAATGGTTACAATAGTCTGAGATCATCTAATAATTAACTATTTTTTATTTATAAAAAAAACATAATTACCATGTGTGCCATAATGCATTATAGATGCATAATCATATTGGACACCTATATAATAATGGTTAGAAAAATTGAAATTACATTTTTGTATAAATCATATTTTTTTAGTTGTTTTTTCCAACCGAGTGATTGTATGTCATTCCATGAAAACTTAATAAAGTTGCCTTCCATTCCCTTTTCCACATTATCCCAATTGATTCGGACGTAATCATCTCTATCGGCCCGACTTTGTTCGTGCCAGAAGCCGACGGCGTGCAACAGCTCGTGCTCTATGATACCCATTGTCAGACAACCGTCGCCCAGTGTTACCACTTGTTGTCCACCTACTCGGCCTACTAGTGAGGCACAGCCAACACCGGGCATAATATGTAGATAACTGTAGTGAAACCAGCGCTTCGGTACGAATCTGATGCACGTCTTATTGTGGAACTCTTCGAACACCCGAGCAATGAGCGAACGGTTTGCATCGGTGTAATCGTTGGACAGTATGTATGGTATCTTACCGTTTCGCCACTTCATTGAATTGGCACGAATTGCATTACGGGTTACCTAAAAATTACAATCAAACAAATAATAATAATAATAATATATTAATAATAAAATTATTATTATTATAAATTATTTTCATAATTCATTTATTCAATTACAAGATTTGACCGATTTTTGACAACAATATCGCCTTCAAACAAATTTTTATCATTTATTAGGTCTGAATGGTTTGTATCACTATCGACTGATTGTCCGTACAGTTGTTGGCGAGTAAGTCGGCGACCATTTTCAAAGTCTTTATCGGTCAGTGGTTGTGGTTTTAATAGTACTTTAGAAGCTGTGGTCAGCACTGGTATGTCATCATTTGTTTTACTATTCTCAGTAGTGTTCATTGTTTCGTCCATAAGTCGATTACTGGGCATTTGAATTGAATTCTTAATATATATCACTATAATTGTTAAAAATAGATGAATACATTTTGATACCATTTTTTAAAGTTTTTAAACTCAATTTTATTATTTAATACATAAAATTACTGAATTATATATTACTACTAATATATAATATTTGAGTAATAGATTTAATGTCACATATTTATAGCCAACATTGAATACCATCTAAATGCGGGGTTTACTCTGATTTTTAATTAATATGAATTCATTGTTAATATTGACTTTTATATTTATGAGAATTTATTATAAATAGTTTATTATTATTATTATGTAAAACTATTTGACTTGTGTTTAAAACCTATATTTTATTTATTTATTAGAATAAAATTTAATATTTATCATTATCATAAATTTGGGACAAATCGTGAATGACTTGTATAATACTAAACTAGATATAAAAATAATTTAGATTATATTAAAAAACATTATATCATTTAAATTCTATAATAAGTAAAAGTTATCATTTTTTCATAAAATTTCATATCTATTTTATCTTATATTAATATTATAATTATATTATATTATGAAGAGCTATAGAATTGATTGTAATACTTTAGGCTTATAAACAAATTTTAAAGTTAATTAAATATTAATTTTAAATAAACAAAACCTTAATATTAAACATTATGTTAATTGTTAATGAATTTTATTTTAATAGTTGCTCCAAAATTATGTATTGATAATGATGGCGATAAGTTAATTATGTTATTATGATATATGTAAAGATGCTTAGCTAACTAAATCTGGAGTTTACACAAAAAGTGTCGTATTTTCTCAATTTGATAACATTTAATACAATTAATGTCAATTAACCAGTGATACAAAGAAATTACCCATTTTGCTATATAAATTATATTCAAACTAAATATTGTATTATGATTATCAGAAATTGGAAATAAATTATAATTATACTAGTTAGATCCATGTAATAAAATGTGTATCAATAGTTAACACGTGCAACAATACTCTCTCTCAATCTATCTCTTTACTAAACAATGCTTTCACGCGCTATATAATATACAGTGTATTATAAAAAGTATATTTTATTTAATTTTTTTTATTTAATAAATTAAAATTATTAATAATCGCGCGATACATTAAAAGTAATGGCACAAACATTTCCAAATTATATAGTAGTATAGATACATATAAATAAAATAAATAAAGTTAATTAAATGCAATAAAAAAATGTATCTTAATTAAAAAATAAACTAAGAGTACCTTTAAATACTTTAGTTACATTAAATAAATAATATATAAATTTGATTAAATAAGATTAAACTTGAATTATTTAATTTACAATTACATTTTTTATTTAAACACTAACAATGAATAATAAGTCATATAGTATGTTATAAATTCAAACTTAATTAAAAAATAATTCAAATTATAAATTTATATAAAAAATGTCTGATTTTTCATCATTTAAACTATAAGTACTGCTATTATTATAAACAATTTGTCAAATGTTGACAGCAATAAACAAATGTCAATAATAAAATTGTCACCATGTTGCAAATTATATATTGGCATAAGTGAGCAAGATTATTTATTTTTTATTATACATATTTTTAATTTAAATTATTAATATTAATAACAAATTCTATACAATAACACAGTATTTTATTTACAAATGGTTTATACTTTTCGGGATTATTATGATTACCAAAATTATTACAATTATAGAGACAACAGACAGTATGAAGTCGACTATTATAGAAATATAAGAGACGATAAGCACCGGTATTCAAGTAAAAATACTAACTACTGGTCACAACTAGACAATCATTATGGTTATCAAACTTTAAAACTTAAAAATTATATAACAAATTATGATAATCAAAACATTATTAGTAGTGATGATATTAGTAGTATTAGTAATGGTAATGATGATGTTGATGCCACCGATTCAATATCTACCAGTATTGCTGACCCAATTGATTCAGTATTGAATCCTCAATTAGGTATTAAATCGGATAACAAGTGGATGTTTAGGAATAAAATTAGATCATATTTGTCTTACAAAAATTTTGATATGATTGGCGATAATAGTGCCAAAGCAACACTTTATGATGAAAAATGTGGTTACCCGGGTATTATCTCATATATTGTTGGCGGAAAGGAGACACCCGAAGGTCTCTATCCATGGCTGGTGGTCCTACTCAAGGATGGCAATGCCTGGTGTGGCGGAGCTATTATTAGTAATCGATGGGTAAGTGAGATATATGAGACTTAATTCAACATGAAATCAACTGAAATAACAAACTACTATTAACTATATTTTATTTAGTTATTTTGTACTAAAAATTGTTTATCCGTTTATTTATTTGTCTTTTTGTGTGAATTATAAAACCAATTGACACAAACAATGATCTCTATTTGTCATTAATTATCTCTCTCTCCTTTTACAAACAGATATTAACGGCTGCCCATTGTTTTCTTAGGTATAATCATCTCAATTATAAAATAATTATTATCAAAACAAACCAACAATTTTATTAGTTATGATGATATTTTGTTGGTGTTATTGTAATCCTAGCCGATATTCACCCGATCACTTTACATGGGCTGTTAGGGTAGGCACTAATAACAGGAATATTGGACTAACATATAAAATTGATAAATGTATTTTAATGAAGATCACCTTGCTATTTACAATATTTATAAAACATTTTATTGTGTGCTTAATTTATACATTTACTTTATAAATATGTATTTTATTTCAAGTGATAACACACGAACGATTCAATTTAGATAAAATGCTAAACTCGGACATTGCTCTCATTAAAACTAACCGTCCCATAGAGTATTCAAATTTAGTAAAGCCTGCCTGTCTGCCCAATGTTTCATATGTTGAGCCGCGAACAAAAAAACTTATAGTAGCCGGGTGGGGGTTTAACAAATTTGACGACTCGGATATGGCTATTAAACTAAAGGATGTTAGACTAGACATGATCACCGATAGTCAATGTGCCAAAACATATGAAAAGAAAAATTATAAAATATATAAATCCCAAATGTGCACATGGTCTAACAATAGTGATGCCTGTCAGGTATGTACACATTTAGTATATATATATATATATATTTATATCAGTAACTAATAGACTATGTTTAGGGTGATTCCGGTGGACCGGCAGTTGAAAAAAGTATGTATATATTTAAACTAATTTATATAATGTATCTATAGTTTGCTAAGTTTATACATAATGTTTTTTTTAAAAAAAAAGTTGGGAACAGATATTTTATGGTCGGAGTTGTCTCCTATGGAATTACATGCGCCGGTCTGTAGTGACAATAATATAATTTTCAATTAATAAATTACAAAAATATAAACTGTATATTTTTTTATATTGAATATATAATTATTAAAATTCAGATGAATATCCTGGTGTCTACACTCAGGTGTCGTATTTTCTCAAATGGATATTAGATACAATAGAAGCCAACTAAAATTAATACTAATTTTAGAAATTTATTAATAAAAAATCTTTTCAAAAAAAACCTGACCCACTAATGACACCATCAGAATCATAGCAAGTATTTACTGTTTAGCATTGTTTCTAAAGTATGGGTATCGGTATCTAAACTGTGGACACTGTATGTTAACAGCTTCTACCGATTTGAATGACCTTTGCCTACTAGAGTCGTCAAATAGAACTTGTTTTGTAATAAGTCGCTCAACATTAGGACTTATATCAGATGGACGGGAATATCGGTGCTGTTTTACAATTGGCATTACCGGTAAGTATGTATTTCTAAGTTCGCTAAGTATCGGTTCCCTATTTGCATAGTCCTCCCAATCGGTTATAGTACACCGTATTTTACATTTATTTTGATTCGTGTTTTGTACTAAAGATTTATTGGACAGTTGAGTGGTCCACATGGGTCTATGGGGTGGCCAGTGTTCAGCTGAATATCCTATAAAGTAATTCAGTTTTGGTGTTTGCACTGTATGTTCCAGTTTTTTGTTTATCAATTGTTTGATACCGTAAATATTATCAATAATTATGGCCAAACATTTGTATAATTTTGTGAACAGAGTTGGTTGTACTATCACTAGTGAACGTCCCGATCCATAATGTAGACATCGTTTATTCAATTGAGGTATCATTTTCTTTATCTCTATTTCTGCTAATTGCAGAATATAAACAAAGTGTATAATAAATTTTAAACAAAATTTTTAAACAATTGCAAAAATAAAGTATTTTAATAAATTAATTTTTTAATTTTAATTTTTTTCGAATGGAAAATCAATCCCTTAAATAACATGACTTGAAATCCAGTCTAAAAAGTGGGACACTTTGGTGTAAACTCCGGGATAGTCAGCTGTTTGAGAATCAGTTGTTTTGAAGAGAAAAAAATAATAAATCATGTTAAACACAACAGTATCCTATCATTAATTTTTTTTGTAAAAAATATATAAAATATAAATACTGGCACATCCGACACCAAACGATACCACACCGACTAATATGGCTCTATCATCCTAACAAAACAAAACAATCAAACAAACAACTTAGAGATAGATTGAAAACTTATCTTACAATCTAATTAAATAATATTAATTATTGTCTATTGTTTCAATACCTTATAATTAATAGCCGGTCCACCAGAGTCACCCTATGTATAATAAATTGAAAGTTTTTTTTTTAATATAAAGTATTTTAGATTATTAACGATAGTTTATGATCACAAATATTCCAGTGATACTATCTGTGCCATTACCTGACAGGCATCTTTGTTTTCGGACGAAGCGCACAATTGCGATGAATAGATGCTAAAGCCATGGGGATAGTCTACCATTGGTTGTCCAAATTTATTGGCACAATCACTTTCGTCTACTTTGTTCAATTGTACGGACTTTAATTCTTTAGATCCCTGACCGTCTAGCGATTGTTTGCCCCAACCGGCTACTGTTATCTTTTTATCGATAGGATCATCTTTGGATTTAGGTAAACATATCTATATGTGAAACATAAAAAAATGTAAAATATATGGGAAACTTTATATTTGTAAAATTAGTGGTTAATTGTTTTATACTGAACTCCATTGATAAGTTCAGTATTGCCTGATCTTTCCATACGTATGACCCAGGCCGTTTTGACCAGTGCTAGATCTGAGTTTTCCATAGCGTCGCGATTGTATTGCTCGTGAACTACAATTTTGTCCACTTTATAAACAGTACCCGAATTACTCACTTATCCAATCGTTAAATGAATAGAAAAAATATTAGTTATACCGTATAATTGAAATGAATAACACAAATATTAACCTACTTATAGATCCAACTCGTATAGTGAGATCGGTTTCCTTTTTAGGGCTAACCATTTTTTAATAAATCAATAAATAAATTATTCAAGTATTTAGAAAACTATTAACTGTAATATAGTTTAGTACATTTTAAAGCAATGTGCAGCAGTTAGTATCCATCTCTCATTAAGTATGGAACCGCCACAAAACGGCGCTCCCTTATGTTGGATGAGTGCCATCCATGGCATTTGTCCGTTTTCGACATCGGAACCGCCGACAATACGGCGGTTAACGCCGTACACAATACCACAATTGGGAACCGTTACCTCTTTGCCAGTGTCGCGACCGGTCGTGATTCTTATACCGCGCGGACCTCTTTTGATTTGTATGGTTCTCCCATTGATTTCACTTATGGGTCGATGTCTTTCTCGATACCAGGAATACGGATCAAACGGTACTCGGGTTTGACAAACAGTATACATAACTTTTATAAAATTTAAATTATAAATAAATATATCATTCATAAATTTTGGATCAGTAATTCATACCATAATAAACCGTTATAAATAATATTATAACTAAATTAAATCTACAAATTTTATACATTTTGTTTATGTGTAATATTAAATTTATCACTAATTAAAAAAAAATCAACAAATTGTAATATTCAATTTCATAATAATTGTAATGTGTATGTTATTTATGTTTTACTGTAGCAATAATTGATAATAAATATTAATAGTAACTAATTAAATTAAATAATTAATTACCGTAAGTTTTTCAAATATTAATAAATCAATAATAACTTTCTATTTTGCGATATTTCAAAATTAATCAATATATATATATATATATATATAAATTCAGTATACAGTATATAAATTAAATCTTTTTATTTTTAAATTCATACATTTATTGTTTTTTAAACATCTCTTTTAAACATTACATTTATAATGTATAATAAAATATTACTATTATAACATAATTTTCACTAGATTTATATCACAATACAATCTTGCAAATGTTTAAAATAAATTAAATAATAATAAAAATATATGTGAATTGTATGTTAAAAATTTATGTTGAATGATAAAATTGATGATTACGATAATTAATTGTTTAAAAATAATAATATATGAGCTTATTTTTTATAAAAGTTAATAAAAATTTATATAAATTAGTCAAAACTTTGATTGTTTGTATTGTCCGATTGGGGAATTGATTCGTCACTGCCATAAACTTTTGATTATAAACAGTAAAAATAATAAAATTTTGTTATTTACGATACAATAAATTTATAAAAATTTAAAGTAAAGTATCAAAAAAAAATAATTATAAAAACCTTTATTACGAAGTCCTTTGTCAAAGTTAAACATTACAAACATCATAACAATTAGAGTAACGATACGTATGACGATAGCTATACAACCCGACAGATATACCGACATTTCTAAGGCCAAGTCATCGGTGCTGTCCTGTGAGTACTGATAACAATAATAAATTACACCAATTATTAGACTCAGTTAGTATTACTAATTATAATTGATTAGTTATATAGTAATAATAATAATAATGTTAGTCTAAATCAATACCCGGACTAAATTCCAGATGATAATTGCCGGATCAAAAACACTGATAATAAAAAACATATAAACTGTGGGTCTGCTCTCAAATCGCATCTAATATTTTTTTTAAATACAAATAAATATCAAATCATAAATAGTTTAAGTTTGTAATATTTATTTTATTGTTAAAATTTGTATTGTATTCTATGAAAAATAAATAAAATATGACAAAACAAACCGCCATTGAAGCCAATAATATCCACGCTATAGTAATACCGGTACCAATGCTGATAACTATCTTATCCATTTGATCCCAGTGTCGAAAGCCTTTTCGTAGCCATAAAATAAGTGTCGAACCGGCCAACTGTACGTCAAATTTTACTAAACTTTGTGCCAAAAATAACAATTCACACATCCGTTGCATAGATATATTAGCGCCAACTGTACGGTATATTAGGTTCTTGGACTTGAAATATTGGGAACTAAAGTAAAGACCACCAGAGATAAGCAACGGTGCAAATATGCTGGTTATCACTAAACGCACCTAAAATTTGGTCATTCAAAATACGGTGTGTTAAAAAAATATACAGTACTATTGTTAAGTGATTTTATTTTTTTTAAAAAAAAGTATTACAATTTTGATGGTTGTGTGAGAGGCACTGGCAGAGTAGTTGAATATAACATACACCCATACTATCAAAATTGTGGCCACAAATGCTATCAATTCAAAGGCACGCTCTCGGAAGACACCCTAACCAACAAAAATACAGTTTTATATCAAATAAATAATTGGCTTAAATTAGATATTTGAATATCAATGTAAAATCAAATAAAAAAACAATTTATATACTAAATTATTAAGCAATTAAAAGACTATTTTTACTAAACACAAAAAATTTCATCAATAATTATAAAGAAACAAAAAAGTTTATCAACAAATTGATAAATAAATTAATAAAAAAATAAAATATTGAACATTACAGACATAATAATTCAAATTTATATAAACAAACAAAAAAAATATTGATAAATGATGTGTAAAACTAAATGTATGTAAAACTAATGGGAAACTAATGGGAAACTTCCTATTTTTGATATCATATACAGTACTGTATATATGAGTCATAATCTATGATTAGAAACAATAAGAGAAATAATGAGATTGTGGTCAAAGGTCATCGTCGGTACCAATACCTGACAGACGTAAACACAGCAGAAACAAGTGGTCCAAAACAGGAGGAATGCAAATGTAAAGTCGGGTTCATTGGACGGCAACTCTATTAGTCGATCAATAGTGATGCCCAACATAATGGCCAGAGTCAGTGCCGATAAGGCCAGATATATCCACTCGTAACCGGATAGTGTGTATAGCGATCGGGTCTGTTTGGCCAACATTTATCAATCAAACACGATTTGGTCAATAAGTTGGTGGTCAACATTCAAATTGATCCCACACTTACCGGTCCGATGATTGTCTGCTGTGTGTGCGGTGTTGACCGCAGTCCAAGATCGGCTATCGTGTAGACACGCTGTTGATTGTTGTTGTCCACATTGCGACCACAGTCTTCGGCTAGTCTGGCCATTTGTTCAGCCGACGATTGCTGGTCAGGTATATTGTCGCTATCAATATTCATCATTGGTATAGACATGTGTGTGTTGTGACCACTGACCGCATGGGTTGAGATAATATCACATAATGTTGTGTTATATACAGTGTTTCAATAATAAAACATTAAATACAACTTATTATTGATTCAATGCATTCAAAACTAAATACTGATATAAAAATTAATACCAAAAACAAAACAAACAGTGTTTGCAAACATTGGGTGTAATATAATCTCATTATTTAATATTACTATTGCATTGCAATACTGTATTGTGTGTCTGTTTATTGGCTCAAACAAGTAGGCGTTCAAACAGTCAAAACACTGGTTGTTAGTCTATGACATAGACTCTATGTTATAAACTACATATAAACTATATGTGCGCTACAGTAGACATGCATTGCATAACAGATTAATTTAGTTTTTTTAAAAAAAAGTAAACTTAATACTAAATTATTTTTAAATCAAACATTTTTGCTATCTTTTTGAGTCAAACTACAATATAGTTGTGATAAATTGATTTTTTAATTAAAAAGTTTCAAAAAAGTTATTTACACTAATTATACCCGGTTATTATATTGATATTAATTTATTAATATATTATCAACAAATATCAATTTATATCAATTATTAACATTATTACATGGTTTTTAATAACAAGATAATTAATATAATTCTATTTTAATATTATACAGTGTATAATATATACACTATATTTTATTTATTCATATTTTTAAAAATTCATTTATAAACAATATTTAATTTCACTTACAATAAATATCAGATTTTATATATTATAAATTTTTAAAAATAGTTTAAATTACTTTTTTTATTAATAAAAAAAGTATAATATAATACTTTTTTGTAACAAAATGGAAAACTAATATAAAAACAGAGAATTCTTAATTAAAAAATATATATTCAACTATTAAAAAAAATATTTGACTAATAAAAACAATGAGAGATTACATATTAAGATATAGAAAAAACAATTTTAAAATAAACAAATTCATTGACCATTAGTTCCGGAAATCTTTTCAAATATTTTCAATCGGCTGTTATGGTCAACAATAGGCTGTGTGGGCAACGAAAACATATCGCCGATGAGATCAGAGTCTATATTGCGATAAAACAACTGGTCATTAGACTGAATCGTGTTATAGGACAGCGGCGCCGGTATTTGACCGACAGCTTTAATAGTTTGCTCCATAAGTTTGATTGGATCGTTGTGTATATGTATGAAATCACATCTATTACCAAATGGACAGTAGCCATCGTAGTTATATGAAGTACAGATACGTGACCTATAGTTTGGGTGTCGTCTAACTGATGACATTTCATGTATGCCGTGTGCAAACATACAACGATCACCGAAACTACAATACGCCCATTCAGTCCACATCCGACACATTTCAGATTTAAAACGGCGACCCTTTGAACGACCACTTTTTGACCACTTTATGTTAGTTTGTTTCGACACATCCTCAGAATTGGCTACAAATTTGACTACTTCTGAGTCTTGCAATATTTGCTGCTGTGGTTTGCTGTCAACAATTGGTTGACAATTGTTTTCATTTATATCGGGAAAACTACTGTTAATTAGATCATCAAATGATGAATCACTGGTTAGATTGAAATATGGCATGACTTTACAATAATAATAAAAATATAGTTTATCACAAATTTAATTAAAAAATTATAATAATTGTGTTTACTGGTCTAATAAAAAAACTTAATTAAAAATTATAATTGTTTATATTTAAATTAAAATCTAATTATAAAATATATTAATTAAAAAATAGTTTGATTAAAAACTGTCCAAACACTGCCCACACGATAGCACAATAGTTTGTGATGATTTTTATATAAACTCAGGTCTTTTATAAATAAATTTATGTAAAACTTTAATAATTAAAAACTAATAATTTATTAAAATATTAAGAAAAAAATCTACTTCTAACTCAATTACAAATTATTTCAAGGATAATAGTAGTAATATTTGAAACATTAAAAAAAATATTAGTCTAATTATCTATCTAATCTAATATATAATTTTGTATAAACAAAATATAATAATAGTTTAAAGTGAGTTTAAATATTTCTGATATTCTAATACTAGAAATTTTAAAATTAATTTTTGTTGTTAATTATCATTAATATATGTAAATAATTTCTACAGTATAGTCAATATATCAAATTTAATTAATCTTAAAAAATAACTTAAACTTTTATAATTAAGTAATTTGATAATTAAGATAAATATAACAAATCAATAAAAATTATTCTCCAAGGATTACATTGACGTCTAAAAATAACAAAACAAATAAATGATAAAAAAATCGATGTAAAAGTTTAGAAACTAAATATTAACATATAAAAAGTTTTTAATAATTAATAGCAACAAAATTAATTTATTTTTATACAGTAGATAACTATTATTAATTTTGATCAAGTGCTTGGTTTTAGTCATTGAATAACTAAATTAATAGTAAAAATATTAATAAATTTGCACACTTTTGATCTAACAAAAGCAAACAATATTTATAATCTTATAATCCACTCAACAATTCATATATAAACTAGAAATTTAATCACATTTTTATATTAAATTTATCTTTTGTTTGTTATTATAATAGAATCATAGAATATTCTGTAAAAAGTCAAATATATATATATTTGATTTATATTATTTAATTGAATACTAACTATTGTAATAAAATGCTAAATTATGACAATTCTATTAAAAATTGTCAAATTTTTATTATTATTTTTACTATTATTAACTAATGACAGTGTATTAAGTGAAATAATTTTGGACACCTCCCGACCGGATGGCAATAAGGTTATGTTTCGCAGAAACAAATGTTTTACCAGTCAAGTAGACCAGGATACTTTTTTTAATAACATAACTAAATATCCATATAATAAATATGTAAGACCTGGACTCGAGAATACAGGCAATTCCAATATGAATTCACTTATATATGTATGAAAAATATGATACAATTATTCAAATTATAGTATAAATATTAAATTATGTTTATTTAATAATAACAACAAAATTCAGATTAACTTAAGTCTAGATATGAACTCGTTGTCGGCCATCGACGACATTACTGCCGAATACAATATTATAGTGAACATGGATTTGGAGTGGTATGACAGCCGACTAACTCATCCGTGTGGCAAAGAGCCGGTAGTATTAACATTAGAACCGCCGCAATATACCCGCATTTGGACGCCACAGTTGGGCGTTCCCGATGTCAAAGAGCCCGGATCTGTTGAGTTTAACGCTCAGAATGTGGTGGCTTTTCTGCTCAGAACTGATGGCTATATTTTAATAAGATCCCGGTCTTATATACATTTTATGAACATTTTATTTCAATTTTTTTATTAAATACTGTATTAAATTATTATTTTTATTATATAATAATTTATTATAGACTTCAATTGACATTATTCTGTGAACTAAACTTCAAGAACTATCCGTTTGATTCACAGATCTGTTCGGTTAGCCTACAAAGCCGGAGCTCATCCGATGATAATATAGTACTTCAGTGGCGCGAAACCCATGCCTTTCGTAATGCCGACCGCTTTCAGATGATCGGCTATAAGATGGTTGGCTATAACCTGTTGAACGATTCCGTACATTTGGTCGACACGTTTAGCGATTTTAATGTAAGTCGAGTACAGGTTCGGTTGAATCTAAAGAGAGAGTGGACTCACTTTTTAATGGACGTCTATCTGCCGTCGGCTCTGTTTGTGTCTATGTCTTGGTTGTCATTTTGGCTCGAAATTTCTGCAGCACCGGCCAGAGTGACGTTAGGTATAGACAAAAGATTTATGATAGAAATATTTAATATACAGTATATACTCATTTATTTTCATAGGTAACACTGCTATGTTGACGTTGGTCACCAACTCGATGACCACACGCGAGAAACTACCAAAGGTATCATATATTCACGCTCTGGACGTGTGGACAGCATTTTGTACGTGTTTTGTATTTGCATCGCTCATCGAGTTTGCAGTCGTTAGCTATATCTATCATTCCAGTCGTAATCGCCGACACCATCGCAAACAATCCCAACAATCATTAACATCTATGACAACATTGTCGTCGTCATCTACCAGTTCCATGACTAGTATATCCAAATATCTTGACGTTCAAGTAAAATTTTTTAAAAATCAAATTATTAAAAAATAATATTAATATTATTACTATTATATCTTTATCATAAGGAACCTGACAATAATAAGATAGTTGTGCCCAAATATATTGCCGGTGATTGTAATCGCAAATTTAGCAGAGAATCAGGTGATAGTTTTAGAAACCATTATAGACATCAATATCACTGTTTTAAGAGCATATTCTATATACGGAATCCCCAATCATTGGCTAATTCTATTGATAGGAAATGTCGTTTTTTGTTTCCACTTTGCTTTTTACTATTCAATATCATCTATTGGTTAATAGTTTAACATTAAAATCATTTACTGTATTATTTATAATAAATTATTTCACAAAAATAATAACTTAAATATAATTAGTTTAATCCGTATACCACCGAACCTATTCTAACAAAACTATACAAGAAAATAAAAAATACCAAGACACATTTATTGGTCTAAACTATTAAAGCATTTTTAAATTTTCTATATAAATAACATTACTGTAAATATAAATATAGATCTTATAGTTGTATACAACTATTTGTATTACATTTAATACAGTAGTTATTTTTATTTTAAAAAATTGTTTCAAACTAATAAGATATATAATAATTTGATTTAAATAAATAATTATAATAGAGTTAAATAGCTTTAAACATACCTTTATATTGAACTACATGTTGTGTTAAAATAAAACTACAATTCAGTTGACATAAGTACTGAATAATTCATAACTTCATCGATATTAGGTCTGTTGTATGGATCCATGTTTGACATCCAATTGACTAAACGAATCAAATCTGTTCTGACTTTTGGTGAGTTGGGTAGAGTTGAAACACCCATTTCAATGTTTGCCAAATAAACCCTAAACATTGTCGGGTCATACACATTGTTACCCAGTATTAGATTAGCTATTGTACATCCCAATGAATAGATATCGCATGGTTTAGTCGGGACAGTACCGGTACCTAATTCGGGTGCTTGGAATTCAAGAGTACCGGCATATACGTCGCTTTCCATTTGTTGGTCGGGCGAGTATTGAATGGCTAAACCGAAATCGGTCAGTTTGAATATAATATTACCGATTCTATCGTATTTCCAAAGAATGTTTTCCGGTTTGATATCCAAGTGCACCATATGTTGTTGATTGTGCATATACTGTACGGCTGATCCAATTTGTCGGAGTACTGTCAGACACTCATCCGGTTTCAATCGGTTCTCCTGTTGATTGGCCATCAGATCAAAGACATCTCCTTCGCATAGATCCATAAATAGCAGTGTGAATGCATAGGGAAAGCCTGTAATTGAATCGGGAATACCTATGATGTCCAAAAAGTTGACGATATGATTGTGATTCAGAAACTTGAGTGAATACATATCCGTAAGCATATAATTGACATTTGTCTTAAAATCAAATGACCTAATTGTAAAACGCATGACTTTAGAGGCTAATCGTATTTGTTTCCATTTATTCCCCTGTCGACCGACTTTCCTTTTGGCACTGACTCTCCAAACACTTCCATAACCTCCCACTTGGATCTCACTGTCAAACACAATGTCTCGCCAAAGATCGCCTTCGTTATATATTTTTAAATACTCAATCTGTTGGACAGGCAATGGCTGATTGGGTGCATTGGGTTCCGTGTAATCAGTACCCGCGTCCAACTCATCGGTCCATAGTTGATCCCAATTAGGCGGTCCCTGTATGGGCAACATCTGCAATTGCACTTTACCAGTGCGCAGCTGATTGTTGTCGTCATACAAATCGTCGTGTTTATAGCCGACTCCGTATCCAAACGGTGCCAACCCTTTCGGGAAGTCTGTGACAATACCGCAGCGATTATTATCTAAATATATTCGATATAATGGATCGACTTTGTGCTCCATTTTGTTTTTCTTTTAGTTTCAATCACTTTACCTTTATTTCTTGATAAACAAATTAAAAATATTAATTTTCATTATTGTTTAATTTTTATTTTAAATAATTTTCTTGAACAATGCTTTTTTATATTATTTATTCACACAAACTACTGATTAAGACACACAGACACACGGGTATGGACAACCCTAATGATTATGAGCCCAATGTCAACACTGCAATACCACCGGCACCGGTATTTGTCCCGAGCCAATATTGGGAGACAGCAAATGTTGATCAACTATTTGAAAATGATGATCAATTTATGTCAGAAGAGACTCGGGTACACAACCAACAGTTTATGAGAGAACGGGGATATAATCTGTTGGAACCCATTGCTGTGGGGGGACAACAGTTTGACAATCAGGTCTGGAGAGCAGAGTATACAAATACAGTACCGCATCGGATAGTTGCCATCAAGATTCAGTGTATAAGATATTTTAGGCGACCTCGTATCAGACAGGGACAGGATATTGGAGAGCTAGACTTTGACATGACTTACCGCGACTTGGAAAAGGAGGCTAATTTACTGAGAAGCTTTCAGCACCCAAACATCATGCAAGTGCGCGAATTGTTTGGTTTGCCTCCACAAAATCGAGGACAACCATTGATGAGGTTATACTATCGGTGCTTAGTTATGGATGAGATGAACGGTACTTTGGCTAACTATCAACGAGATTCTGCTAGAGGTGTATTGAGTGAAAGACAAACCTTGTATTGGTTTCGCCAGATTGCAAGTGCCGTCGATTACATACACTGTGATCTACCACATCGTTGGATCAGTCATTTGGCTATCAGACAGGCAAACATACTATTTAGAAGTGACCGCAACAACAACAACAACACCAATGCATTGATCTTTATGCTAACTGACTTTGAAGAGGCACAGGAGTTCAGTAAACAATCGAGAGATAGGTTTCCTGTGGGCCGTAACATACAGACCACTGTCTGGTCATCGCCACAGCTCGTAGCAATTGCCCGAAGACAACAGGTTAGAGCAATTTTCAGGGCCACCAAACCGATGGATATTTATAGTTTAGGCTATAGTTTATTGCATAGTATGTTAGGAACAATAGCTAATGTCAACTATTTAATAGCCAATAGACACATTGCATTCTCAAGAAATATATCTACCGGTAATTTAACGGACAGACAGTTTAGGACTAATTTATCGAGAATAAGCTCTCCTATGATGAACCTGTGCCTCGATATGATACATAGAAATCCTACTAACAGACCAAACATTGGCAAAATAATACAACAATTGACAAGTTTTAGATAATCAATGCATTTATTTAGATTTAAGTTAAATTAGGTCTAATTAAATCAATTTTAATTTTAAATTCGATTGAATTTTTTTGTTTAGTTTTATTGTATTGATATACAAGTATAATATTTTAGCTATTAATAAGTTATATATTTAATTATATACAATCTTACAGTGATTTGATATATAATAAATTATAAATTTTTAGGTTAAAGTACTAAAGCAACCAAATTAAATATTGGGGAATCAGTTGGACGGTTGCATTGCTCATGAAAAAGGCAACCCATATGCCCAATGTATGTAAGCAAACATGAGAGACACTGCCACCCGATATAGAAGTGTGCCAACAGTTGATCCACCATTTCGTTAAGTTAACAAATATTTGTCAAACATTTAAAAAACAGTATTATTTACTATATATCAATCAATATTAAGTTTTATTTTAGATTGTTTTTTAGTTTGAAAGAATAGTTGTCCAATAAATCAGATTAAATATAAGAAAAACTGCGGGAAAAATGATACGACACTTGCGGTCAATGCTTTCGGCAATTTCGACGGGAGTTTTCTTTAGCGGAAACTCAAATGCATTGCCGGAACCACCCGTGAGGTCCGGATTTGGTGTTTCAGGTGGCGTTAGTCCATTGCTGCCGAGCTTAAAATTTTTCAAAGACAATGTTGGACTTGTAGGCACTGGAAGGGTAAGTGTTGGCCGTGTGGTCATTAATTTGGGTGAATTTGGGACTTTTATTTCGATACTTTCAAACGGAAATTTTGTGATATTTGTGCGCTAAATGATTAAAAATTACAAAATGTTGGAAATATTTTATAGATATATTACAGTATATTGTAGATCATTGTTTTGTAAAATATAATAATTTTAGATTAATTTAAAATAACATCAAACCTCAGGTTGTTTTCTATTATTAACTGTTAACGTCATCTGAGAGTCGTTAGAGGCCAATGACAGTTGACTTTGGCTGATATTTCGGCGCAAAGTTTTTATTTCACGAATCTTTCGTTTTTCGGCCCGAGATATATAGGTTATCACCGAAAACTCAACCAAACTTAAGAAAATAAAGACTATGTGTGTGTTTGTATGTGAAAACAATGAACAATAAAAAAAATTTAATTATAAAAAATATTCAATAATTAATAAACTACAATAATGTTATATTGTACATACAGGTGCACACAACAAACCAAATGTCCAGTGCATTGAAATAGTTGACTTGTGGCAGGTTTTCTCTGGCATCTTTGGCCACCGTCACGAATGTCAACATTGTGGTGACGCCCAGTGATACTCGGGCCGGTGTGGCCGTAATGTCCATCCAAAATGTCATCCACGAGACCACAATAACCAATGTTGTCGGCAAATATATGTCAAATAAATAGTGACCCCATTCACGTTTCAAATTAAATATAACTGTCACTGAACTGAATTGTTCTCCTTTTGTTCTCATAGTTCCCGACTTCAGTTGCCACGACTCCAATGCAAAGCCAGTCATATAGAAGTTATTACTCGAAGTAAACGAATCATCAGTAGTCCAGTCAACTGTCATGGATTCGTTGGTCAGATCACTGGATATGAACGACAAATCACACGACTGTCTATCCATTGGATAGTTTTGAAATCGCATTTCACAAATCAGTTCTAAGTTTAGCCTAAAAAATATGTGTTAATTATTGCAATTATAGATACTGTAATTGGTTTAACCTTTTTCTGATCCTAACGTAGCCATTACTGGTCACCCGAAGCAAAACAATTTTGGCATCTCTGTCCAATGCCGCCGGATTCTTATTATTGGGTACCCGAAGCTTAGGCGACCAGATCCTATCCAAGTGCCACTCACTGCCCTCAATAGTGAACTCTTCATCGCCAACACATTCACTGTCCGCTTTGGATGCTAGTCTTGGATCAGACCACTCCAAGTCAGCCAATAGATTCATTCTAAATTCGGAGGACAAGTCGTTCACTGAGGCCATGGAGTACATCTCAATACTGACTTTTACTAACACTGTCTTATTATCTATAAATACAGTATAAACATAAGTTTGTGAATGTGTGAAAAATGTGGAAAATATTAGTATAATTTAGTTGATATCATATGACAGTACTAACAGCTTGGTCTCAGCCATTTGCTATACCGATTGGGACCCCCGGGATCAGTGATGTTAACAAAATGTTGTTCCCGTCCCCGTTGGTCATGACTGGTGCACAATGCTATAACTGAATTAATGTTTGTATAGCATAACAGTGCTGTCAATATTGAAAATTTCATTAAATTATTATTAGTTTTCATCGAAAATAGTAATATTATAATAGATGTAAGAAATAAACACATTTTTGAGTTTCAATACAACTGTTTTAATGTTTTAGTTGTCTATAAAAATATATTTCTTTGGTGTATTATGTGTCAATACATTTTGAATTTTGTATTAATCTTTTTATACAAATGTTGGTCTATTTAAATAACAATTAAAATGCTTTAATTTGATCCCTATATGTTTTTTATCAATAAAAATTATTTAGATAAAAGTTTATACAAATAAAAATTGACGTATTAATGGTATTAATATATGATGCTAGTGTTTTAATCCATATATCATACAGTATAATTAAATATTTATGTATAACATTGTTTTGTTAATCATTTATTGCATCAATTTATGCCATTAATAATAATACTACATTGAAAATTATATTAATAGCTATTCTGATAAATGTTTTTAATTTTGACATCTAAATTATTATGTAATCAAGGTTAATTATCTAAGATATAAACATATTAACTAGGTAATTTGTGAAAAAATTCCTATAATAATGTATAATATTATTCTAAGATAGTTTGAGAGTCTCATAAATAATGATTAAATGGATTTTATAAAAATAATATTTTTTGACACATGTATTAACTTTTTTAATCCATTTTATTATTGTTATTGTTATTATGTCTTACATACAAAACTTGCGTAAATAAAATTTTTATTATTATAAGGATATAATAGCATTAATCACAAAAAATATTATTTAGATCTATTGTAATTGTTTTAAAGTTGAAAAATACTAGAAAAATGTAATTTATTTAAGTAAAGATTTTTATTACATTTTTACTAACATTGAAAATTAATCAATATTAAATTGTAAAGAATAGGATATAAATTTTTATGTAAAACTAGATTAATATGTTGATAAAAATTATTTAATCTTTAAAATCTTTTTACTAGTAATACTATTAGAAATTTACAAAATCATTATTATTATTATAAATCTCTAATTAAATAGAAAATATTAAAATAAAAATACTGTATAAAAAATCTGTATGTTACCTTGATAAATTGTATTAGTGATAAATAAAAGTGTATAAAATTTAATGCATGTCTTACCACAAATTCAGATCATCGGAGCGCCGGTCAAACAGATGATCATCGATGTTGTCAATGAATTATTACAGTAGTGATGACATTGTGTGTGTGTTTTTGTTGTTGATTATTGTAATGTTAATTATAGTTAAATAAAAAAACTTGTTTTTAAGTGTAATTATTTTTTTATTTAGTTTTTTAGAAAATTTTAGCAGAAAACTCAAGAACTAAATAATAATTTTTAAACTAATTTATAAAAACAATAATAAATCCAATCAATAAATTTTGTATAACAATCATAACAATTATAACAGATTTTTCCGAAGAATTAATTACTTGTTGTTCGGTAGATACGACTGTTTCGCCAACCGTTACTCCCAATGAACTAGTTTTATGATCGGTATATCTGTGAGTGGTTTGAGTGGTATAGCTGTAAGCGGTTTCTATAATCATATTTATGAAATACGAGACTCGGGTGAAGATCAGATATCTTGCCCGACAACCTATATTACTGTCCTCAGCGCCATCGTTGACAACACCTATGAGGACAGCTCTATTGCCATCGTATTGAATCATCGGACCACCGGAGTCACCCTATAATAACCAATAAAAATGTGATCAATTGTTAAATTTATGACAACTATTTCAATGAAAACAGATTACAATTGATGTTTAATTGATTCGTACATTACATGTTTGATGGCTAACATCTTCGGAACAAATTACTTCTGGTTGTCTCTGATACTTGTCGTCACACACCCTATTAGATAGTATCTCGACGTTGGCTTTCCTCAAGACATCACTCAATTGTGTGCCATCTCTATCAGTGTATCCGTAGCCGATCACAACGGTATCCTCCGATTTGTTGTTAATAATGTCGGCGACCGGCAAACAGACAGTATTGACAATGTATGTACCGCTAGGATTGATTGGATCAGTCGGTTGTTCCAATTGGACAATTCCTATGTCAAAACTCGAATGATGAAAGGTTTGCTTTACATTGTATGTTATGTATGGCTTTGAATGATATATTGATCCCATGTTTATAAACAGATCTTCATTTTTATGTCTATATGTATTGTATGTATGTATAAATTGAATCAATTGATTTCATTGATTTCATTGATTTCATTGATTTCATTGATTTCATTGATTTCATTGATTTCATTGATTTCATTGATTTCATTGATTTCATTGATTTCATTGATTTCATTGATTATAACAATCTATTGATTTCTGTGATGTAAGAGGACATACCTAAGGACACAGTGTTTGGCCGTTAGAAGCCATTGGTCGCCAATTAGTGAAGCGCCGCAAACAAGCGTATTGTTATACTTAAGTTTATAGGATCTGTCGTGAATAGTGGCCATGAATGGGAACTCACCCGTAAAGGCCAAACTTCCGTCAACTATTCGTTGTGTAACCGCCGCCGGATTTTGAGACACAATACCACACGTCTCGGCGTTCAGTATCGGGTAATCACCGATTTTAACGTGAGTTTCACTGTCGACATTCACCACTATTAGCAACAAAACAACATTAATTAATTGTTTGATCAAATAGTTTCTAAATTTAATTACCAATAATAAACAAATGAACAGAAATTATCAAAAAATTCATTGTCTAATCATTCAAATTAGTGATAAATTGTAAAAACATAAATAAAATGCTAACAAAAATTTGAATAAAATTCAAATGAATTTTCCGTTTGACGCGAAGTGCTTTAATACATAATAAAACATAAAACAATTAGTGGTAATTACGAGGCGCGTGTCACGTGTCACGTGAAATTAAAAAAATACTTTTAATAAATTCAATTGTTACTAATAAACAAATCTATATTATAGACAACTAATAGAAATTAAGCCACAAGAAGGACAAGAGAAGAACAAATGAGAAGAAGTCGATTAAGAAAAACAAGAAGAAGTGGTACGCGTTCGGCGACCAGAAGAAAGAAAAGAAGGACTAGAAGTCCGACTCGTCGTCGGAATACAGTTCGTGGACGAAGAGGCAGAAGATGAAGGAGAAGGTATGGATGGATCAGTCGTTTAGAATAAATTAATGCTTCTCTTCTTCTTTTTAGTCGATGTGATGTCTAATTACTACATTTCCGACTAAATACTAACTATCAATAAAATAGTTTACAACAAAAATATTGCATTACTTTTAAATTTTATTTCTTTTATATATAATTTATTGATTTTATTAAAAACAACTGATAAATATGTATAAATATTTATGGCTAATGTAATTATCGATTAATTTATTTAGACATTCATTCAGTTATTTTAGTGGTATTTTTTATATTCAATTTTAAATTGTATATAAAAAATACCACTAAAATATAATGTGTTTAACTGTATAAACTTATAGCTAACACACTATTACTCTATAATAAAATTATAAGTTTATATTAAAGTTGAGACAAGTAAATATTATTGCATTAGTTTTACATATTATTATAAAGATTAGATTAATAATGAAATAGTTATAAATTATTTTCTTTATATATTAATAAATTAATGTCTTAACATTTTATATCTTTAAAAATTGTTTATTTATTACAGAGGCATCTATACTAAAAAAAATTGTTATATTATTAACTTTTGTTAATTTATTTTTATAAAAATATTGTATTTATTTTATACTGTATGTGGAAATTTTTATCAGAGATCCGTATAGAAAATAAATATATAAATATATCTATTAGACATTTATCAATCAATTGTATCTTATTGTTATCAAAACATAATATATGATAAAAATCTTAATATAATATTATTTTAATTATAATATTGTTATTTATAAAAGCTACTTGTAATAAAAATGTGATTTACAAAATTTATATCTTCTACAGTATATGTAAAACATTATAATACTTAATAAATAAAATAAATATTAATAAATAATAAAATTGTTATGTATAAATTATACAGATGAACAGTATAATATACAATATAATAATTTTAAGTAGTTTTAAATTCTATAAAATATATTAATATAAAGTTATTTTTATAAGTTGATACTATTGTTATTTACTGTATAATTTGAAAAAATAAGATAACAATTAGCGATAAATTTTTGAAGTCAATGGGCATAACAACAAATAAAATAAAAACACAGAATTTAATGGTAAACTTCCTGAATAAAAAAAAATAAATAAATATAATTAAATTTATAAAATATTTTATATACAGTATATAAATCAAATCAATGTAATTAGTTAATAGTAAAATATATTGAAGGCTAGTTTATTACATTATAGGACTATTATAATTTAGACATTAAAAGGTAGTTAATGGTCTGTAATTATTTATAAGTGCCTATCAAACAGTCCTTCCCATTAATTTCCATCATCGACAACAACAACAATACTTTTGAACTGTAAAACAATTTACTGATACAAAAATGATATCATACACACAATATTCAGTATAGTTATAATGATTAATGTAAATGTTTGGAAAAGTTTGTGCAGTGATTATTACTGTAAGTCAATGTAATTGTATGCGAAATCAAATAAATATATCATATTTAAAGCATTTTTTTCTTTTCAAACTTATGATACCATTTTGAAGATGTGAAACCACTTACTTTCTCATTAAGTGAAAACATTTATTTATTTTTTTGTTAAGCAAATAGTATTTTTAATACGAGATTTTACTAATAATTTAAAATAATTGTATTAAATGTGAAATTATAACTATTTATTTATTACTAAATAAACATGTATTGTATTAAAGTATTAGTTTTATGTTTATGTGTGAGCTATGGGTCAACATTTTCCATCAGTTCGACCACAACTAAGTTTCCGCCAATTAGTTCATCGATTAAGTCATTGATAGCTACTGTTCCCCCAATGATTAGTCAAATGAAAAATGATTATATCAATGAAAAGGTTTGTCCATATAATTGAAACAGTATTAAGAAAAAAACTTTTTTGAACTTTTATAGTTTATTATTTACAATTCATTTTCACTTTTACTTTTTATCACTAATTAATAGTAGTTTTATACAGTTTTGTTTATTTTAATTTGTATAAAATATAATATTTTTTTAGTTACTTTTATTTAGATTTTATAGCAATATTTTACTTGATTTTGTGTTATAATAAGATGTTATCGATATTTTAGTTCAAACAATTTTTTCTATAAATTTTAATATTAAATTATTAAATATTTCTGATAATTTATACAAAATATTTTATGAATAAATGAAAATTATATAATTTTTTCAATAAGTGTTGTGCTATTTTTTAAACTGTTCAGCTAACTATTAATTAAATTTGTATTAATTATGGTACTATTTCAAATATAATTGCAATCAATTTATAAATAATTAAATAATTGAAAATTTTGATAATAATATTTACTACTTAAACAAAAAAATTGATAATAATTTTTTTTTTAAACAGGTGTATGAAATCGTGTCATTCATCGGTAGTGTCGGTGTTTTAATATACTCTTGTCTTTCAATAACACTATTATGTGATTCATATTTTGTACCATCGCTTGAATTTATTGGAAATTGTAATTATTATTATATTTTTTATAAACTTTTTTTTCTTAAATTATTAATCGAGAAAAATATTTCATCGAAAAATTAAACATTAGATCTTCATCTGTCACCCGATATAACCGGTGCTCTGTTCACACCATTGGGAACTGCAGGTCCAGAAGTGTTCAGCAGTATTGTAGGTGTGTTCGTAACTGAAGGCAACATCGGTACAGGTATGCGAATAAAATCGTATGTTTAATGCACTTAGATTTCTCAGTAGTAATTCAATAAATTTCAATATATTAAAAAATTACACATTGAAGTGTATTACAAGTGATTATGACTTTCACGTGAAGTAAACGGTGTGATCGCATAAATCTCTTATAAAATGCCGTTTTATGATAAAATAGTTTTTTTTATCAACATTTGTGATTATTTTTTCAATTTAATTTTTTTACTTTGCAATAAATGTGCTAATATTATTGTATTGTATTTTTTAAATACAAATCACAGGTGCTATCATAGGATCGGCTGTATTTAATTTACTCATTATTCCTACTGCCTGTTCATTGACATCCATCTATTTTCGTGGACAGCCATTAAAATTAAACTCAATAACTATTGTGAGAGATCTTATACTGTATATCATATCAATAATTGCATTGATTCTTGTCATACAAGATAACAGAGTTGAAATGTATGTCAAAATTTATTACTATTTTTAAAAATACAGAAATGATTTAAAAAGTATTTATTTTAAAAGATTATTAAATTTTTGAAAACATTTCTTAGTGTTGAAGCCTCACTACTGGTGCTGTTGTTTGTGTTGATTGTGATCTTTCTCTACTATAATGCACAGTTGATGGACAAATTGAAGGCTGTGCTAAGCAGTTCCCGAACCTGTGAATGCACTGAATTGGAGTGCAGTCATGATTCTGCCGACAATAACCGTAAGGCCGGTGACGCCGACGACACCGAAAAGACACCACTATTGATGGCTAATGACAATCAAAAGTCATATTCAATACAATATACACAACCAATCCTATCATACGAAGTGGTGAACTTGTCAACTGAGAAAACCATTAGTGAGACACTAGAAGTTAATATCAAAATGACCGGAACTGATGAAAGTGATAGCAATAATGGCTCATATTTTACATTTCTCTACGGCTTACTGATGGCACCGATCAGACTTATAATGTATCTGACAATAGTTAGACCCACTGATCGATTGTTTGCTATTACTTTTGTCACATCCATAGTCTGGTTAGCCCTACTGTCATACGTAACAGTCACTTGTGTCGAGTTTGTCAGTAAGTAATCTATTATTGTTTTTCTTTAACAAATAACAGATTTAAACTAATTTTTAACCAAAATATGATTTTTTATTGAATAAAAGGTGAATACGTGGGAATGTCGGATACAGTGGCAGGTATGACACTCTTAGCTTTGGGTAATGCAATGCCCGATTTGGTGACAAGTATTATATTTGTCAAGAAAAGAGGTTTGGCCGATATGGCCATTTGCGGTGCCATAGCGTCCAATAGGTTTGCAATACTAATGGGTTTAGGCTTTCCCTGGGCTCTCAAATGTATGACCAATTGGGCGGTAAACAAGTCGTTCTTCTGGAACTATATTCCCATAAACAGCACATCACTGCCCTATACATCACTAGTCTTATTGGTAGCAATAGTGTTGCTATTTATTAACTTACGTCTAAACAATTGGGTAATGAATCGCAAGTTTGCCTTTATTTGTGTTTTCATACATTTGACTTTTGTCTCGATAGCCATATATCTCGAGTATAATCTGTAATATTATTTTTTAAATTACCATAAAAATAATGTATAATAATTTTATTATTATTATTAATTTTTTATTTTATATACTCAATTGAAATGATTTTATTTTATCTATAACTTATATATGTATTAAAATAATATTGTCATTTATATACATTAGATTTATTTTATATTGTATTTTATAAAAGATTTTTAGTATAACATTAAAAACTAAATAATAAATTTTATATTATAAATTATTTAATATGAATTTTTAAAAATAATAATATATTATAATAAAGTATTTGGATTATAATGAAATGTTAATTTTTTCATTTATATAAATTTATAATAACATTTAAATCAACTTATGATTTTATCAAAATATATAATCAACACTAATATTTAATTTAATATTTAAAATGAATTAAAATATATTTAAATTAATAATTATTTAAACAAATATTTTGCTTGTATTTAAATAGATATAAATTTTTACTTAATTTATAAGTTATATTAATATTGATAATGAAATGTAATATTTATATAATAAAAGTTTAGTATAATTGTTGCATAAAAAAACTATTTTAGAGATAAATGAGTTAAATAATTGATATCTTTTTGAATAACTGTCTGTATCTTCAATTGGTGTCGATTTTGATGACTCGTATCTTCTCGTCGTTGACCAGAATGACTGCCGCCTCGTTAAGACCGTTACAATATTTACTGCTACTGAACACTGTTATACATTTGCCTCCCATATGAAAGGCGTAACCATTTGGTATGACTTCGTGGGCACGGATAACATGACTCAATTGGTTGGCTGCAAAAAATCTGTTGAGAGAGACATCCGAGTAATAGTAAGCCGTTCCTCGCTTTTTGTTGGGTAGGAAACCCAGATTACCGTCTTTCGGTTCACTACTGCCTTGTTGTGTACGTAACAACTCTTGAAAGTCGCGGAACTCCTGATTGGTGACCGGATCGTTCCACAGGATCTGCCACGCAGTCTGACACTGATTTTCCGGTTCACTCAATGGCATCGGTATAGAGTTGAGCTCTTGTATTCTCAGCGCATCCGTAGGTATACCTCCGTGAGCGCAGTATATACTCTCGTCAATGATGGCACAGATGGGCATATAGTCAAACACAGTATTCAAGGCTTCCCACAGTTTCGGACCTTCGGTTTGGCCAAACTTATTGATGCACTCAGCCCTGAATGTAAACGATTGGTTAACTGATCTCAATTCGTGATTTCCTCTTAACATATAATACTTTTCGGGACACAAAACCTTATGGCACAGTAGGTATGTAATGCATTCAATACTATACTCGCCTCTGTCCACGTAATCGCCCAAAAATAGAAAACTAGAGGCCACACATGTCGGTCCCATTTTCCATAGACTGCGCTCATATATCATAAGGTCGTGTAGATTGCCGTGAATGTCGCCCAACACAAACACCGGTGACGACACTCGTATGACACGACTTTCCTTTTGAAAGACTGCTTGTGCCAATTCACACAATTTGTATAATCTCTTTAAAACTTTGGTCCTTCCACTAGGGTTTCCCCAATCAATATCACTATCAGCCGATCCGCTAACTTTAGTTTTGGCACCACTTGCGCTTTGACCACTGTTTTGTCCATCTGTTCTATTAATGTTGAACTTGTACTGACCAAAGGTTCTTATYGAGTCTATAATAATGTTAGCTTCTGTTATAGCGGTAAAACAGCTGTTGGACATCCGTTTCAATGTTTTATCCATACGTTTGATGTCAGTCTGATTCTTATTTTCTTGCGGTTCAGTAATGAATCCACTACTTGATAGTCGCACCGTATGGACAGCCAATGTGTATTTCTTTAGACGACACCTGAGACAAGTGCCCACCACTTGTTGTTCCTGTTGTTGCTGTTGTGTATTAGGTGTTGTCATTTTCAACGCCAACGAGTCGTACACTTGTTTGTTGCGCAACGCTTGTATGGGCGAAATGGATGACCGAAACAAGATAGCGGTTCCTCTAATTTTCTTACTGCCAACAGATTGGATAAAATCTTTTTCTTTGAAATACTTTGATTTGTTAGCAATTATTTGATACAATTGCTTCACCTCTTCATCCAAACCCTTATTGTCTATATTGTTGTTTGCGAGCCTAATGTCTGTACACATTTGTTTCATCTCTTGACGTGACAATCCTTTGGACCAATCGCTGGCGTAATAGGCGTAGATATGTTCGGTCCGAAGTATAGCTGTGTGACCGCTATGCGGGACATTCGTGTCCAGAGCGCACAGTCCTAATAACAGATCCTTGAATACTATGTATTGTTTGCTTCTGGCCATTGATCTAAACAAACTGTTCATATTTAAAGTATATGCCGTCTCACTTTTGCCTGGAAGGGCTAACTTTGCCATATAATCAATGAATGCCTTTTCACCCATCATTGTGGACGGAGCGCACTGTTGTAGATATTGACCAAACAGTTTATTGATATATTTTTCACTAAAACCGGCCGCTTTGACCAACACTTCCTGAGTTGTACTCTCTTTGTCTTTTGGCGAGTATTTCATTACTTCTCGAACAGTGATTTCTTGAAACTTATATATAGTTATCGTAGGATCGGTTAAAATAGCGGCCAATAATGACGGCTCTGCGCCCCACAGTTCACTAATTTTGCTCATTTCTTGACATGAAATCCATTGAAAATCATTGCTGTTATCAAAACATTTGTTTGATTCAGACTCGTGTTTGACCTCCACTTTGAATGTAAACCGTTTGACAGTATCGTTCTGTTGAGGAATCTCTACAATCGATGCGTGTATTAGATCCAGAGATTTACTGTTGACAATCAATGCATTAAAACTTTTCAATTGATTGGCAAACAGATCCATCATTTCTTTAAGACTTTCAGCCCATGTCTGTCCTTTCATGACCGGTGCCCACGGAAGCCATAGACCGACTTTCGATGAAGTAATTTGTTTTAAAGCCATTGTGTTGTGTTGAGTACACACCATTACGACGGCTATTGTGTTGTGGACATTGACTCCATAGCTTATAATCATTTGACTGTCATTTGCAGCTTCAGCTGTTTTACCATTAGTTGTCGTATACTTTCCGGTTGTCTGGTCGGCCACCGATGCCGCTGATTCAGTGGACGGCGTTCGCGGGGCACTCATACCCGACTGTTTTTTGGTCTGATTAGTTTCACTACTTTTTTTCATAATTAAGTCTCACTTAGTTTTATCAGAATATACTTCTTTAGTTGTCTCTAAAAGTCTATCAAACAAGTAATCACTTAAACTGTGTAACTAAAAAATAAATAAATAAATAAATCAGTTGACAAAATTTGTACAAATTTGAAATTATTGAATAATTTTATTTTTAATTACACGTGAAATCACAACAATAGATAAATAGATTTAAAAAAAGCCTAAACATTAGTTAAGATTCTCATTTTAATGTTATTAAAATATTTATGCAATAACTAGATATCTCTACACTTGTAATAATGTGTTTAGCATTAGTTAGTTTTGCACGTTAAACAATGGATTTAATTTAAAAACTAACTGTTAACTCAATAAATAATTATAAATACATTTAATTTAATAATTTTTAATTGTTGTTACGCGCAAAAAAATATGTGACAAACATATTAACATTTTCAAATAATATATTATAGATGTATTGATACTATCTTTTGATACTACAGTATTTGATAGTATCAATTGATACTATCTATACTACTATATAATTTGGAAATGTTTGTGCCATTTTCTGTCACGCAAACAATTACTTTTGATGTGTCGCGCGATTATTAATAATTTTAATTTATTAAATAAAAAAATTAAATAAAATATACTTTTTATAATACACTGTATATTATATAGCGCGTGAAAGCATTTTTTAGTAAAGAGATAGATTGAGAGAGAGAGAGAGAGAGGGTATTGTTGCACGTGTTAACTATTGATACACATTTTATTACGTGGATCTAACTAGTTATTTAATAATATAACTGTAAATATATTACCCATAGTTTGTGCTAATTGTTGTATTGCATACAAAGATAAATAAATTGAATAATAATATGTATTATTGGATAAAACGCGAGAAAAAAATTAATTTCAATTTATTTTACAATACTTTATTTAAATTAGAATTTAATGAATAACTACTATATATTTAGAGATTAGTTTGAACGTTAAAAACAAGTATTAGTTAAATTATAATCTAAGATCTAAATCCCAAACATATCCATAGATATATCAATTGATTTTTTTTGGTAATCAAATTATAAGTTTTTTAGCGACTTTTGTTAAATTATATGAAAAATATTAATTTATTTCTTAGATATTTCAATCGACTATCTCTGTCTCTCTTATAAATAAATGGCTAAAAAAACKAAATTCTTGCCTTTGTTGGCAATGATTATTGCTTTGACAGTTAGTTTAGTCGATGGACTGTACAACTGGCCGGAACAACCAAAGACATTAAATGATATGTGCAAAGAGTTGAAGGGTCAACACAGGATTGTCGAAGCATTTCACCATCAGTTTGATATGTATTTGATTCTTGAAGACAAAGAGTCAGAGAGTACGGATCCATTTGGTCCACGAAAACGGTACTACGTTTTGCGTCGGTTTAATGCGACTGATGTCGTGTTGGGCACCAGTAAGTCGGCTACTTTTGCTCAGGTCATAGACATGACCCGTCACTGGTCTAACGATATTCGCGGCAATTGGCTCTTCTATTTGAAACACTATTTCATTTTTACTGAAAAAAAGAAAAATCAATTTATCAAATATCTCATTGGATTTAACCAAACATTTGTAAGCAAACAGTTTTAGACAATAATGATTATGTAATTATTATTATTACTATTAAATGTGTTGTTATAGATGGACACTATTGAACAATACGATGCCTATCGGTTTCCTATTGATATATCAAATGAGAAAAAACTAATAGATTTAAAGTCTGCCATCAAAATCAATACAAACATTTACAAGTATATCCCTCAAGAGGATGAATACAATTTGATGACATTAGTGGTTAAGTTTCCACAGGAAGACATCAATAACCGAATTCATGCCATAACCTCTTTACCAACTATTCGAACGGTTAAATACGGAAGATATTATGTATACTATATGGGTATGTCATCAAATAAAACCATATAAATCATACCTAATCTAATCCAATCATATTAATTATTTATAATAACATTAAAACAACAATTTATTAGAAAAACCCCGAAAATCGCTTAATCTAGAAGAGGGAGTGTTTCAGTTTAGACGACATCTATTTGAGCCACAAATGGTTAACTATGAGACATACGACGAGATGGACTGGGCTTACATAGACAACAACAACATTACCGAGAAGTGTATCATTCAAAACTATGTCAACGCGTCCACAGTTTTGAATCCCAATACAGGATATGTACAGAATTATGGATACATGTTTCAAATCATTGAATTCATTAACAACGAGTTTAGGATTAAAAAAGGATCGCATAATACTAGCGCTGTGTCTAATATTTTAGAAGACATTAGAAATGGTTCTGTTTTGGATCTATTAAAGTGTACACAAACCGAACCAGTGATTACAACTACAATCGTATCCGAAACTCCTGTCACCGGTGATAGTAATGTTACTGAAACTGGTATCACTGAAAGTCCTACAACAACTCAAACTAATGATATAACCAGTGAGTCAACTACTAAGCCTTCCGGAGAACTAACTACTAAGCCTTCCGAAGAACCAACTACTAAGCCTTCCGGAGAACCAACTGTTGAATCTCCAGAGGAACCAGTAGATACCATACCACCGGGTCCTCCGCCCACAGAAGCTGAACCAACTGGATCTTTACCGCCAGAACCTGAAGTACCAGAACCAACTGAAAAAGAGCCAACTGATCTTCCGATGACCGATGAGCCAAAAGAACCAGAAGAAAGTGAATCTCTATTGTGGTTATGGATATTATTGATATTATCAATAGTCATAATCATAGCATTTGGTGTCTTCTATTTATTATATATCTTTGTCGGACCTTTCAATACATTTGTCCGAAGATATATCATTAATCGCGATATTCCTCCGTCTGAACGACCCAACAGAGGCACTCGGGACGCATCTCATGATATTGAACTCAAGGAAATCAAAGGGATATCTCAATGAAAGATCAGTCTAACAGTGATTGTTCACCACTTAATCTATGAACACATCTATTATCGCAAAATCTAAAAAATTTTAAAACTTCACAATTTTTATTTAATATTTTTTACTTAACTTTAATTGAATACTATTTATTTGAATTTTTTTTTGTTTGGAAATACTCTAAATTATTATTACTATTAATAATTTTAATTTTGCAATTTATTTATTAAAATATTATAATATATAAAATAAATTTTTAATTACTTTTCTTGTAATTTCATTTATCTATTGTTTTTCATATTTGTTTTAACTATTATATTATTCAAAATATATGATCATAAAAATGAACTTAAAAAGTTAATATTGTACAATAATTACACTAAATTTACTAAAATAAGAATTTAATTAATTTATACATTAAAATCTGAATTAAAAATTATATCAACATTAGTTAAACAATAATACTAATAATTAATTAATTAATAGCATCTTTTTAAAACAAATATTTGTATTGAAAAAATACCTATAGTTTTATATCAATAATATCATATAATAAATTTGAGCTAAAATTATTTTGAAACTAAACAGATAATAAACATTTTTAAACAAAACATTTAAACAAAAAGCTTACTATTGATAACTAAAATCTAATTTATGTTTACTATAATACAGTAGTTATTTACAGATGTCTCACATCAAACAAACATGACTTTTAAAATTAAGATAAAATCGTCAAAATGTGATTAATTGTGACACTATATCGTATGATCACTTGATTATAAAATCAATATTACTATTTATATTTTAAATATTATTGATATACAGTATTACTAATGAGAAATAAATCAATTTTACAGTACATTAAACAATTTTACTCATAGAAATTAAAGGCTTAATTTTAATAATCACAATTAAATTAATTAGACTATTAATAAAACTATGTTTTTAGCAATAGTTTTGACTATTTTTTGTACTATTATAGCGATATTTTATGCGCAACGAAGGCGCCGGATGTCTGTCTTGGAAAGACATGGCATTCCGGGACCCAAACCGCACCTTATATTTGGTAATATGAATGACTATAACACCTTAGGTTATAACGAGTGCTACGAACGATGGAAACAACAGTACGGCCGAGTGTTTGGCTATTATTTGGGGGCAAAACCTTTTGTGGTGATCACTGATCCAGAATTACTCAAAATCATTCAAATCAAACAATTTCATCACTTTTCTCACAGACCTTACATTATTCCCGGAGGTATTTATCGAAACTGGAGATACCATCAAATGGTTAATTAATATTTTTTTAAAGAAGTATTACAAATATTTTATACATTGAATATTATAAATTGATAATCAGGTGACACGTGTGGAGTCGTTTAGGTGGAAGAAAATGCGTACAATTCTTAGTCCGTGGTTTAGTTCATCGCAACTCAAATCAATTGTACCCACAATTAACATATGCATCGATCAGATGATGGCAAAAGTCGATGAAATGGTTAAAAATAATGTCGATTTTAATATCTATGAGACACTAGAAGGTCTAACTATGGATACCATTGATAGGACAGCTTTCAGTATACAGACAGACATACAGAGCAACTTTGATGACAATCCGCTGATTGAGGCCACACGGGGTGTCTTCTCTATAAAACCGAGTCAACTGTTGGCCTCACTATTGCTATGTTTTCCTGAATTTTCGTTATTTATCAATATTTTGCGCGATTTGACTGAAAGGTTAGACAGTTATTTTGGTACATCCAGTCATGGATTGCTTTTAAAAGCCGGTCAGACTATACTTGACAACAGATTAAAAGTCGCTAATAATGATAAACACAACGGCATTACAAATACTGGGTATACTAAAGATATGCTTCAATTGTTGGTCGACTCTCGTAATAATAGTGTCGTCAGCGATAGCCCGGTAGCTAATAATAAAACATTAACCGACATAGAAATAGTTGCCAACATTATTGTCGTACACGAGGCGGCCTACGAAAGTCCGGCCAATATATTAGCATTTATTATACATAATCTCATTACTTATCCAGAAATACAAAACAAATGTTTCGATGAAATCCAAGAATTATTTGCAAAAGAAGGAAACTTTGGTTATAATGTGATGACTGGTCTACCGCTAACCGAAGCTATCGTTTGCGAGACTTTTCGTCTCTATCCTACAGATACACTGTTTACAAGTCGATCGCCGGACAAAGACTATCGGTACGGCAAATATATTTTACCCAAAGGCGTGGACATACGTATACCAACATTTCAGTTGCATCGGGACCGGGAATTATGGTCAGACGCTCTGGAGTTTAATCCGAATCGGTTTCTTGACAAAGAATCCAAAATAGATCCTATTATTTATCAACCATTTGGTGTCGGACCGCGAATATGTCCGGGAAAACGGTTTGGTTTTTTGGAAATCAAACTAGTATTAGCCAATATACTCCATCGGTATCATCTGGTGCCGGGACCCAGAACCGAAATGGGTCAAATTGAACTCGACTTTAAGCTAATTACATTATCACCTAAAAATGGTATTTTTGTTAAATTAGTACCAAGAATCAATTAAAATAATTAATTTTAAATTTATGTGTAGACATAAATTTTTACTGATATTATTATAAATATGTTGTAGATTTAACAAATTCATCTTAACTTTAAACAACTTAAATAAAAACTTGTTTTTAATTAATTAATTAATTTTTAATGTAATAACTGTTAATAATTATAATTTTACATTATTTACAATTTAATTAAAATATAAGATTATATAAGCATCTACTGAGACAGTGTTGAAGACCAAGATTTAAATACTATGTACCACTTCGTCATCGGGAAAATGATAATGACTTGAATGACTTCCTCTTTGACTGACACGTCTCACAAGTGGGCATCGAGTCGTTGTCGAGTACCTCGACATCGGTATACTCTTTAAGACATGTATTAATGTCAATGTCATCATTGGTTTCAGGTATAGACAGTGAAATATCCCAATTATATTTATTATTTGTCTCATCACTGGTATCGCTGTCATTGGTCTGTCGGTGGTATTTGTCTCATAATTGTCATTCATTTGATTCATATCTTTGAATTGTTAACTGATTTGCCACTAAAATATTCTGTATATTTCTGGCAATTAAATAATGACAACAATTTTGAATTTAATTCAATGGTATTATACAAATGTATTATATAATTACTGTATCACGTATTGCACGTGAAATATTGAATTATATCTATTGAAACAATAGCGCGTGTAAATAATACAAAAAACGGAGATTACAACATAGATTTTAGCCGAAATTAAAATTTTTAGTTTATTATATACACGCGCTTTATTTTATATATTATTAATTAACGCGCTTATAAATTATTTACCCCAAACCCATCCCCACCCACCCAACCACTTCCTAACCTCACACTCACCCCAAACTAAATAATAATTAATAATAAAACTAATATTTTATATATGTATAAATGCATAAAAAACAGCCTAAAAAACAATACTTTTTTGCTGGATATCTATAATATAGATTTAACCCAAAATATTATATCCTATTCACGTGAATCTCAATTATCACATAAATTAATTTTGAAAGTTATTTATCAAATGTATGTCAAACTAACTGTATTTTCAATAAGAAAAATGTCAATATTTGAGTCAAACATTGATTATCTACTGATGATTGTTGTGATGACAATCAATATTCATCTGATGTCTTTGTCATCAATTGATTACTCTAAGAACGTCGACAATAACAACAAAATTATAGAAAATAATGAATTAATTTCTAATAATAACCTAAATAATAGACAGATTAAACTATTATTGAATAGTTTGAATAGACATAAACGACAAATCGATGGTAAGATTGGATCCGATAATAACAACAATAATCTTTTATCATTTCGTAAAGATTTTTCATTAAAAATTTATTGTTATTTCAGATAAGACACCGATAGTATCAGAAATCAGTTATAATTTGTTGACCGAAACCAAAACAGACAACATATCAGTGAATAATAGTGAGACAACAAACATGTCATTGAATATCACAACAACAACATCACTACATAAGTTATCATCAGTTATGGCTAACATAACTATTACCACTGATGGTCATAATATACGAACTGAAAATGTATGGGTTGTTGTCTTATCGGCCCTTTCTATAGCAACACTGTTTTTGTTGGCATTCTTCTGGTTTGTTATTTTAAAAATAGTCTTAAATAAGAAAACAATAATATTTAACATAAACTTGATTTTTGTGAAGGATTTTGTGTATATTTTGTAAAATAAGGAAAACTACGACAACTGTTACTGATTCCACATATGATTGTAATTATATAATAATTATAGTGATAATTGTGATAAAGAATTATTTATTATATTTTTAATTAATTATTTTTATATATAAATAGCTTTACCACCAAATGGTTTGTCACCGAAACAAAAGGAAAAGAGTGGCAAAACACAGAAAAATCAAAAGTCGATATTAACTGTTAAAAAATCAAAGATAACTTCACCAAAAAAATTAAATATTTAGCTATATGTGCCACAAATGTTTATATATTAATAATAATTTACTATTAAATTTTAAAAAAATAATTTCCACAGTTTATTGTCTAATATATTAATAAAACTTTCTATAATTATCAAAAAGTATTTTGGTTTTTATAATTATATTTTTCGCTACAATAATAAACTAAAAATTTTAATTTCGGCTAAAATCTATGTTGTAATCTCCGTTTTTTGTATTATTTACACGCGCTATTGTTTCAATAGATATAATTCAATATTTCACGTGCAATACGTGATACAGTAATTATATAATACATTTGTATAATACCATTGAATTAAATTCAAAATTGTTGTCATTATTTAATTGCCAGAAATATACAGAATATTTTAGTGGCAAATCAGTTAACAATTCAAAGATATGAATCAAATGAATGACAATTATGAGACAAATACCACCGACAGACCAATGACAGCGATACCAGTGATGAGACAAATAATAAATATAATTGGGATATTTCACTGTCTATACCTGAAACCAATGATGACATTGACATTAATACATGTCTTAAAGAGTATACCGATGTCGAGGTACTCGACAACGACTCGATGCCCACTTGTGAGACGTGTCAGTCAAAGAGGAAGTCATTCAAGTCATTATCATTTTCCCGAATCCCTCCAATTCTTATCATTCAACTCAAGAAGTTTGTCAATGACGGCAACAAAATATCAAAAGCCGTTACAATTAACAGTCAACTTGTAATCAAAAGCCACAACTATTATCTGTTTGCCATAATATGTCATAACGGGACCACTTGTTCCAGAGGTCACTATACCAGCTATTGTCTGCACAATCACATCTGGTATCTGTTTGATGACGAAGTGGTACATAGTATTTAAATCTTGGTCTTCAACACTGTCTCAGTAGATGCTTATATAATCTTATATTTTAATTAAATTGTAAATAATGTAAAATTATAATTATTAACAGTTATTACATTAAAAATTAATTAATTAATTAAAAACAAGTTTTTATTTAAGTTGTTTAAAGTTAAGATGAATTTGTTAAATCTACAACATATTTATAATAATATCAGTAAAAATTTATGTCTACACATAAATTTAAAATTAATTATTTTAATTGATTCTTGGTACTAATTTAACAAAAATACCATTTTTAGGTGATAATGTAATTAGCTTAAAGTCGAGTTCAATTTGACCCATTTCGGTTCTGGGTCCCGGCACCAGATGATACCGATGGAGTATATTGGCTAATACTAGTTTGATTTCCAAAAAAAAACTTGTAGTTATTTATAAAATAAAAACAGTTGATTTGACAAAAATTGTAATCAAATAGTTATTAAAAACTTTTTATTACTTTATAAGAATAAAACAAAATATAATAATATAAATCAGAGATTGTGATAATTAGAGATTAATTAATAAATTGATAACATATGTAATATAAACTTACAATATATATATACTGTATAATACTTAAAAAACAAAAATGAATTTACAATTAATAATAAATAGACAAATTTTTAGATTAAACAACATAGATAAAAATATATGTATTGACTTTAATGAGCAATAAAATTTGTTAATTATAAATAGATTACTAAATAATTTATAAATTTACATTCAATATTAAGATAATATTTGTAAAAATTAGATTATTTTGGCCTACAATACAGATCAATCCATATGAAAATACCCAATGGAATCAACAATATGCCGGCCGCTATCTGAAAGGCCAGTCCAGGATAAGTGTCAATACTGGCTCCAAAAACACTCGAGTAATATACCGAAGCCAGTGTTGGTGCGATGGCCTCAACTGTGGCCATCAAACTAAACACTTTTCCCACTTCGTCTTCATGAATAATCTTCGAGAGTCTCGATCGGATGGCAATCATTGTTATCGGTGCAAACATACCCACAATAAATGATAGGTAAAGACCTATTGGCCGTTGCAATGATCCACGCATTAGGCATTGCATGAACAGTGATACCACACCAATGATGGCTATATAATCAAAACAAAATTAATTAAATATTGAATATAATTTATAATTAATAAGTAAATGTGATATCATATTAATTATAAAATTTTGATAATCCTTTATACTTATTAATACTAGTAAATTATTTGGGTTACTTATTACTAAAATAAATAAAACTATCTTTATTGTATTAGTTCAATACAATACAATTATCAAATAAATAAATGTAGCATGATAAAAAAATAACCCAATTATTTATATCAAATAGATTTAATATTCTGTGTAATTTAAACTTTATTGCATACTGTATGCTAAGATTCAATAATTATAGTTAATATTATGTAATAAATACTGTACTTAATTATAAACAAATATAATAGTTTTAATTTTATTATAATTATCATATATTATGTCAAATAATCAGTTTTCATCTCTCAAACTACAGATTGTAATTATTATTTTTTTAAAAACGCTAAAATATATTTAGTATTATTTTATCATATCTTTAGATATTGTTAATCATTTTGTGATTTTGGACTCATTATAAAAAAGACAAAAATATATAATCAAAGATTCACTTTTAATATACAGACAACTTTGCAATACTGGCTAAAACAACTTTTTTTTGTGTAAACAAATCAATTAATACATGATAACATAATTATGTGATATACAGTATAATTGTGTAATATTAGCTATTTTTTATAAATCAAATACTTTACTGTTTCTATATTAGTTGTAAGCATAACCGGTACCATAATTTTAATAACAAATACTTAAAATCATATGATTGCTAGTGATTATACAGTACAGTATTTGTAGCTATAGTCCATTAAAATAAGTTTAATTAAATATTTAGTTTATATAAGTGTTTATTTTTGTTGTTGTAGTTTATTTTATATCTATTGATATAAAGTTGTTAACTATAAACTATAATTAGAAACTATTTAGATATTTAGAAAAATTAAAAAGTATTTAATTTAACTAAAAGATTTTAATTAATAGCAAAATTCATACCCAAAAGCATATCACGAACTTTATATCTCTTCATAAACACCGGTATAATAATAGCCATCGAAACGATAGTAAATATTGTGACCAATGAATTAACATTTGAGTACTTTTTTGCCGACCAACTGAACAATTTTTCCACATATTGCCAGAGTATGATCATTGAGCCCATATAGGACAACATCACACAGAATATGGAGATAAATAGGAGCCAAATCTGTGCCCTAACCTTATGTGACCGATGTTTACAACACGTGTGAAATATATCGATAACATTGCTTATGTCAAACAATTCTCGCAAGTGTTTGACAATGGCATCGGTTATCGATTCGGTTGATTTGATCATTACATCGCTGTCGATTGACTGGTCAGTGACCGAACTGGCCTCAAACAGGTCTGAGTTGACAATCTGAACTTCAGGCTCTTTTGGCTGCTCGTTGACCACTATTAGGACCCAACCGAGTGCTGCCAATTGGCCGCAAAGTGACACTAATAACAAAAATCAAGCAAAATTTTTATGTTATGTAATACTTAATAAGTATTATTATTTTATTAATACTATAATTATTCTCTACCGGTAATTAATTTATATTTTCATTAAACTATTAGTACTATAATTGTTTTAATACATTTCTCTGTTTATTTGACATTGGATTATAGTATAACAGTAATCAACTCAAACATTAGAAATTGCTTGTAATAAAATTTTGCAATTACAGTATTTCCTGTTATAAAATGCTATGTATTGAAAGTTATATTTAATAAAACATTAATATACTGTATTGTTTAACAACTAATCTATTGCTTCATAATCATAGACATAAAATATCTATCTATAACTATAGTTACTATAGTATATAAATTTACATATATATATCTTAAATAATATCCGAAAAGCATGAGTAAAAGCAATGAAACTGCTGGTATATATATTTGAAAGGATATATATTTTTTAACACAAAAGATACTTAAGTACTGACCAATAAAAACGGCGATATAATGGTAGAGTTGGTTCACATTTTTGTCATCGCCGTCGCCTAGAATCTGGCCGCCAATAAATGAGCCCAAAGGCTGGGCTATATTTATACAAAACAAGTTATTAATATAAGTTAAAAAATATTCGTAAATACTTACGCAACCAGAAGCTGACCTCAAGACATGCAAAACGTATTGCTCGGGTAGAGCGGTCACTGGTAGCCGAACAATAAGCATATGTCGACATAAGTGTGGCTATAATACCACCAAAAAGTGCTGACGGTATAAATGACAATAGTATGAGATAGACATCTATAAAAAAAACCAAACAATTTGTACATCAGTTTAAGTTAGTGACTAAACCATCAGCTAATATGTGATGACAAACATACCTGAGGTAAAAACGGCGGCATTTATAATAAGTGCGATCGACTCGATGACGGCGCCGAATGCACCGAAAACCATAATAAGTTTGCGGCCGTGAATATATTTGTCACTCCACGACCCGATAAACAGCGACCAAATGGCGCACGGAATGGTCGATATGATCATACGGTACAGTACTATAAAACCCGAATCGGTCAATATGGCCGACTTGATCTCGTCGGCCGAGTGGTCATACTCTGGTGAGTTAATCTCTACACAGTATTGAGGTTGTTGTTCGTACCTAAGCCGACACAGTTTGTCTTGGACTAGCTGTGACACAGCCATTGACGACAAACTATACGAAAACATGTAGAGGAAGAGGAATGGCTCAACTTTGAGCTCTCGTATCAATTGTGTCCACCGATAACCACTGATGCTACTCGTTATCGACATGTTTGGTCAGTATATGGTTTATATGTGCGTCTGATTAATGGTCTGATTGATAATCAGTTATTAAAATATCACATCTGATGAATGGTCGACACAAAACTCTGAAAATAAAATAAAACTTTTGTTTTCATCAATTTTATTGACAATAACCTAAGTATTAATAAATAGCACTATAATGTTGATGACTAATATGTGGATGAAATTGTTTTTTTCAGTTTTTTTTGTTTGAAAATTATCTAAATATTTCAAACAAAAGTTACATTTTTTACTTCACTATTTGAATTGTATTATATCTTAAAAAGCATAGTTTCATATGAAATACGGTGTCTTATCGTTTCGTTTAATAAAAAACAAATAAAACAATGTATAAAAACTTTGAACACTTATGAAAATCTATGTGTGTGTACACACACTGTGTAGTTATCGCTGTAATGTACATATAAATTGATATACAATATCATCCAAAAGGCAAACAAATTGATAAAAAAAACTAATTATAATAATTTTTAGTTTAGTTTAGTCATGTTTATGTATAAGTACTTGTAATGTTCAATACATACACACTATCGCAAACACACACACACACACACATACACACACATAGATACATACATACAATTCACATAAAAATTAATTGCATTTCATAAGACTAATATCATAATAATTTACACATACTGTATATACTGTAGATTATTGAAAACAAAATATGTATAAATTTATTTAACTTACAAAACATTTTTGTTGTCATTGAACGGTCTCTAATCATTGCAATAATGAATGCCATTAACTGACAGTTTATGAAAATAAATTAATATAATTTTTATTTTAAGTGATATGAGTTTTGTTATTATAAATATTTAACTTTTTATTTAATTTTGCGATTATATAGATTGTGATATAAAGCAAAACTATCATAATATCATATCACATATTAAATTGTTTTCAAACATATTATTTATTATAAGAAAACAAAACAAAAAATATGAATTGTTGTTATAGTTATGACAAAAGTTATTAATAAACATTTGAATAATCAATTTATTATATTTAATGGTATATTAATATATTATATCATTTTAAAAATCAATATAACTATTACTGTATCATTCAATGACAGCCATCGGACGTATAGTTTATTATAGACTTTTAATGTTTAAATATCCAACAAATTCATACAAACACACAAAATAAATAAATAATTCAATTAAACACTTATTAATTAACATATAATTTATATTTACATTAATAACAAATAATAATTTTGTTGTTGTTTTTTATAAAACAATTGCGTTTACATTTAAAACATGTGTTATTGTGTTGTGTTTGATGAGTGATTGTGTCAATGAATGAGTGATTGCATAACAATAACAACAATACAATACTACACATCATATCATATGATTTTCAGGTATTAATACATTGCTTTGTGTTGTCAGTCATATAAAACGTTACATTTTTTCACAGTTGGTATGTATAAACAAATTGTCTATAATATTGTATAATTTATTAATAAAATTTTATATTTAATCAATGATAACATTTTAGTGCATTTATAATTTAAGTATATTTACGGTATATTTATATATATGCTTAAATTTATTAGTAATAACATTATTGATGATCAATTGTAAAAATAGGGTTTAATATTTATTGTAATATTGTATAACATACTACATGATAGCAATAAACGCACATAATTTATACTATAGTTAAAAAATTTAATTATCACCTGGAACATTTTAAATTAAATAATTTAAAAAATATTATCATTATGATAATAATAATAATCTAAATTGGTATATTACTAAAAATTAATAATAAGTTTACCTGAATATTAAAAAGTAAAATATTATATTTATGTAATTAATTTCGATAATACAAAACGTCATTTTTGTTATCATTTGTTATATAAAAATTACATTTTATTAAAATAGTTTTGTTTTTACTACTGTTATATCATGTGTTTAGTATTTGTAATAATAATTTAAACATAAACTTTGGATAATTTTGTTTTAAAAATTAAATTAATAAAATACTATATAATTTTTAATGATATTAATTGTATAATAACTTTTGTACAATAGATAACTCTATTCAAGAATGTGTTAACAGTGCCGGTGTTTGTAGTCATCCTATACTAATGGCCCGACCAATAAAGTCGACCCGATTTCAGCGTTTTCTCAAATACATGGGACTGTTGGGTGGTGTGGGTCTAGGCTTTTACCTACACTATCACTTACATCCACCCGAAAAAATTCCCCGCAAAGACATACGTAATGCCGTTGAACTTAACTATAATATATTTGAGAGATGGGGCGGAACATCCAGATTATTAGGTGGAAGCAAAGATGATGGACCCTGGTCACCACCCAAACCTTCATAGCATATACACATTGTTACCTCGATTACCATAATTGTTAATAAAGAAATATTTAATTCGTTTTAATTAAAAGTATGCTAATTGTAATATTAATCTTAAATAAATTTAACATTTTTAGTTCACATTAAAATTTGTTTAAATAAATTTATTATACGGTAATTCAAATTAGGTAATTGTAATAATTGATAAAATGTATCGATATTATGTTGTAAAAGTCGTCATTACAATAATAATGAAAGTATGATTAATAAAATTTTTACCTATATATATGATATTTAACAAACAATTTACAGGTAATAAGTTTTTAATTATAAGTTACAGGTAAATAAAAACAATTGTTAAAAATAATTTGTTTTTACCTGTAATCACAAACACATTGCTTTTAAATCAATTATTGTCATGCAAATACAAACAAGTGATTAAAATAAATGATAAAATTAAAAATATATATAAAACAAAAATGTAAATTCGGTAAGATAAAAAAATTATAAAATGTAAAATGCAAGTCAAATAATTTTTAGGTCAATTAAAAAAATGTATGATAAAAATAAACAAAAGTTATGATAACTGTAGTCAAAATGAAACTATTTCTTCCAAACAGCCCGTCCGCGACCAATACCCTGAGGTCTACGTTGAACACTACTGGCACTAGAGTCGGGTCGTTCAGATTGATGGTGTCTTTGTTGATCATTATCATCATTTGGTGACCAATTGTTATCATTAAGACTCAATGCTTGATTGAATCGTCGAATTGGTATTGTATTAACATCATTGATTCGGCCCATATAGGCATCGACCACAACGTTTATTTTGGGCGGCAAATGCCGTTCCGTTGGCCGGATTTCAAATAGAGGACAAAGCATATCAGTCAATATGTAACTGAGCCGTCGGGTCAGTCCCTGAGCACAGTTATAGTTGTCCTGTTCGTCGTGAAACTCACAGTTAGTGTTCGGCGAATAGTCATATGTAGAACTCGTGAGTTTGTCTACAGACACAAAAAAAAGTTGACATCAATTAAAAAAATAATCAATTGATATAAACTGTTTGTCTTACTTTCAGCTATTGGCTGACTGATAGGTCGTTCAATGAAATTAGTGATATTCCATACAAGTGTGACTAAATCAAGAAACTCTACGTCCCATTCAAATCCGGGTACAACTGATTGATACTTTTGTGCCAACCAACGGAAAACTCCTGCATTTTGTTCGACTGCGTCTTCGCGACAAAACACTAGCATCGATGTCGGCTTTCCGGTCACTGGATTCGTGAATCGCGATTCTTCCAGAATCTGTTCAATATCTTCTACTAATTTCTTGTAATCACTAACTGCTGGATCAAAGTTGTCTAACGGTATCTTATGGCTAGTTTTAGACCAATCATTTGCCATATGCATGTAACCTAATGTATACAAATCAATATAATTAAAATGATACTAAAATTTTATGAAAGCACTCACCGATTGGCACTTTTCCGGCGTCAATAAACTCGTGATATGTACAGTGAATGCCTTCGCGAATAGTATACCTCGAAATACCGATTTCCAGCGGATAATATTCGGAGGGATAACTTTCGGTACGAATCATGATATTAGTTCCCACAATAAATATCGGTGCGTCCATCAGCTCTGTCTTTGACTTAAAACTTTTGACAAAAGACTCGACCAATTTGGCGAAAAACTCTTCGCGTGACTGTTCATCATCGATATTGGCCGAACACATGGCCGCCGATCGGCCAAAGTTTTCCCCTTTTTGTTCCTTATATGACTTCGGAGTTATATCAATGGTAACCTTTGCTGAGCTATTGACACCAGATTTCTCCTTTTGTGACATCAACTCAAACGGTTGTCGCTCTTCTTTGGGCATATCTATGCAATCAATGAGACAAATATATTATATATCATGTGTTTATAACACTATAAGAGTGGCCAGTCTTGCAATTGGCCACACCTTTCCATAGGTCGCCGGCAATTGTCTGAAGTTCGGGATTATTTAATCCAAAGTTTTTTCCCTCTTTCTTCATTTGGTTTTGTATGTGAATCAAGAAATGAAAGAAAGCGTTTCTTCCCTTTGATTTACCCATTATTTTAAGTCTTAATATACAGTATTTGATAAAATGTTTGGACAGAGATGTGATCAATGGTTAAAATATATGTATAAGTAATAAAAAAATGATTTAAAATCTTAAAAACATTGAATGGTTTGTTGTTTAAGACAACAATGATATCATCAGTTAGTAAATGATTAATGAAAGTGAAGTGTGTTTACAGTATATGCAGTCAAATGTGGGCCCAAATTGTATTGAATACACACTTAGTGTTAACAACTGTCACGAGTTTTGATACATTTTAATTGTATGCAATAAAACATCATTTAATTAAGTTATAAAATACATAAGTGTAATGTAATTTTTTAAAGTAATATTATTTATTAAGTAATAAGTTATATAAAAATTGCAATTTATTTAATTTTTAATCTTTAAAAATACTAAAATTCATAATTTAAATGTTAAATTAATTTTACATAACTTAATAATTTGGTCACACTGTAACATTACACTATGTTAAATGATTGTATATGTTTAAATAGTTTATCAACGCATTATATGCATAGATATCAATATAGTTATACATATAAAATGTACTCAAAATATTTATTAATCTCCGCCTTCTCAGTCATTATTAGTGTAAACGTGCACTTTGTGTTTGTAAATATTAAGTTTGCTGTTGCTATGCGACCGCCAATAATACGTTCATTGTTTACGTTTGAATTTCAATTACGTTATAATCGATTGCATTGTTTGTTATAAATATCACATAAATGTCTCGTTTTTCGCCATTAGTTTAATCCACGCACTGGTAAGTCATAACTGTTTATCACCAATAGGTCATTCACTAAATATATCATATGAATGATTATGTTTTATAGGTATGTCCGAAGCCGACCGCCAGCGGCCACTATCGGTCGGAGAGATCCAATCACCAAAAAGTTCACAACTGATAACATGTGAATCATCGGCGACATCGAAGTCACCGAACAAAGATGTCATCTATTTTATTGAAACAAAAACATTTAAATCAAGTTCACAGTCGTCTGGACCTACTATTGGTCGACAACCGCAGTCCATGCAATCGGCATTTACGGCGATGAAGGCCCACAAGTTTGACGCCAATTGGATAAAAGTGGAAGAAGTGATGTTCATGAAAGAGTTGCGCTCCCGTCTGATCGACTCATTGTTTATATTTGACACTTTTGACGGAAAAGCGTATGAATATCTTCGGTCAATCGATGCCCGTATTTGCGGACCGCTGACAATACTCTACTGTTACAGCAATGAGTGTCCGCAACGCTTTAAAACAATACCCGAAAAACCCCATCCCGTGTTCAGTCAATGTATGCGCAAACTATTTGTTTCGTTGTCCGGCTTTGATGGCCAACGCAAAAAGGATTTGGTCAACAAAGTGGAGCGCATGTGTGCTAACTATTGTAAAGATTTTACCAAACGAGTCACTCATTTGGTTACAGACTCTGTCCGATCCCGCAAGTATCGGGTGGCCAAACAGTGTGGCGCTATTGTTGTGTCCAGCCATTGGGTGGACGACTGTTGGAATATATATCAACACAAGTTTTCTAATGCCGCCGAAAAAGACATTACTGACAAATATAGTCTCAAAATGTTTAATAAACTAATGATAACTGTTTCGCAGGTATTTGTTATTATTAATATTGCTTTGAATTAATTAATCAAATTAATCGGTAATTTCTGGTTGTGTTATAGGTTGACGTCAATGAGCGCAACAAAGTTATGGAAATTGTCCGACAAAACGGCGGTGTTTATAGTCCGTCACTTAAACTCAATGCACAAAACTGTATATTATTGTTAAAGGAGGCGTCGGGAGAGAAGTTCAAATATGCGCAGATGAAAGGCATTCCCTGTCTGAGCATCAATTGGTTATATGACTCCATCGACAAAGGATACACTTTAGATGAACAAGACTTTCTAATTAAAAGCGAAGAACCATCAAATAAAACAATAACAAATAGACAAAACAATAGCAAAGAAGCAAATAGTATCCCATCTGACAAAACAAGCATATCGTCGTCAGAATTCATACAACCGGAAAATAATATACAGAAAACTTCATCAAATGTATCACAAGACACAACCTGTGACAGTGTTATTAAGACATTGGAATCATTGATTAAGAGCCTTAACAATGAGTCGTTTCTCGAAGGATGTGATGTCTATGTAATTGGATTTAAGAAACCGGTGTTTGATATAATCAAGAAAGCGTTGTCATCGAGCGGTTCAATGGTCTTCAATGAGTTTAAAGAAATTATTACACATGTTATCGTTGGCACCAATGTTATTGATAGTGAAGTGAATAAACTGTCAGACAAAAAATCTTGTAAATTAGTGACAATTGATTGGCTACTCGAATGTCTTCGGCAACGAGAGTGTGTTGATTGTTCGCAATTTGAGATTAAACGAAATAAACGAAGTCTAGACAATGATAGCAGCAGTGGTAGTACCAGTACTGTCAGCATCAGTAGATCGTTCAGAATGACCGACTCCAACAGTAAACGTCAAAAAACTAAACACTTTTTTGACGGCCCGTTGACTGTTATATCTCCCCAAAAATTGGGTAAACCTATTATCAGCGGTAGATCACTCAATATAAAAGCAAACCATTGTTCATTAGGCGAAGACATGAATGATCACTCATCGGGTGTCCAGTGGGCCGACGATTCGGAAGATTACTAGTTTTTTAATTATAACACTTTGTATATACATATATAGTATTTAAACATATATTTAGATTAATTTATTATAATTAATACATTTTATTATAATTTAATTATTTATTCAAGAGGTTATTGTTTATTATAATACACATGAATTTTATTATAACTGTAATTGTATTAGATTTAGCTATTTGTAAAATACGATATAATAATTATAGATTTTTAAAGAAAATATTTTGTTTATTTGATAATTTATTAATTATTTTAAATGACTTTTTATTAAACTATACCATTCATAATAGTATATGAAATTAAATACCATTATAATATATTACAATTGTTTTTATTTATTGTGTTTTATAACTTAAATTAACATTAATTTAGATATTTCTAGACATTTCTCTATTAATATGGAAAAAATATTTTTAGTATAAAACTTGGCAACAATTTCCACTGATGGGAACAGTTGTTTATAGGTATAGGTAGATGTATTTAGCTTCAAGGTTATGGTTAGGTTATTAGTAAATAAAAGTGTCGACAAAAAAGTTTATTTAAATAAAAACTTTTTTCAACCAAATATTTGCGACTTTAATATTAAAATATATTAATAACGTTATTATATTGTAATAAAAGGGGCAATAATTTTATGTTTCAACTATTAATATACAGTACAATACAGTAGTACTGAATAAAACATAGGGTTATTGTAAACACTGTACTATTGATAACATTATTGACTTTCACTTTCTGTGTTTATATCAGTGTTTCGTCACTTGTATTACACGATTGCTATGAAAGACAATAACAATAATATAATTGTCAATACATTAACAAGTTTTTCACTTGATTTTGTTGACCACTGGCCACTATTGGCGGACGACATGAGCTTCGGATATAATAAACTAATGAACAGTGACTCGCAGGACTCGTTGGACACCGTTTGGTCGTCAACATCAAGCGGACAGTCGACTATCAACGACTGGGTCACTGGTTTGGACAACTTGGGTAACACCTGTTTCATGAATGCCATCCTCCAGTGTTTGGCACATACGGATCCACTGAGACATTATATTATCTGTAAGTATCAAAGTTTTCTAACGATCTGATAGTTGATCTTATGGTCTGTTTGTTTAGCCAATCAGTTTCTAAAAGATCTGAACAAATCGGACGGAATGACGGCCTATCATTTGGCACTTCTGTTTCGTAAGTTATGGTCAAACAAATGCCAATCTATACGACCGACACAATTGAAAGCGTTGGTCGAAAGGAGCCAAATGTTTAGCCTTAGAGGACAACAGGACGCACATGAATACTGTATTTTTCTGTTGGACTCACTTCATGAAGACCTCAATAGAGCCCGAAGTCATACGTTTATCTCATACACTGATAATAACGAAGACGAAGAACTGATGAATGGCAAGATGTTGGCCTCACATTCGTGGTCTCAGTTCAAGAAAAACAACGACTCGATTATTACCGATCTTTTCTATGGACAATACGCTTCACTCATTCGTTGTTCAATTTGCCCAAAAGTATGGATCCATTAATTGATTAAATTATTAATAATTAGTTATTTAGTGATTATAATATTTTGTTTACTTTAAAAATTAGGATTCATTTAAATTTGATCCATTCATGTGTCTGTCTTTACCCATTCCTCAACATTACGATAACATTGAATTAAGGGACTGTTTGTCATTATTTACGGCATCAGAATATTTATCGAATCAGAATTCATGGTATGATTTATTATCTAAATAAGAAAACTTAATAATTGTATTAATTATTTTGTTTAAATAACTAACTTTATGTCTACTAAAATTGCAGGTATTGTCCACAATGCAAACAAACCCGTAATGCTATAAAACGGATCAGTTTATGGCAATTGCCTAAAATATTGGTCATTCAATTGAAGCGCTTTTGTTTCGATGAGAACTTGTGTTCGGAAAAGATAACCTCATTTGTCAACTTTCCTCTCTATGGTTTAGATCTTAATCCCTATTGTAGTAATGCTAACCCCAACTGTACGTATGATCTTTACGGTGTTGTCAACCATTACGGTGGTGTCGATGGCGGTCACTATACGTCATACGTCAAGTGTAGCGACAATTATTATGACACTTCAAGTAATGATTATTAAATTTGTTTTTTTTTTGTAAAACAATAAAATTATTTTTGTTGATTAGTTTGGCGATGTTTTGATGATAATCGTGTCGATAAAGTTGGCGACGAGTCGATGGTCACCCGTAACGCATATATACTGTTTTATCGGCGAAGAGATCATAATTCAAATCTTTGAAATGATAATTGTTTGTTATTTGATTCAAATTGTTGAGTGATCTATATTTTGTTAACTTATATAAATTTTAAAAAATATATAAACACGTATTTTTAATTACTGGTATTTTTCTAGTATAGTATTTAATATTACGGTACTATTTTTTAATGTGATAATAATTAACCTAATTTTAACAAATTTATTTGAAGTTAAATATTTATTGCTAGTTGTTATTTAATTAGAATTTTTAGTGTATAATATTAATTTTTGATAATAACATTAACATTAGAACTGTTTAATAAAAAAAACAGTATTTTAATATAATAAAATTGTTTTTAGTAATAACTTTTTAATAACCGTATTATTTACATACAATAAAATAAATTAATTCTATTAATGTATTAAAAAATTGCATTACGATATATCAAATTTATTGCATAATTATTAGACTCGTATAGCATTATTTGCTTTGAATGCTTATCTAAACTACTTGTTTGAATCACAATTATTTATCCAATTAATTATAAGTTAAAACATTTAAATTACTGTATAACTAATTTAAATATTTCTTACTATTATTACTTTATTAAACAAATTATATGAAAAACATTTAAATAATAATACGATATATATAATAATAAAAACAACTGAGATTTTATTAATGAGATAAACTACTGTACAGTATTTTACACTACATATTCAATGAATTCAAATCTATAATACTTTCAAAATAATTGATTAATGAAGTTCGCGAAGAATTGATACTAATATCGATGGAATTTAAGTATTGATTTATTTCATTGATATTATTAATTAGATTATCAGTCAATTGATTCCAACTCTCATTAATCATATTTATCGGTTGTAATGCAAACAATGAAAACAATTGTCTATAACTATCCAATAGTTGTATTATATGTTCTCTGGTTTCGTCTAAATTTTCTAACATTAGTTCTACTAATTGTCTCTCAATTGATATATTATTTATATATTCATTGATAAATACTGATTGGTCTGATTGGTCATCATTTGGTTGGCTATTGTTATCAACTATTATTGACTGATTTTCATTGATTTGTTTGACAATTAAATACAAGAATGTATTCATAAGAGTACTCTCTTCTTCAGATAATTCACTAAATATATTAATTTTATTATCAATAATAAGACACATTTGTGATAAATGTTGGATCAATTGATGGCATTGATCTCTTTTTGAGAGATCAGCCGATTCACACATATTTTATCCGAAGGGTTTGACTTCAAACCTATACTATTATATATAATTTGAAAATCTGTATAAATTTATATTTCTGTTACGCAAACAATTACTTTTCGTGAGATTATAAAAAATTATAAATTATTTAAATAACGGTAAAATAAACTTTATTTTAAAACTAACAGTTAATTTTTAAGGAACAAATGTAGATTATAGACAGCCAGTAGAAAATTATTTTCCCCAAACCCATCCCCACCCACCCAACCACTTCCTAACCTCATACTCACCCAAACTAATCTAACAAAATAATAATTATATAATAAAACTAACATTTTATATATGTATAACTGCATTAAAAACATTTTTTTGCTGGCTGGCTAAAATATACATTTAAGCCATAATTTAAAGTAAAGACAAAATAATAAATACGAAATAAATATATAGAGATTAAAAAAAAGAAAAATAATGTGGGATCTAATATATTATTATTAGTATTTAATTTATAAACGCATGATATTTAAATTAATTCATAATTATATTAATAGGATTGTTAACAAATATTATTTTGAATATAACGGAGACATTAAACTAAACTACTGTATTATCCGTTAAGAAAATAATAGATAATAAAAATAATATTTTATTAATAAAAAAGACTATGATTTGGAGTATTTGTTATTTTTGTTGTGGTTGTTGTTGCGATAGTGGTAACAATAATAATGAGTTTATCGACAATTTCCAACAGGAACCGGGAGCTGTAGAAAGAGGCCAACATTTAGTCCATACAACCCGTGGCTATACTATCTGTTCCCGTGATTACGATTGTTTACCGACCAGTCATGAGATACAAGAGCTTCGAAAGAAGTTAACAAAAACCACGTCTTATGTCTACAGCCGTCCGTTCACTGAAATGTCCAAAATTACTGATTATTTATTTATGACTAGTTTTGGAGGTATTTGCGAGGAATCCATTAGAAAAAATAAAATCGCATTTATTGTAAGCGTCACTCACGAAACACCCTTATATAAAGTGGACGGCATTCACAATATTAGGATTCCTGTCAGTAGTTTAGTTGTTAAATGATTAGCAATTTTTTTTAATAACAACAAAAATGTTTGATTTCATCAATTTTGTTGTTTTTAATATTATTAGGCAGAAGATCATAGAACTGAAAATATATATAAATATTTTGATGATATATCCGATATAATTACAGAAATGGAGACAAAAGAAGTGGTAACACTAGTTCATTGTCGATTAGGGCGAAGCCGATCGGCCACTATAACGATGGGTATAATACAGTAGTATAAAACGTTTAAGTTATATTTTTTTATCAATCTCTCTCTCTCTCTCTCTCTCTCTCTCTCTCTCTCTCTCTCTCTCTCTCTCTCTCTCTCTCTCTCTCTCTCTCTCTCTCTGTTTGATATCAAACTATTAGCACATTTAATGAAAAGTCAAAGAATGTCTTTGGATTTAGCCTACGATTTGGTCAAAAGTAAGCGTCCATTTATTGGCGTCAATCCTGGATTTATCCGACAATTATTGAAATATGAAATGCATTTGTTTGATAAAAATTATACAAAATTGGATGATATTATAGCTAAAAATAGCAAATCAAAGACAATAAAAGAATTGATCGCTAAATATAATAAATAACATATTAATATACAAATTGCTAATTAATGTATTATATATTTATTGTATTATTTTTATTTGTGAATTTATATATTATCAATAAACACAAATAAAAAAACAATCCTGAATAACATGAATTAATTATAAAATATATAATATTAAAATATGAAATTTACATTTTATACTACATTATGCTATTTAACTAAATATAAAGTTATGATAACATTATGTTTACTATAAACAGTAATTACTGTACTGTATTATAGGCATATTACCTTTATTATTATTATACATTGGATATTATATAAAAAGTATAATTTAAAAATTGATAAAACAATTTTATTTAATTATATACTAATTTGTTACAATAGTTGTATAATGATACAAGTGATAATTTAATATCAATGAAAAAAAGATAAATAGATTAAATAGTTGTTTTTTGTAAAACTTATTCGTTGTTATGTCTATTATTAAAACATAATTAAATTATTAATATTTAATAAGAACTTTTAAAAAAATTTATCATTTGTAATACATTTATATTAATAATACAGTAGTATCAACAACAGTAATACAATAATATTTTGATTATTATTGAATTTAAAATAATTATCTATTTGATGGCCTAAAGGTTTCAATAAATCAAATTCAATGTAAAGTCTATTATTTAAATAATTAGATTTTACTACAACAATATAGGCACAATGATTTTGAACTATAATATTAATATTAAATATACTAAAATATGTTCATTATTTTATTTTATTTTATTTTAAATATGTAACATTAGTTGAATTGTACTGGGCAATTTTACTTTTTTGACTCACCAATAGATAAAAACAAAATGTGTTTTTTTAATTATCATTTAATTAATTGTGAATTTTTAATAAAATTTTAGTCGTTTTTGTTGCCGTAGAGCTAATTGTAAATTATATAAAAGCATGAAATTAATGGTCAGTAAAATATATTGTAAAATTTTGATACATATTTATACAATACATTTATTAATCACTTTATTATATTATGCTATCATTTATATATTACATTTACTTACTTACTTTACTTTAAAATTATATAGTTTACTATTAATAATTCAATATTTAATAAAATACATTAATGACATTGAAATGTCAAAATGCAATTGTTTTTATAAAAAATGGACATTTATTTTGTACAACTGATTATATGACAAACTATTTATTTAATTTCAATTGACTGTTGTTAATGAACTTCTTTTATAATTAAATTAACTTACAATAAACAATATATTTCTATTAATAAACATATTTTGTAAAAATAATAAAGATAAATTTTTAGTCAGTGATAAAAATAAAACCCATATATAAATATACTAATATACTGTATAGTAATATAATATATATATATACAAAAATTAATGTTTTTTGACAATAATTAGATCTTCTTATAAACTTTAATATAAGTTTTGATTAAAAAAATTGTGTAAAAACATTTTTATAGTATTTCCTTTATTATTAAAGTTAGTAAAATATTTATAATAATTAATAAATAAAAATCTTACATTGAAAACAAAATTAAAGGAAAACTTCTTTTTTTGCTTAAAAGTATTAAATTATTTTTAAAACAACTTATTAAACATATTCAGCAAATATAAAACATTTAATCATTTTTTGTCCTAATATGTGATATCATAATTCAAATTTTCTTTATTATTATTTAAATGCATATTGATTAATTTTTCATAAATCTAATTGAATTTTAATTATACAGTTTAAATAAATTTTATGCTATATATCGAAATAAATGTTGTAATCAATAAAATGTTTAAAATACTGTTGAAATGTATATTAAATTTATATTTTATCACAAATATTGTGAATATTAGATCAATACAGCAAATAATTTAGTGACATTGAAACAAAAGATAAATTAATAATAAATATATAAAATAATAGTATATATTTGATAATAACATAAAAATTGTAACCTTAAAAGTATTGACCCCAAACACATACACCAACACTATTACCGGTCGACCCGATCGACACTAATCACTGAGTGATGGATTTAGACCACCTCTGTCTTCGTCATCGAAATGAACAATAATAATCTATAATAAATACAATTATATAATATTATTGATATATTGATATATTATGAGATGCATATCATAATATTGATTGACAATCTATAACAACTGGGAAGTAATTGATTAATTGATTGAAAATTTCAAACACATTAGCCTTCATAATATCAATTATTTTAAACGCAAATATATGTATGTATGTATTTATTTGTATTAAATATTATTATCAATAATAATAATATATTTTATTCAAAAATTTCTATATAATTGAAAACAAGCTGCAATTGAATGAAAGTTTAGAGTAAGTGAAAAAAAGATTTTAAAATTTCGTGAGTTTTTTTGACTACAGTTTATTTTGTTTGTTGTGGTTATAAAATTATAACTAAACTTTTCAAACATTTTCAGATTATTACTTTTGTTACTTTTATTGTATTTATATTTTTTTGTTATTGATAATTTTCAATCACTTTTACTTATTTTTTTATATTGAAAAAATGAATAAATGAAAAATTAGTTTTGAATTATTTATGAAAATCAAATATCTTTTTATCATTCAATTTTTTCTCATATTTATTTTATATATTCAATATAGTATTAATTTAATATACAAATAAGAGTTATTGAATGTATAAACAGAATAATATTATACATATTGTATATCATTTTATAATATCTGTGTATGTGTTTGATAATCACACTTTAATTAATTAAATAAATGTAAAATATATAATATGTTATGTGGTTTTTACAGATTTTCTCAACTAAAAGGTTATAACTTAATGCTAATGTCAAAAAATAGTGAAATTCAAGTATAAATCTTACTTTTATTTAAATATTTTTTTTTTGATTAAAAATGCAACGCTTTTCAAATCAACAAATTTTTATTTAGTTTAAATCATGTTTTTGAAACTGTTACTGTTTATAGAAAATAATATTAATAAAAAATTATAAAATTATAAATAAATAGCTTTATATTATAATTATTATAATATATAAACTAACAATTGAATAAAATATTTTAATATTATAATATTTCATTGTAAAATGTGATTTTTTTAATTTATGGATAAATCAGTTTTTTGTTTGTTTTTAACATTTAATTGAAAGCTTAAGATTTATGTGTGATTTTATATTCAAATATTTATGCCAATAATTTTATGATGAAAATTATATACTGTGTTTAATATAATTTTTATAAACATCTTGTTATGTCATTTCACCATAAAATATGATATTTTTATTTTCATTTGTTTTGCAATAATAATAATTATAATAATAATAATGTCAATAAGTTATTTAAATAATCATCAAATATATTAATCAAAAATATTATTGCTTTTCTATAGTTTTTCAGGTTTTCAAAATATATTATTTATAACTTTTGCTATAAAATTAAAATTTTTTATCAAAATAGTAAATAAATATAAGATATATATTTTTATAATCTATTTTTTAAGTTAATTAATTTTAACAATTGAATTAATAAGTAATTTGTTATATCTCCACAACAAAGATTTTTGATTAATTTATTGTGTGTTTATAGACCTGATATAAATGACTATACAATGTTTGACAGATTATTCATAAAAATATATAGTTTTTTTAAATTATAAATATAGTTTTCAAAGTCATAGAGATTTTCATTTATCTTAAATATAGTCGTTATATTAATAAAATACTTAAAAATAGTTTAGCAACAATAAAGTAAACATATATTTCTGATGAAATTGTTTAATAATATATATATTATTTCTATATTAAATGTCAATCTGACTACAGATTTAGTTATAGTACATATAATAATCAATATTAAAAATATTATGTTTGGTATACATGAATTTTACCACTAATTTGATTTTAAAAAATATTTTATTAACTTTTTTTGGACAGTAAAATTGTGTGCTACTGTGTTATGTTATACAATATTTATTTATTATATATATAATACAATTATTAACTCCGGGAATTAAAAAAAATAATATAAATAATTTTTCATAATGATTGACTCAAGTGATTCAAAATCTACAGAAAATAAATTAGATAACAATAATAACAACGATAATAATAATAATAATAATAATAATAATAATAACAATAATAATAATAATAATAATAATAATAATAATAATAATAATAATAATAATAATAATAATAATAATAATAATAATAATAATAATAATAATAATAATAATAATAATAATAATAATAATAATAATAATAATAATAATAATAATAATAATAATAATAATAATAATAATAATAATAATAATAATAATACTGTAATAATAATAATAATAATAATAATAATAATAATAATAATAATAATAATAATAATAATAATAATAATAATAATAATAATAATAATAATAATAATAATAATAATAATAATAATAATAATAATAATAATAATAATAATAATAATAATAATAATAATAATAATAATAATAATAATAATAATAATAATAATAATAATAATAATAATAATAATAATAATAATAATAATAATAATAATAATAATAATAATAATAATAATAAGCAGAAGATTATAAGTGTTGCAATAGATGAAAGTGATGTTCCATTGAAAACATTGGACACCGAAGAGGTTGGAGTGGACTTTGGATACTATGAGACTGCCATTAATGAAATAGTGTCCGAAGTGGTAGAGAAAAAAGCAAAATTTACAATTTTCGGTTACCGACTGTCACAGATCAAGTGGTCAAACGTAATCTTTTTAGCCGTAATGCATGCACTGGCCGTCTACGGCTACATACATTCGTGTCTGAACCAGGTCCATTTGTTTACATTGATTTGGGTTATTCTTATTTCATCGTTTTCGGGGTTCGGTATGTCGATCGGTGGCCACCGATATTGGTCGCACAGGACGTTCAAAGCGAGACTACCGTT